GCCATCATGAGTTCCATGCTGATCGCCGGTTGCTAACTGTGATTTTCAACGACCAGTTTCCAGCGCGAGGCCTCAGTTTCCGTTGGCTTCCCCCTGGCCGCACCTGCTAGCTGCAGGGTCGTGCATGGAAGGCTCGTTCGTCAGCTCTAGCACAACTAGCGCATCCCAAAGGACAACCGTGCCACCTAAGGATCCAACAATGGCCCCATGAACTGAACGTCAGAAGGTGATAAGTTACAAACTCCTCGGACCCCAAAGTTGCTTCGTTTTGCAGGCGAAACAAGCTGCCCAAAAAACTGCAGATGCGGTGACTGTGGCTCATGATACCATTGGTTGCGGAGCATGGTTCAAGGAACTTGCCCCATGAACAATCCGAAGAAAGCATTCCGCCATGTTCGGCCTGTGGGTCTTCTCCTCCTCATTTCCATAGCACATTTCAGACTTGACCTGGCATGCATCTATCGGGATCGAAGTTACGCGAAGCAACGCCGCCATGTAAACATTCCACAACCATGAATGGGCAAGGACATGCAAGCTTTCGTTGCGCGTCCGTCCGTCCTTGCTTGTTCATAACTGCTTGAACACAGCTTCGCTGTGCAGCTGAAAACATGATGCCCTGGCTCGACAGAATCCGAATTCTGCACGGCCTCCGGAGATGACATGTACCTCCTTGTGAAGGGGCTTGAGAAAATCATCTTTGCTGCCAGTTCCCCGAAAATCTTTGGCGAACAAGGTTCACGGTGGCAGACTTAAAAGCTGTGTTGCCAACTCACTACATGCCACTCGCCCGGTAGGCTTAGTAAGCTTTGTCCTTGACGTGGCACTGAGCACCTTCAGCCGAACAGGTTGCCTTGGAGAGCACTGTAGAGTGACGAAGCATGAGGGGGAGAGAGTCTTAGTGGCAGGGCGAAAGCTCCCAGCTTCGCCTCTCCGAGCCTAAAGTACTTAAAACAACCTCTTGAGATGCAGCAACGGCAGCATGGATATCTTAAAAGCTTCTCCAAGCCTAAAGAATTCAAAACAAACTCTCGAGATGCAAATTCACTTGGGTGAGATCTCTCTTCAAGCCAAGGTGCCACGACGAAGCCCTCCATGCCGATTTTGGAGATGCAGTCCAAAATGCAGAGCAGGGCATCTTCCATTCCTTTGGAGATCAGCCCTGCATGAGCCCGTCCCAAGAGCACCACGACCGGATAGCCCGACCATGAGATGATGGTCAGCCATTCCAAGCGAGAAAAGAGCAACTGAACGTCGGCCGGCCTATTCTTCACGGTGCCGTTGGCGACATCGACCTGCAAAGCTGCAATCATGAGGGCGAAGAAGAACACGGATGAGAAGAACCAGAGGTACTTCAAGCCCACTTTCGCTTTGGGCACAATCATTGCAGCCACAATTCCTCCCGTCAACATCATGAGATCGCAGCCGATGACCATGAAGAAGGTGTGCTTTTCGGCCCCGCCAATCATGCACAACTCGAAGAGCATCAACGGTGTAGTGGTGATCCAATCGATGTATCTGATCACTGGGACCTTTCTGCCACCGATTGTAACATCACCCATGCCAGTGACCTTTGCCAAGTAGGCCAAAGCAGCGATCACCATCACGAAGAAGGTGACCACATAGGCTTCGGGATGCACATGCCGGATCCACAGTGCCAGCAACACCACGGATGCGAGGGTAAAGAGGATCTGGACCACCCAAGCCACAACGTGAGCAAATTTGTAGGTCCACCATTTGTGCTGGCTGCTGTTCACCGTCTCCTGCCTCTGCGACAGCTTGTGCCCGATTGTTTCTAGGGGGATTGAAAGAAGGGATGGCTTCTTGGACGGGAGCTCCGTCAGATCCGTCTCTGACGGCTTCTCCGAGCCCATCATTGCTTCAATGTCTTCAACCTCACCCGCTTTTTGGGGAGAGCTCGTCTCGTCCTTGGCACCAGTCATGATCGGCGGGCGAAGGGCTTGTTTACAACAGCTGAGGAGTTGCAACTGAAAACTGGGCCGCTTGAGCCCCATGTCCAGGCGCAAGAGTCTTGAGGTGCAGCTGACTCGACAAACTGCCATCATGAGTTCCATGCTGATCGCCGGTTGCTAACTGTGATTTTCAACGACCAGTTTCCAGCGCGAGGCCTCAGTTTCCGTTGGCTTCCCCTTGGCCGCACCTGCTAGCTGCTAGCTGCAGGGTCGTGCATGGAAGGCTCGTTCGTCAGCTCTAGCACAACAAGCGCATCCCAAAGGACAACCGTGCCACCTAAGGATCCAACAATGGCACCAAAAAACTGCAGATGCGGTGACTGTGGCTCATGATACCATTGGTTGCGGAGCATGGTTCAAGGAACTTGCCCCATGAACAATCCGAAGAAAGCATTCCGCCATGTTCGGCCTGTGGGTCTTCTCCTCCTCATTTCCATAGCACATTTCAGACTTGACCTGGCATGCATCTATCGGGATCGAAGTTACGCGAAGCAACGCCGCCATGTAAACATTCCACAACCATGAATGGGCAAGGACATGCAAGCTTTCGTTGCGCGTCCGTCCGTCCTTGCTTGTTCATAACTGCTTGAACACAGCTTCGCTGTGCAGCTGAAAACATGATGCCCTGGCTCGACAGAATCCGAATTCTGCACGGCCTCCGGAGATGACATGTACCTCCTTGTGAAGGGGCTTGAGAAAATCATCTTTGCTGCCAGTTCCCCGAAAATCTTTGGCGAACAAGGTTCACGGTGGCAGACTTAAAAGCTGTGTTGCCAACTCACTACATGCCACTCGCCCGGTAGGCTTAGTAAGCTTTGTCCTTGACGTGGCACTGAGCACCTTCAGCCGAACAGGTTGCCTTGGAGAGCACTGTAGAGTGACGAAGCATGAGGGGGAGAGAGTCTTAGTGGCAGGGCGAAAGCTCCCAGCTTCGCCTCTCCGAGCCTAAAGTACTTAAAGCAAACTCTTGAGACGCAGCAACGGCAGCATGGATATCTTAAAAGCTTCTCCAAGCCTAAAGAATTCAACACAAACTCTCGAGATGCAAGTTCACTTGGGTGAGATCTCTCTTGAAGCCAAGGTGCCACGACGAAGCCCTCCATGCCGATTTTGGAGATGCAGTCCAAAATGCAGAGCAGGGCATCTTCCATTCCTTTGGAGATCAGCCCTGCATGAGCCCGGCCCAAGAGCACCACGACCGGATAGCCCGACCATGAGATGATGGTCAGCCATTCCAAGCGGGAAAAGAGCAACTGAACGTCGGCCGGCCTTTTCTTCACGGTGCCGTTGGCGACATCGACCTGCAAAGCTGCAATCATGAGGGCGAAGAAGAACACGGATGAGAAGAACCAGAGGTACTTCAAGCCCACTTTCGCTTTGGGCACAATCATTGCAGCCACAATTCCTCCCGTCAACATCATGAGATCGCAGCCGATGACCATGAAGAAGGTGTGCTTTTCGGCCCCGCCAATCATGCACAACTCGAAGAGCATCAACGGTGTAGTGGTGATCCAATCGATGTATCTGATCACTGGGACCTTTCTGCCACCGATTGTAACATCACCCATGCCAGTGACCTTTGCCAAGTAGGCCAAAGCAGCGATCACCATCACGAAGAAGGTGACCACATAGGCTTCGGGATGCACATGCCGGATCCACAGTGCCAGCAACACCACGGATGCGAGGGTAAAGAGGATCTGGACCACCCAAGCCACAACGTGAGCAAATTTGTAGGTCCACCATTTGTGCTGGCTGCTGTTCACCGTCTCCTGCCTCTGCGACAGCTTGTGCCCGATTGTTTCTAGGGGGATTGAAAGAAGGGATGGCTTCTTGGACGGGAGCTCCGTCAGATCCGTCTCTGACGGCTTCTCCGAGCCCATGATTGCTTCAATGTCTTCAACCTCACCCGCTTTTTGGGGAGAGCTCGTCTCGTCCTTGGCACCAGTCATGATCGGCGGGCGAAGGGCTTGTTTACAACAGCTGAGGAGTTGCAACTGAAAACTGGGCCGCTTGAGCCCCATGTCCAGGCGCAAGAGTCTTGAGGTGCAGCTGACTCGACAAACTGCCATCATGAGTTCCATGCTGATCGCCGGTTGCTAACTGTGATTTTCAACGACCAGTTTCCAGCGCGAGGCCTCAGTTTCCGTTGGCTTCCCCTTGGCCGCACCTGCTAGCTGCTAGCTGCAGGGTCGTGCATGGAATCTTTCGTTGCCCAAAGCTGGGCACGTTCGTCAGCTCAAGCACAACAAACTTATCCCGGGGATCACCGGATCCGAAGAAAGCATCCCGCCTTTGGTTCTTCTCCTCCTGGCCCGCGCTTGGTTTCCTTATCAGATTTCAGGACATGGCATGTGCCAATCGAAGAAGCATTGCTATCTGGGGTCCAGATCCCACAGGTGAAGGTCCCCGGAGTTTTGTATGGCCCTCATAGAAGTGTGAAGCAATGCCGCAATCTACTCACGTCATGGTTGGACAACGTCATGCGCATTGAAAGAAGGGATGGTTTCGTTTTCTCCGAGATAGGCATTGCTTCAATGTACACAACCTCGTCCGTTTTGTGAGGAGAGGTTGCCTCCTCTGGCTCATAGCTTGTCTACAAAGGCTATGAGGAGCTGCGGCTGAAAAACTAAATCTCTTGAGGCCCAAGTATGTCCAACAGCAAAAGTCTTGAGGCGCAGCGGACATTTGACACACTTCCAGCATGAGTTCGTCTACCTCCTCCCCCTCCCCCTCCTCCTCCTCAGCCCGAATTCCGCACGTTCACATGTCAGAGAGCAACGGACTCTGAAGTACCAACCCTAAATGCCGAACAGCACCCCGGAAGTCGTGTATTTCATGGACCAGACTCGGCCACAACCTTCATTGTGGGGCAAATGGAGCCAAGAATCTGCGGCTTGAGTCGACCACATTGAAATACATTGAAGCATCGAGTAGCAGCACAGGTGTGCAGGATGCACATCTTGGGGCAGCCCGCCCGACACGATCCACGGCCCCTTCATGTCCGACACTACTCACATCTTGTAGCCGTGGTCACGACTCCAGCGGCGAAAACCGCTGCCGCAGAAGCAGAGCAGTGTGAGCCCGCTTCTTTCTTTGCCTTGTGCTTGGTGGTGGTCTGGCGCAACGCGGCCACCAGTCCAACAGATCACAGATCGAACTCTCAGAATCACAGTGCAAGGCAGCTGCAGCAGCTAGTCCTTCACTTTTCACTACCACCAGGGAAGGTTGCTGAAGCTGCGGCGCAGAACCACTCCAGAAAGAATTCAAGAGGATGAGTGCTTGGCAAACAACGCTTGTCATTCGGTCGCCACCGATGTCCACAAACATCTTGAAGTTGCTTGCCTCTGTCTGCATCCTCGGACAGCTCCACAAGGATTCGACAGATCGCAAGGCCGAAGATCCCAATATGCCCAATAAATAAGTAAATGCATAAATGCATAAAGAACATTATGTATATACAATATGCCTTTGCCAAGCGGCTCCCGGCAAAGTTTGCGCAGGACCTCTGGCTCCTGGAAGCAATCCACCAGTTCAAAGCGGCATTCTGGGCAACGTCGTCGGCTCTCCTCGCATGGCTCTACTGGCACACGAATCAGCGAATCAGCGAATCAAGCAACACAAGTGTACTATAGTGTACTATTGAGCGTATCCTCCACCAGCTCGGAGCTGTTGTCCACACCAATCACGGATGAGGCATGGGAAGCTAGGATGCGGGTACATTCCTCAGGCGCATCACAGCAGCCTATGGCTCATGGACTCCGGGGCTTACTTGCGACGCCGTTTCAACAAGCACGCCACGCCTAAGACTTTGGACCAAGGCGGCCGAGGATCACCATAAGACGAGCCAACCTCCAGAACTCCGTCTCCCTGGCGCGCAAGAAATCCATACGTTAGCTCGTCCACAGTCCTATTTTCAGCACGGCTTGACGTAACAATATCTCAAAAACATGTCGCGACATGATAGAGGCAGAAGACAGAGCAAAGATTTCCAGGCGAGCTTTCTCAATAGAGCGGAACTGTATGGCAGAGAGTGATGTAGTTCAGCATGGCTTGCGGGAGCGTTTCACCTCAACAAAACGCTATTTGGAGTCCTGAAAAGTGCCTGCTTCCGTCTCTTTCCTGAATCAAAGGGCCCCCTTCCTCGCTCAGTCCAGGTAAGCTCCAGAAGCCCTAACCTGTAAAAACCTTCGAGACAAGAACAACCGCAAAACACATCCGGAAAGGCTAGCTCTTGCGAGGCCGCCCGAGACCAGCAACAAAGGGTGTTTTAAAGAAGGGTTCTCGATGTTTAGGGTTTAGGGCTTAGCCACACTGGCCCCTTTCTGATGCAGAGGGGGGCTCAGACTTGAGGGTTGAAGGATCAGCGACGACCCCCGACCAAGTGTCGCCTCCCACCTTCAACCAGAAGAGGCCACAAAGTGGCCTGGAAGAAGCCAGAGGAGGCCCAGAAGAGGCACCCCAGGGTTTTAACGCCACCCCCCGGGTCCCCAAAATTGTTGCTTTGGCTCAGCGCTAGAGCAAACTCTGGGTGGTTTTCAAACAACCCTAACATTACAATTTTCATCCTCGCCTTTCCGACATGCATGCTGGCATTCTTGACTCTGCAGTTGCGAGCTCCCGCACATGCAACATGATCTGGCCCTGCCTTTCCTACTTGTGTCTTGGCCAGCCGCCGATACGTCACAGTATCATGCACCAGAAGAACTCTTGGCGGTGTAGCCGGCAAGACTCGGACCACCCGAGCTGGTGAGCAGAGGAACCCATGGCCATCAAATGTCTGCAGACGAATTCGGCTTGCCAAGCCACACCTGCACCAGTCGGTTTGCACCCCTAGGTCAGAGTCTCGCTTACGTGATGGCAATTGCCCCACAAAAAAATAATGCTACCCTAAACCCTTAGCCTAAACCGCATAAACCCGGAACCCTCAACCCTGCACCAGCCCTAAGCCCTAAACCCTAAACCCTGCCGGGCGGCGATTCTGGGAGTTCGTAACTCATTCTCAGGAATGCTGGGAGAAGCTCGTCATGCTGCAGCATCGAATCGGCTCGCTCATGGCCTACAGCAACACAATGGAAGCCGGGGGGGGGGGGGGGGGTGAAGCATCACCAAACAGTAAGCTATTACACCAGCCTCGACCCCAAACAGCACAAACTACAAAAAGGAGGAGCTTACAGGTTGCAAAAAGTAAAGAACAGCCAGCAAATACTCCACGCGAGGGAGTAAAACACATCCCACCCCAAAGGCGAAATGCAGAGCTAGCTCAGCATTCTGGTCGCAACACGATAAGGTTCGCGGTTGAATCGTAAGGGTGTGAGGGAACTGGGCATGTGTTCACATGCTGGGTCGAGACATGAGGGACACAATAGCACGCTATGAAGGGACAAACCCTGATCCCCAGAAGCGCGTCACAGCATCCGGCTGCACGGAGTACCGCCACAGGATTTCGGACGACAATTTACTGTCTTGCACGAGCAGTTGAACAGATCTACAGACCTGGATAGCAGCGCAGTCCGAAACAACGAAAGATTGAAACGTTGAAGCAGCGCTGAGTGGTTGGCATTCGAGTAACGCTGTCATCTAAGGCCCCATAGGAATTAGAACACACATATACCAAATATTAGCAAGTAGTACCTAGACTCCAGACATACGGAACCCCCATGTCCCAATGCCGAAATAAAAAAAAGTAACATGCTAGATAACTGCAGTGTGACGGGGCCGTGAGGCACCCACATTTTACAAAGATAACGGCACCCAATTCAATCACATTCTAGAGAACTGCAGTGTGACGCCATTATGAGACGCCTTTTGCCTACGCGAGAAGCTCTACGTCCATCACCTACGAGTAGTAAACTTGCCAGGCAATGTGATGCATTTTCAGAGGTGGTCTTAACTACCCCCGAGGAACTGGTACTGGCCATGCACACCAAATTCATAGTAGCCCCCTGACTGCACCTGAAGCTAGCCAATCACCGCTTAATACGATGATACGTGATACGTGCGAAAGAATTTTGCAGGCTTGAACGCTTGAACCTAGGCGCTAGGAAAATTGAGCCACCAAACAAAGCTTGCTGGATAGCCTTCCTTCACGTTGTCCACCACAAGAGCATGGCAATGCCTGTTGTTGCTGCGACAGTCCACAGCCACAATGTCTCCTGTAGGGAGGACTGCAAGGATGCAGGGGAGGGAACTCCTGCAGGTTTCAGGCTGGAGAATGTCCAAGGAGTTCAATATGTTCAATGATCAGGAGTCTGGAAGGTGCCAATACAAGACCGAAGAGGAGCTTTCCTGAGCCGCTAGCGGCTAGCGGCTAGCCACAAGGCTCTGTCCAGTTCGTACAGCTTTCGACGGAAGGCGAATACCTTGCTACTCATCTGGAGCCTTACAGGATGACAAGCCAGCCGTGCTGCCGGCCTGGGGTAAAGAACTCGAAGAGGTTGTGCTGCCAAGCAGACGAAAAGGTGCCACGCTTGTCGCTTGGAGTTTGGGCGCACTGCCACAGAAATGCACCAAAAGGAGGCATGCAAAGCTCTTCCACAGAGACTTCTGACATCACGGCGTGCTAAAGCTGTGATGTGGACTGTGGCATCTTGAACGTGTCTTCGATAAGCAACGTCTGTGGAGTTACTGCAAGCAAATTATCCTGACGTATGATTGCTTGGGCTGTGCTGTCATCATGACGCCTATAGGTCCTTTTACATTTCATGTAGTGCAACATCGTTGGCAAGGCCGTGCAAATTCATTACATGCAAAGGTCTCACACAACTTGCAGCTTTGAACCACGCAGCACTAGATCCTGCAGCCAACAATGGCATGCAATTAACTGAAACCCGTAACCCTGGTTTCAGCTTCACCTAGCTGGTTCTAGTTGCGCTTGGTCAGTACTCGCAGGGGCGAAGACATGTTCACACGATCTGTGGGACTCCAAACCTCTCTGAATGGGTTGCGCCGGGTTGCGCCTGAAAAGCCGAAGGATGGGTCGATGCTTTTGTTGAAGGGTCTTTTGGGCCGAGTCGTGAAAATGCAAAGTTGGGCATGTACAGTATTCGCCGTGCTTCAACAGCGATGACACACACACACACACACACACACAACCCCCTTTGTCCAGGCACGCTGTGTTTTGGGCGTCACCTTCTGTGCCGGAAGCTTGTCAACACCAGCAGCGTTGGTGCGGCCACTGGTGCAAAGCAGCCACAAATGCTGGCAGCACACGAAAGTTGATCATGTTCAATGGGCTCGGCGTCAAGGTGTAACCAGGGCTCTGGTGAAGGAAAATCATTGGTGAGAGCTGCCAGGGTCGCTTCCCAGGGGTCGAGTGCATGCCGCTGGCCCTGCTGCTGCCTTCACTGTGGCTAAGCGACTGAAGCCATGCACAGCTGCAATGCATTTACATCGCACCCGCCATCCCTACAGCATGATGAACCTGTCTACAAGTCTACGACAGATTGAACAGCGGCTGGCAACCATCACAAGGTGCTCGCGATCTCGCTGCGCTCGCGCGGCAAACGCCTGGCATCTCAGACTTTAAGTGCAACGAGCTTCGGTCGCATCATGGTCAGCATTCATCAGCAAGTGCATCAATTGGTCTTCCCGCGGTTCGTGCAGCAAGTCGCAGCTTGCAAATACCCAACCTGTACATGGGCGAGCCAGCTGCTGTGGCTGCTCCTCCTACACTATTAAAACGTTCAATGCTGCAAAATACTCCCCACAAGGAGCTGGCAGTCACGCAGCTGTTTCTCTTCACATCCTGGAGGTTGGGATGTCCCCCTTATACTAACAGCCCTTCATAGGCATTCTAGTACCCCCCCCAATCCTACTCCAGGGTTTAGGGCTTAGGGCTTAGGGCTTAGGGTTTAGGACTGCCAGTATATGGGGGAACATCCCGACCTGGAGAGGCCAAGGTTTGCACCAGGAATCAGCGAGCGCTCACCCCCAACAAAGACCAAACAGCCTATTTTCAGGTCGAAGCAAATCTTTTTTTGTTGAAGAGATACTCCCACTTTATGTACTTATATACTACTGTACGCAACAAGGCAAAACATGTCACAGTATTATTTGTGATTTCTTGCTTGTGGTAGAGTATGGATATCCAGTCAAAGCCACTTCTTCGATTCGATCGACAGGTCCACATCGGATGGGGTGTAGTACAAGCTCGCATTGCCTTATTTCCGAAGCACAAGACACAAGACATGTTTTCATGCCTCTGAAATGCTAACTTGAGGCAAGGTGCCCTCGGAAATGCAGCTCAATGCCTCATTCTTTCGGAGCACTTGCCAAAGTGCGATACGGTCTTCCAGCTTCTCCACCTGCACCATGACCCATCGGTCGCAGCACAGAAAGCAAACATCATGGAACCATCTCAGGGTTTCCGAAATGAGGGGTTACCTTTGTTGGGGTCCTTATTAAACGGTGAATCCTACTATTTGGGGTCTATATTCAAGGGTGAACTCTCAATCTTCGCTTTCACCTGTACTTGGTCAGACACTGCCTTTGGCTCCAGGCCGGCGATGAACGCGGAGACCCTGTTGGCTTCTGCACGCCCAACCACCTCGGCCTCCGCCTCTGAATGCTGGTGCTTGATGGCCTTAGACTTTCAAAGACTTTCAACATTCACAGCGGCTTGGGGTCTTCGACATGCCGGTCTGCGATCGCCTTTCTGTTATCCTCCTCACTCTCACACAAGGCCGGCAAGGCCCTTGGAGTCTTAGGTTTAAGGACCTTCTCCTCCCTCATCTCCAGACTCATACGGAACCAACAACCGTGGACCACTGTCGACAGGAAAGCTGAAGAGTCGCAGCGAGACACAGCCGGACACATTCTTGGAATCGACATCCTCAGGAACCCTTAAGAAGAGGCGCACTGCAGACGTACGATCAACTTTTGACCATCATATTCAGAAACATACGGTGCAACGAAGTAGAATGCAGAGTCTTTGCGTCCAAAAAATCAATGAAAACCGTGTTTCTGTTTACCGAAGTTCGCCTCCCAGCCTCCGACTTCTCGTGTCAAATCCCAGTGTTCCATACAGTATCATCGTCTTGAAGATCAAAGTACGTGATCACATATTCCGTTACTTCAGCAAGCATACCGCCATGGGCCCCAATATCCCAAGAGACAGATCTGTCTACTCCAGTTCTGAAGCTAGCTTCATCGACGAGCTGCCAGCAGTTCGCCGTTAAGACGCTCCTGCTCGATCTGGCCATGGGTACGAAAGAGGCTGACCTGAATCGGTGGCTGGTGGAGACCAAGTGCATGTCACAACACAACTCCGAATGCTGCCAAGCAGCCTCATTCTCTGACTCCGCTTGCGAAAGGCGGTTCATGCGATTTGTGGTCTCCTCCAAGTCCAGTTGTGCTAAACGGCACAAGGAACGTCGAAACACGCTGAGAGTGCCGTGTTCTCATGTCTACGCAGTCTCCTGAATAATTTGCTCCAGAATCTCCGAGGTTCGAGAATCCGCGCATTGGTAGCGCGTCACCTCCAAGGAGTGGATCTTGACACCTCGAGAGGCGTAGAATTCCGTGTCCTCCTCCCAAACACGCTTGGCGATGGCATGGGAGCTGTCCATGAACTCCTTCAAAGTCACTTTGGCGACGTGCCGGATGAACTGCGATCTCGCATGGTTGCAGAGATCACCACTGGTGTCCTGTGAATACAGCTTGTAGGGCTGGAGGCTGCAGGGCAGGCCGTTTAACGCGGTTCAGACCCTGGGAGTTAGCAGTTGGGATTGCAGGTTTGGGTTCATTATTTGTTGCCAATGGCTTACAGATCACGCTGTCCCCAGTGCTCTTGACCATGGCTGGAAGATCCACAACTTCCCAGAAGAAGGTTCCCTCAAGGATGAGCTCCACATTGTCCGACGTGCGGCAGTTGAATTCGAAGGACATAAACTGAGCACGACAGTCAAACCTCTCAATGAAGAGGTTTCGGGTCTCTCGCCGCCGGCCCTTGCTCCAGCAAAGTTTCACCGTCTCTGCATACGGCTCCAGGAAGAAGGCGCGAGGCTGCCCAGGTGATCGTTTCTCCTCGCTGCCATAGAAATACTGAAACTCACCTTCTCGGTTCTTCACCTCAGGAGGTCCATTGACGTGGGTGTACATGAACTGGCGCCCCTTACACGACCGCCTGCAAAAAATGCTGGATGCTTTTTCTCAGGAGCAAGCAATGAGAGCCTCGTGGTCTGCCAGCCGGATCAGCTCCTGCACTTTCCTGAGGTTGAAGGCAGCAAGCCAGGCAAGCCAGCCTACACTCACCTAATACGCAACCTCTCTTCAAAAGCATCAAAAGGCTAGACAAGGCAAGGATCTCGATTGTTTCATTGGGACCTGGGACAAAGAGCTGCTTCTCAGTGACCAGTCGCACTTGCCCGGTACTCTTGTCCCGCACGAGTACTGCATGTTCGTCATCCACCTCGACGGCCTCAAAGTACAACAGAAATCTACCAACAAAAAGACCACTGGGGGTACACATCACATGGCAGTAGTAGAAGTGCTCCACTTCGGAGTCTATCACACTCTCTCCGCGTCGCCTTCTTCTTCCCGTTGTCCAGCACTTTGTCATGAGGCCCAAGGAAGACTTGCTTGCTGGAGCCATTGGAGCCAGATTCCACGCGGATCACTCCCGTGGACTGGTCAAGGAGCTTGACATACTCGTGGACCTCCACTTTGAGTACTTCGGTGTCGCAGTAGCAAGTCGCGAAGTCAAGTCACAACAAGGCTATTGAGCTACAGACTTGTGGAACTCACCCTGATTGCTTTGATTGTGATGTATGTGGCGAACACTATGGCAGGAACTCTTGTGTCTTGACTCGCGCTGCGCCTTGAGGTCCATGGCTTCCATGACACCACCGTCCAAGAGTTCATCGTCCGGGCTAGGGAAAACCGTCTGTTCCCCACGGTACGACGCAACCTGCGGAATGAGGGGATATGAGGGATCATCTTGCAATTTTATTGCAACCCCCACCCCGCCCAAGTTGTGTTGCACCAAATTCTTACTCCCACTTCGGAGTCGGGCCTTGCCCGTGACCGTGTCCATGAGGCGCACAAACTCGTATGATTTCAAGGCCTTAAAGGACACTTCAGAAGCACATGCAGAGGTCGAGACTTTCAAGTGTCACTCGCTGCAAGTGAGCCGCCCAGGCTTTGCAAATCCCACTGCATTTTGCAGTGGCACCTTCAACATGCCAAGTGGGCTCTGGGAACACCAAGGCTTTACCTTTCTCAATCCATCTCTTTCCAGAGGACCTCAGAAGTATCAGAGAGTTTGAAAAGCTTGTCACTTTGTTCCGTGCTCTAGGAAGATCTTTGAATGATCTGGTCGGGGCACGTGTCCTTCACCTTGATATACTCATCTTCCTGCAGAGCGATCGCCGTGGTCTTGGCGCTGCTTCGCTCATATGGGCCTGGAAACCAGACTGCGGGACCTTTGACAACCTTTTTGTCGCCGGTGAGCTGATCCTTCAGGGGTCGGATACTCGGCAGCCACGACAAGAAGAGCAACAGCAGTAATTGAAGCGACAGGGCAGCCAGTGACAGAGTCTGCAACTCAGAAAAAAGGAAGCAGTCCTCGACAATGAGATATTCGATGCGGCTCAGGCTCACTGCCGCACCCCGATTGGCATCCTCATGCGGGCCCGGAAAGAACATGCATGGACCTTTGACGATGCGCCGCTCACCCGTGAGGCGGTCTTCCACAATGGCAAACTCCGTGCTTCCAAGGCTGAGGCCCTGCTTTCTTTCCACAACTTGCTCATAGGCACTGAGGAAGAAGAGCTTCGGACCTTTCTCGACCCGCTCTTTGCCCTCGAGGCTGTCCCTCACCTTGACATAGTCCATGTTGCCCAGAGTCTCAGCCTTTCGTCTGGTTGCTAACCTGTAGGTGAGCGGATTAAGAATTGCAACGCCTGGCCCATTCTGTACATAGGCTCCGGTGAACCCTTCCACCCACACCTGTTCATCCTGGCCAAGGCAGTGGATTGCCCTCTGGCCAACTGCTATGCACACACCGATGACGCTAACAAGTCCCAGAACGAGAACGAGAGTGGGGAGAGTGATGAGCTGAAAGCCAAATGAGGCCAAGCCCGCCACGCCAAGCACCACCAACGAAGGCAAGATGGGAACTGCCATTGCGCGCAAGGTTGCGTAAAGCAGTGAGATGGGGGTCGTCCGCCTTGATTGAAACAGCTGGTTCATCGGCGGACGTAGAGCGCAGGAGTTACGGGCGAGTAAATGCGGGATGGGGTATGGGTGGGAAGGTTGGGGAGGGACGGGGTAAGGGAGGGAGGGTGGGGGGAGGGAGGGCAGATGGTTGGCCACCGCTGTCAGGTGGACGTTTTTGGCAACTTCCTTATCTTCTCAATACCAGACTACCTTGCCCTTTGTGCGGAGTCTCAATAAGCAAGATGATGGTCAGGCTATTCTTTTGTGGGTGCTGTGACTGGAATGTACTTCTTGCAGTATATCCAGCTGCATATCTGCACAGCGATGGGTAATGACGGGTGTGTCTAAAAGAGAGTTTCTAGCACAATCCACTTATGACAGAGGGAGCGGCAGTGTGATCGTAGCAGGACTGTTGCTCTGTACCTGTGCACTTTCCATGGTTTTCATCCCGATTCAAGAGGGTGACGGTTCGGTCTCCCCGCCTCAGCCCTGGTCAATCTTCTCAACCTCTGGCACCTGCAGCAGCGCTGCAAGCAACTCCGAGAGAAGGGAAGGCTCATGCAGCTTTCAGATTTCAGCACATGCCACAGGCATCGCACTAACGGCACGTTGTCCTGTCGCCAACAGACTCTCAACTCTCAACTCCAAGCTCGCCCCAGCCTTCATTAGCAGGTCTGTGAGGCGGGCATCCTCCACAGGATCCGGGATCCAGTTGAACAGAAACTCGCTGCAAGGTCTGGAGAAGAAAGAAGCCTTCTCCTTGCCACTTGAGAGAATAATCTCCAGCATCTCCTTGCAGTCCGCACACCGCAGGGATTCTTGGGCATTCTTAGGGGCTCTATTCACAAGGGTACGATATATGCATCTATATATATATATACATATCTGCATTTCTTTATTTCTTTATTTCTGTATCTCTTTATGTGTTTATTTGTGATTATGGAGGCTTCTACATTTAGATGTGTATTTGTATTGATATGCCAGTATGTGTGCACATATACCGCAAGTAGATGCCATTAGTAGGTCCTTTTATTTTTGAGGGGCACACTAGCCAGAACTAGCCAGACATCTCATTGACAGCCGACTTCCAGTTGTCCCAGTCTTGTCACCTCTTCGAGCTTCTTCATTGAGTGCTTGGCGCACGCTAAGCGCTCTTCCGCCTGCAGCGACAGCTTGCAGCACCCTCTGAAATAGAATTCTTAAACACCACCCTCGATACGACTTACGACCCTCTTTAAACACAATAAGGGAAACTGCAACATTGTCCCAAAGTCTTGCGTATACCGTAGAGCCCCTTAGCGCACTCTGCGGAGTACCGAACCAATAAGGCATAATTACAAGTTGCACGGAGTGCAACTTGTACGTAGCCTGCATCCCAGACTTAAACTTGAAGTCGAAACACCATGATTCGTCATTCGAGGAGGCGTGTCCCTGCAGCATAAGCCCATCAAGACCTTGCTACGCACAGGCCTCTATGTAGGCGTCAGTTGCTCTCTGCATGGTATCCTTCTTTGAAGACACCTGCGCCCGACACATTTGCATGAACCTCCACTTGAGAGCAGGGCGGACGAAAGCCAGGCCCGCACAGATGGCAGGCGGCAACTTGCCAAACCGTATAGCGTATGTCAGCATAAGTTGAGAATCCCCAGGGGGCAGCGTCGCATGTAATTACAAGAACGTCTGCGTCGTGTGTGCCAAACCGTAGTATCTGTCAGCATAAACTGAAGATCCCAAGAGGGGGTCCAAGGGGAGGGTGTGGGGGGGGGGGGGTGTAAGAGTCAGGGGAGGCCTCGCCCATTTTGGGTAATTGCACCACCGTGGCCCAGATCATAGCCATAATCTCCTAAAACACTTTACCCTATAGAAAATAAGGTGCAATTATCCAAAATGGACAAGGTAATGGGGTCGCCCCAGTTTGGGGTATTACATCACCGTGAACATATAAAGCACAACTAGTAGCCCATTATCCTTAAAATACTCTGTCTCATCCTATTTATCAGGTGATGTGACATCCTAAACTGGGCAAGGTTAGGTTTATTCATTTTATGGGGAATAGTATGGGGTAGTTGGGTGGGGTATTCAATAATAATTTACTTTTATTATTAAATTATCATTGGTTTAACATTTATTGTTTTAAGCATTCGCCGTAATCTTCTTCCATTTTTTGAATACTTATATTGATCCATTTAACAGCATGTTTTGGTTTTGCATCTAAATATTTAGTGTCCTTGCTTCCTCCGTTCTGACATAGTATTTCAATATGCTCAATCAGTTCAGAGTATTTTTTAATTAACTGTTTATCTTCTGGGACTTTCCTTCTAAAAAAGAGATATCATTCTTAACATTACAAACATCTTCGTCATCAAATATACCTTCGTATTTTTTCAGCTAGCTTTCGTGATAAGTTTATCTAGCTATTGCTTGGTTGGTGTACTTCGCTACATGCAGCGTGCTGAAACAAGCACCTCGCGCTCGAGCGTCCGCACGGCGCGCCCGCGCGACTCGATGGCAGTGCGCAAGTCCTGAAGAGCTCCCATCAGGCTTGAACGGGCAAAGCCGCACAGCTGGACGTCATCAAGTCAGTGTCGCTTTGGCTGCAGTTCAATCGTTCAAGAGCTACAGTATGTGACTGCCGCCAAAGCCGCCGAAGAATCAATCATGACTGTTGACTACGTCGAGCATCGAACAGTCCTGCACCTTCTTCTGCTCTGCCTCAGTGAATCCCAGTGAAGTGTGCTGGTCTGGCGAGGGCTTGTCGTAGGACTGGCGGTGCAGCCAAGACCGCTACGAGGGAGCACCCCGTCTTAAGCTCCTGCTCGAGGCCGGCCAACCTCCTCTCCTGCGTCAGGCTTTTTTGCAAGTCATACTCATCGTCTATCGTCTATGTATCCTTTCATAGTAGTGTCCTCCTCCATCAACTGCAGCTCCTTCTCCCGCATTTGGGCCTTCGAAACAGCGGGGGAGTTTGAAGGCAGTCAAGTCATGTCGAGCTCTTCGGGCCTGAAGCGCTGCCTTTCGCGCTTGTACCTCCCAAAGCCGTGATGCCTAGATCTGCCTATAGGCTACCATCACAGGAATGGCGGAATGGCGGAATGGGACAAACTCCGCAGATATGCCTCATCTCGCGCGCGAACGATGGAGTCCCTGGCCAGCTGCTCTTTGGCCCGAGTTGCCTTCGAGTCTAAGCTGGCTGTCCCCCCCAAAGAAATTTTTAGAAAACCCGGAAGTTGCTGAATTTAGATGTTCAGCATTCAACGCAGCTTGTGCGGTGTTCACTTCTGTCGTAAACCCCAACAAGATTGACATGTACGACAAGCGCCCGTCATGCACATTTGTCATCTGCCATGCGTCACGAAGGCAACTTGTGCCAGAGTGTGTCTTGGAGATGTATGGCCGCCGCCCGCCTCATCTACCGAGCGCGCAACCTCCAAGACATTCAAATCGCGGCCTGCCACGAGGTTGGATAGTCGGGGGACAACTGTGTTTCCATCATGTGCCAGTACACCTGCAGAGGAAGCACGGAACAAACCACGGTATGAGAACTCCGTGGGCGTGCGCTCCGGTACCCTTGAGAAGCCCTAAGGCCGTCGCTTTGAGTATCCTTCTGGAATAAGACCCAACCCCCGAAAAACCGCTCCCAACACTGAACATTCACCGGTGCCCGGTTGCGTCCCCGACTGCTGTACATTCGAGAATCAAGATCGAGTGTGTCGCTTATTTTGCTTTTGTGGGGCGCCTGTCGCTCATGCGGGGCAGCTTAAGCGGCTGGGCATTGAGCGTGCCTTCGGGCGCGGCGCTTGGCACATGAGTCTGGACTGCTTGGCCTGGCAAGGCCAAGGCAAGGCCAAGGCAAGGCCAAGGCAAGGCCAAGGCAAGGCCAAGGCAAGGCCAAGGCAAGGCCAAGGCAAGGCCAAGGCAAGGCCAAGGCAAGGCCAAGGCAAGGCCAAGGCAAGGCCAAGGCAAGGCCAAGGCAAGGTTAGGGCCGCATCCTCCAACCTTTTGCCTTATCGCCCTTAAGCGGATACACCATGAATTTGGGTTAGGCGGCAAGGGCTAACAGACTTGGCGCCTGGCCTTCGACTGCAGCATCGCTGCCTGCACAAGAGAGGGCATTGCCATTGAGTGGGGCGGCCATGCCGTTACAGCCAGCATCATGTCAAGGGAGGCCCGGGTGTGTTACACTTCTCAATATCCTTCTTTCCGCAGCGCAGCCAATAACAACCATGGCTCCACAGCTCGGGCAAAGACATGACAATCTCCGTTTCTTGCCCTTTTGAGCAGCTTCCTTTGCCTGCATCCTTGGTGCCACTGGAACCGACATCGTTGTCCTTTCCGGTGCCTGCGAGCACAGGTCGCTTCCTAATTGATATGGCATAGGCAGCGGAGACTTCCATGGACTTACTTGAATTTTGTACTGGTTGCTTGCACACAACTTGCCGAAGTCCCAATCAAGTCCTTCAGGATCCTTTGCTTCGGAAGCTTCTGGCGTTGTCGCCTCCTCTGATTGCTTTTGCTGCACCTGCAGCCATTCCAGTACGCGCACAACTGCCAAAAACGACACTGGGGCGAACACACCTGATGATGCTGCGTGCTCAAACAAGCTTGTTTGTGCCGAGCCTTTTCAGGTGTTTTTGGGGTGCTTGGCGGCTTTGGTCTCTGCTTCGCGCCTTAACTGGAGAATGACTGCAACCGTCTTGCGGATGTCAAAATTCTCGGTCTCGCTGCATCTAGCAAGCTGAGCCGATTGCAGCTTGGTTGATGCAGCTGTTGGACGAGACAAGATGACTCAGATGCTGACCGGTCGCCCGCGACTCTTTCGCAAGCGTCCTCAAGCACACAACTAGCATCAATGCTGATTCAAACTCTATGCACACGTCAGATAGCTTTAAGTGAAATGCCTGCTGTGCCCACAGTTGAAGTAATGATCATTCTCAACCAATGAAGTCTCAGTCAATCTGTCATAGTGTGCACGGACATGTTGCCTTTGATCTTATAACGCATTATCATAGTCGCCTACGTGTAACCCCAGTTGCAACTACCCATGAACCTCCACGCAGTGAAGTCTTTCAGGATTTCCATCAGGAATGCTTGTGTCACAAGTTTCTCATTTTGAGCAACTCCACGTCAACTCCTGACAAAACACTCTGGGCAGATCAAATGCTTTCCCAAGGCTGTTTGAGCGCTCATTGCTTGAGTCTTAGAAGTGCCGCTAAGCCTGCCAAAAAACTTTTAAGTTTAATGTCCAGCGTAAGCTCTGTGATCCTCTCGACGCTTGGAGAATTGGGCCCCCTATACCAAGCTGCATTCGCTTGTGGCTAAGGCTAGGTGCCCCCACGGCGGTGCTGGTGCCGTTGCAGGTGGAGGCGGTGGCTTGGCCACAGCCCGCGGATCCTGGGAGAATCTCCCATGGCTGCCTACTCACCTGGGACAACAGTAGTGCTCTACTCATGGCTACGAGTAGCGGCTAGTGGTTCTCTCACTCTGCTGGTCTGATACCTGCTTATGTTTTGCATGTGCGCGGAGACGCTTGTTCAGATACCTCCCATGATGCCCCCTGACTTTCTTGGGGCGAGGCATACCAGTCCAGCCCGGAGACCCCGCTGCCCGCCATGGCCCGGACGATCACTATCAGTCAAAGCCTATACGCATGTATGCATGAAGGAAAATTTCATATTTATCTATTCATGTACTTTTCCTATTTGTATACGCATGGGATGCCTGTGCAACACGGTCCGATAGCCATGCTTACCGCGAGGACACTTAGAACACTGCACTTGCAAGATGCCTCCTCCAAGTACCGATATTTCCGTGTGCCAAAACCCGGTCCACGTGCTTTCTACAGACCTCTGCAACGCCTGTACTGTACTCTGGGACAAGAAACGACCCTGACAGCAGCAGGTAAGCCCTTTCCCAAAACCCGGGCAGTGATGCATACCCTCTGAAGCGTGGCATGGCGCGCATGTGGGCGGCGGACATGGTACAAACCAACAGTAAGTATTGGCACGCCACCCAACATGACTGCATCCATTGAGTGTGGGAACTGGCCGATGGGGCAGACAAGCATGGCCTGACGTTCCAGGAATGGGCGCCTCATACTTTTGCGGCTGGGCGCATCCAGGCGCTTCTAAGCCGTGGTTGTGCAAAGAGCAATGTCATCTGGAAGGGTTACCCTCCAAATCTTCATTAACAAAATCCAACCTCCGCAAGAGCAGTCAGACAATGTCAGACGGCTGCAGCGCGCTAAGCGCACCGAAACCATCATGTAAGAAGCTGTTATGTAAGGACCTGTTGGCTGCTGCAGCCACGATGGTTCAGGTGAAGTCCGTGTGATTCGCGATGCCGGTAAGTGAGCTGCCTCCATTATGATGACATGTTCCTCTGTATCCATCTCTACATACTGTCGCTTGTGCCATATTGCGGAAGCACAGTATGACCTTACACCTGGTCTCACAGCACGCCGTGCAGGTGCGTTCCATGACACCCTGCTCAGCGGTCAGAAGAGGGCGGGGTTGGACGGTCACAGAAGTCAGCTCAGTCGTTTGGCAGCACGCCCTTGGTCCGACAGCGCTCCTCAACAGAAGGCTTCTCAAACTTGTCACGCCTGAAGAGGGCAGAGACTTCTGGCGATCAGTGGTTTCACCGTTTCACCATCTGTCAAACCACTGCGGCCCTGTGAGCAGCCACTATCCACTGCCATTGAACCCTGCTGCAAGCCAACCCTGGCAAACCATTAGAAAACCATATGCACCCATGTACCGTTTCTCTCTCACACACACACACATATATATATATATGTATATATATATATATTATCTATATATATATAGATACACATACATATATATATATAGACATATGTATGTCACAAGAAACTGCTGCGGCCTGAAGGTCCTTTCGACGCTCGGCGCTCCAGTCCTCAACGGTTTGAGCTGCGAAAGTTGGAAAAGTCGTGAAGCACCATGAGATTCTGCTGAGCTACGCCGTGAACTCGTGAGCTGCTGCACAGCAAGATGACGACTTCTTGGAAACCTGGCAAACCTATTGACCGTGATTAGCTTGCGCCTGGTTCTCGCGCTGGATCTCAGCCTTCTCCTGGCGGGAGCCAGGTCTCCGAAACGAAGCAAAAAAACTGAGGAGTTCATCCTGGACCACAAGCCGACATCACAAGAACACTACGCCAGCTCTAGGTGGGTCATGACAAGAACAGGCCATGCAAACTGGCATTACGTCCTTTCATGTCTCTCTCCCCCGGTCTTCGCATTGATCGCATTTACAATTCACCGCTTTGTAAATCGTCTTCGCTCCTTGGGACTCAAAATACGAACCTTCGTAGATGGGCTTCACCCGCTGGCCACCCGGCCCGAGCATTTGCTTCAAACAATGCCTTGGCGCGTAAACAGCCGCCTTCGGAGCAGGAAAGGCCCGTAAAGATCACCTTCAACATGTAATATGCGATTTGCAGCCAAAAAGGGATTGAGCATCTTTGTTGCAAACACTTCTACGGTGCATAGCGCGACATGACAAGCACATAAAAGAGCCCTCAAAAGCCGTCTTCGCCTGGAACATCGTCTTCAAAAAAAAACGTCTCTTCGTTCAATGTTGTCTGCAAGTCTTCGAGACGTCAACCGTCTTTGTGATCCAGCAAACTGTTCCCACATATATCTTCAAATATTCGTCTTCCCCCGGGAAATGGGCGTCCGCGGCAACAAGCTTTAAACCCTCGGCAACATAAGCCTGCAAAGGTTATGGCTCAAAAAAAACGGCCAGCAAGGGTTTGTCGGGGACCCTCTCTTGCCTCCTGGCTTAGATTCCGCACGAAGCTCACGAGGTCATTGTAGTGTGACTTCAGGGTGTCCAGCGAAGATCCCTGACAGCATGATTGATGGTTTGCAGAGGCCGAACAAGGGATCCAGATCACGAGCTTTTGGCATTCTTTGCCCGCGCACTTCTCGATCGGCGCGAACCGTTTAACTTGTGAATGCGTGATGCAGGAGCTTCAAGGGTACTGTGTGAGCAGAGACGTTGCCAACATGTCTCAGGCCGGACGTGCAAAATGCTGGCTACCCGAGCATCATTCCGAACGGCCTCGTTCGCCAGGGAGTTGTCAAGCGTGTTAAGGAAATAATTATACCTGCACACGGGCCAGTCCATCGCGGAGAAAGGAAGTTGCATGCCCAGAAACATCCACAGACTGCAGCTAAGCAACTAGGAAATCTAGGAAGACTTCTTTAGCAAAGCGGCTGACTGGGTTGCTGGCACGATGCGGGATGCTTCGTTCACAGGTACGCTACTGAAACTACAGCATCCGTGCCTCAACACCAGGCTCTGCCTCAGCTTGATACACTGAAGCGGTGATGGTGCCCACAAGATGTTGAAGTGCTTGAATAGCTGGACTGCCGGCATTTTTCGAGACATTCCCACCACTGCAGTCATGACGCAAGTTTCTCGAGCCGGCACCACTCATCGCTGCCCGGCGTCAAATGATCCAATGCGTTCTAGGATGCACTGCGCAGTCAAGCTTGCAGTGGATGCGGAGATGCACTACATGGAGTTTGCTCTAGAGTTGACCCCTTCGAGGCGGAATAGATTGATTCCTGTCATCACAAGACTGCTAGTACTAGGTCCCAAAAAAAGAATCCCCTTTTAACTGCGTTACATAAACAGGCTGTAGGCAAGGCTGCGCAACATCGACTCCTCCTCTTTTGCCGCTAATTCACGGGCTTGTTGCTTTACGAGCTGTCCTTCCCTTTAGCTACTGTGCATGGTACTGCGTCTTTGACTGTTTCGAGGATCACTAGAGTCAACTTGTCGTCCAAACTGTGCCTTTCTGCTTGCAGTCTCGCTTGCGAGATGGCTGCACTTGGCCGAACACGCATGCTACTTCAGAATAAAGCTAGCTTCGCTCCTGCACTTGGAGAAGTGAGCGCAAATGAAGAAAAAGACTGCACGCTGTCCTGCCCCGCAGAGTGTGGGCTGGACCATTTTCTTCGCTCCTTGGCGTCTTGGCGTTCTCACAGCTCATCTCTACCGCTCAGCTCAGCTTTGGCAGCCTGGTCGAGGCAATCAATAGCAAAGAGAAACACGAACTCTCAAAAGGCAGCCCCGGTGGCCCTACCTCACACGCTCTGGTTGCAAGCAAGCATTGCAGCCCCTGTTCTCACACCTGTCCCAGAGGCACGAGTGCCTTCATGGCTGCTTTCAGAGCGTTCTTGAAAGCCTGGGCAGAAAGAGCGGGAGTGTAAGTGTTCTGCTATATACGTCCTTCCAGTTGCCTCCTTTAAATGTCCGACATCAATTTGGGCAGTCACTCTCACATGAGGAAGAGAGGTATCGGGATAGCCAAAACATCACAAGAATCTAAGAAATAAGCAATTAAGTCACTGAGCCACCTGTTTTAAAGATCTTGGACCTGTCCAGGATTGGTCTGGGGTGATACAAATCCTGGGGGGGAGGGGGGCTCCACAGGCCTGATGCGGACTCAGGCAGCTTGAACACCAGGCCATTGAATCGCAACATGATACAGTGGGGTATTTTTCGTTAGAAAGGGTATGCTGGGTGGGTTATCAACATTTGTTAAATTTTGAGAAGGGATATGTTGTTGGGATTAGATGGGTTATCAGCATTTGTTAAATTTTGAGAAGGGACATGTTGGGATTAGAAGGGGAAAAGAGTGCGACTGTGTCTCGCGCCTGTCGATAGGCCAGGGCCATCTGCCGATGCCGGCCGCCGATCGGCTTGGGCTCGAAGGAGAAGGGTCTTAGATGGGGGTTTACGATATGAAGGGGCGTTATGTTTTAAAAAAAGTTGGTCCTTATTATGAGGGGATCCTACTATGTGGGGGTCTAGATACTAGGGGTCCCTTATTATCCTAGACCCCCAGATGTGGTACTTCAAGTCGTCTACGCTCGATCCTGGGACTGGGATGCATGGAGTTCAGGTTTGGGTAGTGATGGTACAAGTTGCCACGGGTGTCAGCCGGATTTTTGAGACACCGAGGCGCTGGTCCTCGCTCCCTGGGCCATAGAGCATGCCAAGGCGAGCCTCCCGCACCTGTCAGGATGATAAGGCATGAAGACCGCCCTGCTCCGCCGAGAACTTCAAAGTCCCATGGGGTCTGCTTTCTGAAGTGAATGTCTCGCACATGAAAGTCACGTCGGCCTGCAGATCTTCAAGCAAGTCAGCGCCATCTTCCACCAACCCTGTCAGGTTCGTGCCTGCAAAGAAGGCGGACGACTGGACTGGAGCGAATTGGAAAGCAATCGCAAGCAGAGGCCCCCGAGCGCATGAACTCCCTCAAGAAAGCAAGAGACGGGATACTCCACTGAACAGGGTCAAGCCAAATTCCCGCCACTTTCTCTACACTCTGGAACCCTATGCAGGACGCCGCAACAGGCCCATGCAAAGAAGTGGATGGCAGAAGCAAGGCAGACCTGCGGAAGGGAATCCCTCTGCCAAGGGCTCGCTGCAGCTGCAACCAGCGGCAACACATGTGGGAGCACAAGTGAACGCACACATGACACCTTATGTCGAACTATTGGGGCCAAGAGGGCATCTACGTCTACACTTCCCATCTGCAATGAAGCAGCAGCGTTGGTACCCAGAAAGGCACAGTTGCGGTGAACTCCCAGATTTCGCCAGGTCTGGGCACAATTCGGGCCACGCTCACCTTTTCACAGACCATCCCAAGCCCAGCCCTCTTCACCCTGCGGTGCCAGCTCGCTTCAGGAGCAAACAGCTAACAACGGTAACAACGGTAGTTCTCAAACGCAGATGCACTGGGGTACAAGGGTAGGATCCTGCAATAGCCTACCGAGCCGAGGTCCCAGCCAGGGCCGTGATCGTCGGTGTCTGCAAACCAGGCGGGCGTGCCTAGGAAACATACAAGATTCAAGTCATCACCAGATTTCCTGTCACTGGACAGATGTGACAAAAAACATTGCAATGCGCTCAGCCTGGCTCGATGGTGCTAAGGCAAGTGTTGAAGAAACGTGGTATGTCGTTGAAGGCTGTTGACATGTGCTCGAGTCTCAACTGTTCATACCTTCGAATAGGCCTCTGGGCTCACTAAGAGATGCTGAAGGCAAACTCATGGCACCCTTGCTAAGAAGCACAACACACATCCCCGAGAAAAAAAACATTCGATTCGGATTCCTTGAGCTCTCAAGGTGAGGATCAGCCGAGGCTCCCTTCGCATCCATCTGGATCCAGGCATGGCGCGTGCCGGATGCCGCGCTGTCAAACCACCACATGACGGGTGGATCTTCGATGAACCCATAGTTCCTGCGGCCAGGTTTGGAGGTGCCCCCTGCAAACCCTAAAGAGCCCTAAACCGCGCAAAAACCAACACTTCTGAAGTTCGGCCCGTCTGAGCCAAGGGACCTAAAACTTTCGGGCGCCCCGTCAAAGTCATCGGCATGCATGCCGGCGGCCTTGGCAGGGGGTCGCGTCCCCTTTGGTCGTCAGAGGGTTTTTTTGGGCAACTGAGGTTCTCAGGGTGGCAAGGGACCTAGTGGTACACACTGCCAGGGGTAGCTGGGCAATGAGGGTTGTAATTAGAGTCAGAGGATTTGTATGTATGTTCGGGAACTTGGGGAAGGCTCACACCAGACCCGCACAGGTGCAGGCTCCTTGATCTCCAGCATTAACTTCTAACCTAGTTACCCAATAACTCGCCTGGTACCAGGGGGCAGGCTGCCTGATGACCTCTGTCTCTGCCCCTCTTCACTTTCACGTGTGAACAGGGCAGCGGCCAAAGTTGGGCGAAAGGCCACTCCATTCCTGAAGAAATCCACAAGCACAAGAACACTTGTGAAATGTCATGCCTCCAGCTGTGTGACTGCACTTGCGCGCGCAGCTGAAGTTGCGCGCCGGGGCGCACCATTGAATTCAGAACTTCGCTGCCGGCTTTGATCTCTGACGACGCACGAAACCAAAAGGTTCCTGCACGCATTGCCATGCTCCCAATTTTTTATAAAGAAGAGCCTCGAAATACTTCAATGGTTTCCCCATGTGCTGACACTCACTCTCCAATGCAGCTCTCACTTCACAGTTTCGTGATTCGCGATGCCTCTGCCATGGGGCTTCGAGAAATCCTCCTGATCGAATCCGTGCCAGGTCAGGTTGTATCCTTAGGCTGCGCCATGACCCCGATGTCTCGAAATGGGACAATTGAGACATGTCTGAGGCCTCAGGCCATGATTCATGATGTCGGCAACAGGGGTCATGCCTGATCATGCACCCATGACTTGGGTGAATGCAGCAAAGGCCAGGAGGGACGGGGTGAGGGTGTTGGACTCTCTGGGTGCCTAGAGGCCCAGCTCGCGTATGGTACAAAAGCAGCGCTCGCAAGGCCAAAGCATCCCCATCCTTGGCATCGTGTCTGTCTTGTGGTCAGTGCCGGTACTGTCGCCCCAAGAAACCCAAGTACCCTTCGTCCCTTTACGATACCCTAAGATACTCCATTAAGGTAGACAAGAGGGCCCTTGTTAAGGGGGACTTTTGGGGGGGAATCCACCCTAAACCCCAAACTACCAACTCCCTCACACACCAAAGCCTTGAACGCGCCCACGCAGCGCCGTAGTTGCAGTTTGGGCTTCAGGGCTTACCTGAATGCCCACGTATGCTGAAATAAAGCAAAGACCCCAAATGCCCTAAGCCTAAGCTATACCCTCAAACCCGATGTGCTGGGGTGTATGTCTCGCGGACTGAGCTTGGCCAGTGAACCCCTGCGATAGATCTTGACTGCGTGAGCGCCTCGGGACTCTGGCTAGGATCCGGGGCAATCTGTGGGTCTCTTTAGGTGCCACCTTTCAAGAACTCGGACTCATTTCTCGAACTTGAATGAAGCTGAAGGCTTTGAAGGCTTCGAAGGCTTTGAGCTGCACCTGTCGGCTGTACGAATCTATTTGCAGAGGCATTTGCAACTGAGCAACGGATTCGAGGCAATCCCGGAAGTACTGCTGGGTATAGCTTTGCCAGCCTAGGGGTCTACAATCCAAGACTGCGCCGTACACCCCGCAACGTGTTGAGTTGGGCACGTGGGAGCTATGTTTGCAGGCATTACATAAGAACTCTGCGCTAAGGAGCCACCTTTCGGTGTTGGAAGTCCATCTAGCAATGCCACATCCTCTACTGACCACACTGCCGGCACGTTGATCTCGAGTCCATGCAATGTCTTCAAGTAAGGCCAAAAGAAGGAGCATGTACCCTTCTGCAGCTCATTGCGCAGGCGCTTGATGGCCAGGCATGGCGATCGACCATCCAAGATGATGAGTTCGCTGGGCAGCGACACCAAGACCTCTGAGACCTCGAGGTCCTCTGTCGCGAATAGACCTCGACCCAGCTCTCCACTTCCGATGCGGAGGCGAGGGCTGAAGAAGCCCCCGTGACCTGTCGTGGTCAGAAACATGTGTCCCATGTGTCATGTGGTATTTAATATATAAGGACTCCTATATACACATATAATATGTATGTATGTATATGATAAGCCGTGAACATTTATTAGCATGTTCTATATGTTTAGCAGTCTGAGCTGCTGGTGATCCATTCGATGAGGTCCTCCTGAGGTTCTGGGCAGCTGGAAGGTCGTGGGAGTGCCGTGCATCCCAGCACACAGTCGGCTTCGAACCCATCTGGGCAGCTCAGCCAGATCGCTTCTCCCTGATAAGTGCAGGCGGCAAGCGCAGCACAGCCCAGTGAGTTCTCCTTGCTGTACAGCAACTGGGTACCTGACATTCAAGACATTCTCGAACATTGACAACAAACATGTGCGCATAGGGCTGCCATTGGTGAGTTGCGTCGGTGGATGCTACCCGGCGGCAATAGGCTGCTTGCGCTGACGTATTGGAGACGTTGGCCCACTTCACAGGACGCGCAGGGCCGTCGCAACATTGGTCTGGCGGTGGGTGCACCCCAAGCGCGCCAATCAGTAGCGAAGCACTCACGCACAAAGCACGCGCAGCCATTTTTGCTTTGCGAGAAGTGACTACCTGTGCCGCGCGTGTTCACCATCTTTGCTGCTCGTGTCTTAACAGCATGGTCAGGCACATGTCCCACATCACGCTCCCCATACAACAGTATCTGATTACTTGACCTCAAGACACTAAATTAACTGCGTGTAAGGGTTGGCAATGGACCACATTTATTTTGCACCGCAGTCTTGGCAGTGCGCACCACCCTTGTCTTTTCATGGGCTGTTGAGCCTTCTTTGGCTGCAAGGACATGCTGCACAAATGTACCGCTGCACCGCTGCAGTGTCTGCAGTCCGCCACAACTTTTACCCATCGTGAAGCTCAGCTGGCTTGAGGCTGCTCCACTCCTCCCGAAGCCACAGAATGCCGCGCTTTTCGTCAGGATCCTCGCTGAGCACCACTTACTGAGTCTGACTGACGGGTGCTTGTGTCACGTGCTTTGCCCAACTCACATCAATGCCCAACTTGCTGAGCGCCTTGGACACCAGCTGCTCCAGAACGGACGCAAGCTCTGAATTTGGTGGAGACGTAACCTCCCGCCGCCTCCCTCCAAGGTCCTTGGCATGAACATGTCGCAAGACTCAAGATGTTGTTGCGCCTTCAAACGGTGTGAGGCGGCCTGCGAGCTTTCTGAACAAATTGCTTCAATGATCTGCCTAGCATCATAGAACACCAGACGGTACCGATGCAAGCAGTTGTGAGGCGAGATGGCCATATCGGCAGTGTAGGTCGCTGTGCTGGAGTACTTTCCTAAGCAGCAAAGGGGCAGGAGCTCAAAGCAAGCCAAGGCCTGACATGGCAAATTCCAGCAAAGGGGCCATCTCTCAGGAGCGGATGACCGATATGCGCACTGTGGCTGCGTATCTGATGTTGTCGACCCGTAACGATTTCAATCGCCAGCACGCTGACCGATGTGTGCATCACCGATCCATGCTGCATGCACTTGACCTGGTTGCCAAGCAGACTCATCAATCTATTGCAGCGGCAAAACACATACACTACGTCGCGCAGCAACGCTTCGCCCAGTCGGTGAATATTAAGGGTGCCAATAGCAGTGCGGTTCTGCCAGAACAGGTTTTGCAGTGGCTTGTGGCTGCTTCCCGCGTGCCTTTGTCCATGACGGCTTCCCACGGCCGCCGGCTCGTGTCAGCGGCGCTGTCCTGCAAGTCGCGGTCTGGACTCAAGACATTAAGCTTAGAGGGTCCTGTCGAGCTTGTTCCATCTGCACCCAAAGGCTGCAGCCATAAGAGCTCGGAGGCACAAACATGCAAAGCATATGTTGGTCCACTTAACTTGAGCTTCGCGAGGTCCATCCTCAATCGTTTGAAGCCTGGAGCTAAAGTGTGCTACGAAAGCCAGAGACCCTAACTTTCAAGCCCTCAACTTAAGCATCTCTCCCCAACTGAACAGTATGAAACCCCCCACGCCCGCCCACCGAGGGGCCCACCCCAACTCATAATGAATCTATAATCAGAAGATGCTCATTGGGTGCAGGGGCTTTAGGATGAGACCTTGAGATGATTTGACTCAGATCTCCACATCACTCTCTTCCCGGTGCCTCCAGTACAGCTGGGCCTGGATGTCCCGGGACCGCTGCCAGCCGTGGCTCAGTCCCAGGTAGTCTCTGAGAAGCCCTGTGTCAAGGTGCAGAGCTTCTTGATTCAACGCCCAACTATTCCCTTGGCCCCGTTGAAACCCGTCACGGGGAGTTGAGGTTTGGGGGGAGGGGTTGATGGTTTTGTAGAGATTCTACACAAGCCAGCTGGTTCGTACAGAGTCTGCTCTGAACACCACAATGCCCACTCGCATAAATGCGCGGTGCTACAACCAGCAACAGTGGTTGAGCCCAGGGTCGATTGGAGGAGAGCTGCACAGAGAGGTCCAAGAAGGCCTCGTAGCCTTTCGCCTTGGAAGTGAATGCAAACGTGCTGCCATCAGTGCCTTGGCTTAAAAACAGGCTTCTTGCCGCGAAGACAAGGCTGACTAAAGCAGACCGAATCGTGTAAACTTGGCTTCCTGCCAACAGGAGAAGTCCAGAGCTCGGCACATCCAGACGGTGAAGGAAACCTTCACAACTGCTGGATTGCTGCGAGTTGACAGGAGTGTCTCGAAAACCAGCGATCTCAAAAGAGGGTAGTACTTGTAGTGCAACGATTTCCAAGTGCTGTCAGGGCACCGCAGCCAAAGTCTGCATCCGACAAGATGGGCGCATCATAGGAGAGCACCTGCTGGAGGAACTCCGACAGCTGATGCCTCCACTTCCGGTTGTCCAGTGCAAATAGAAAGTTCCACATAAGTCTGCTCTGACTGCACCTCTGCGATGCACTTGACAACATCAGAAAGCCCAGCGGCCCGGTGCTTCCATCGTAGACCTCCCAGTCCACCGGCTTCGAGACAATTAGGCTCTCCGGAAGCTCCAGCTCCACCACTGGGTACATCTCAGACTCCTGGCATGGGAGCGCAGTGGGGCAAGCAACTTCTTGAAGCAGTCGACTTTACGATTGGCTCCACGTGTAAGAAGTCCAATTTGCGGAAGGCAGTCCGTCCTCCATTGCCTGAAGACCTGCCGCCCGCCCAGTCCACGCGCCCAGAACGCGATCACGCTCACGTCCGGCATGACGCAGTGTTGTGGTTGCAGCAGCAAGAACCTGTGCCTTAACCAAAGCAGGAAACACGCCGAGACAGTCCACGTGCCTTCCAGTGAAACATCGTGCACTGCACAGCGCTGCCGAGCCGCAGATAAGGCGCCCCGCAAGCTGGAGGCACGCAGGATGCCTGGACGGTGAAAAGCATGTCAAGAGTCACAAAGACAACAAGAATGCAACACAGGATGTCGACAGAACACCCGTTGAAGGCCGCATATTATGGTAAGTCCCAGTGGCCCAAGATATCTTGCATCTCGCGAGGTTCCAGTTCAGGCTTTGGCACCTGGGCCTCCAGCCACAGCTGCTGTATCTCGCACAACATCCTCGGATTCTTTGGATCAGAAAGCAGCTGTCACATCCCCTACCCTACGATCGCCCACACCCAACTCTCAAAATCAACTGAATGGCTCCAAGGAGCCGATGGTTCGAGCGCGATGCGAAGGCTGCAGCGCCCCATGCCACTTCCAGAAGCTCAGCAGTGCCATAGCTCTGCCTCGGGAGGGCATGCGATGTCAGCGGTGTCATGTGAGATACTTAGTGGGACGGTCGAGGTTCTTTTGCGAAACGCTCAGAAAAGTTGACCGCTGTTGCACATTAACATATCATGTGCCCTTTAAACCTCCATCAAAAATGATTCTTAAAAGTCCCGGAGCTCAATTAAGAACCCCCCTCAATTGAAAAGGCCAAAATAGGTGAACATTGTAATTACACATACTATAAGCGTATGAATATATATAAATACACATATACATATACATATATACATATATACATATATACATATATACATATATACATATATACATATATACATATATATATATATATGTATATATACACATGCATACATATTGTAGTAGATAGAAAACTGTCTAATATACAAATATAATATTAATACATATAGGACGAAGCCCTCGCAGGCGCTGCGGCCAGGAGGCGCCTCTCGCAAGGTCTGCTCGCGCAGTCGGTGCTGGAAGTGCTCGCTCAGCGCCCCCAGCAGAGCCATCGAGCGCCAGAGACGCCACAATGGCAAGCGCGTTTCCGGAGTGCCCAGGCACAGGCAACGTGCAGCCTCCGTCACGGCAGCGTGGATCACCTCAGGACCCACATGTCCTATTTGCTCCGGTCCGCAAAAGCTCATCACTTCCATCCCAGGAGATGGTGCAGCAAACCAGTTTTGAAAGGTTCGGACGTCAGAGGTGATATGCCCATGATCACAGAGGTATAGCGTGAACTACTTTGTTTTGCAACACCGAACATATAATGACACAGAGAGGCGAAACACCGCCAGCCCGAGGCCCGAGGTGGCAAATTTCCAAAAGCTCGAACACCTTGTCCCTCAAAAAGACGATTCTCCCCGGATACGAAATTCCGAAAGTACCGAGTCGAGCACCTCAGCGTCCTCCACCGCGATCCTGCTAAGGGCCACCAGAAATGAAGAGATCGGAAGGAAGATGCCGGCGTCCTGAGAGGCAAAGGCTGTTCCCATTCCCGAGTCCACGACGCTGCATACACTACAGAACTTGCTAAGCGGCGAGTCATGTGCATCATGTAAGCAGTCCTCAGCCTGCCAAAGTAGTGCAAGCCCTTGCTCATGCTGCAATGAGTTTTCGCACGCGCCGATGGCCGTACTGATGCTGACATCGGTAATCGGCACTCCCGCATTCTCCATTTGATTTAAGCATTGCAGTGCCCTTTGCCAGGCTGACTCCCCTAATCCCCATGCGAAGTTGGATGCGAAGGATGCGAGCAACGCGTTCCAAGCGATGGAGTTGCTTTGAATGCTGTCCTGCGCAATAAGTTCCAGGACGCCAAGGCTCTGCTCCCACAGGCTTGCTCTTGAAAGGGTGCTCATTGCTGCGCTGCAGCCTATCACGTCGCGCTGCAGCCGCTTGGCGCTCATGTCGCTCAGAAGTTTCAGGACCGAGCTGTTCGACGAGGTGCTCGCCGACGCCTCACAGGCACTGATGGCCTCGGAAGAGACTTATACGTCACTGCCCAAGGCCAGCCAACCTCTGGGAGCCATCATGGAACAAGAGAGGGCATGAGAGGGCCACGTGCAGCACGGGCACAGCATTGAAGCAAGCCGCATCTGCGCCTGCGGTACAAGCGGTACGCATCCCTAGAATCAGCGTGGCGCCTACGACATAAGACATAGGCTGCTGCTGGCATCTGGCCCTGCCTACCATGTCCTCCTCCATGTCACGAAGAAGCTGCAAAGCCCGAGGCCAGGACACCCGAGCGAGAACCTCGCAAGAATGCTTCATGTTGCTGCCAGGCCGCGGGTTCTATAGGTCTCCAATAGTCTCCAAATATGCCGATTTGAAAGAATGTCTCCCCAAATCTGGAAAGCCAAGAAGCGGCAATGCCTGCGCAGTACGCAGCCTCGTTGAGTCGCCGTTGCTTGACCTCCTGAGTTTCAATTGACAGCACATTCTAATACATTCTAACGATTTCTAACGGTTGCTTGCAGGATGTAGTGTGCACAGCTTTCTTCACGGCATGTTCATGCGGGGCATGATCTTGTCTGAGATCCCCGCGTCCAAAAGGGCCACAGCGGCTTGCCAGGCAAGGTGTTCGCCACATGCAACAAGAAGTGCACTGAACACGCGGCTCTCGTCCACCATTCTGAAGGGGCGAGCTTGCCGTGCAAGGCAGTCGATTCCAACCTCCTCAGATGCGCCCCCAGACATGCCCTACCGGTCCTACTAGTACCACATCCTAAGCCTTGCTGCGGCTTGGAGAACCTGCTCAGAGACAGCTCATCACTATGCAGTCAAGATTAATGTGAAGACTGCCCGACAACATGTAAGGCCTTTGGCTCGCGAGTCTCCCACATCCCGTGTGCAATAGGTGCGGTCATAGACAGGCTTTGAACGTAGCTGTCAGGCTGCAAGTTGTGAAGCACTGCCTGCTGAACCAGGCCGAGGGCCAAGTGCCATTGTTGCTGCGTTTGCAACTCCATCATGGCCGCGCCCATGCTGAACACATCTTTGTATTCTCGTGCCTCAACCAGCAACTGAAGACAGCGGGCCCATTCACCGTGAAGCTCTGAAATCAAGCTTGACAGCTTCAGAGGACGCCTGTGCCAGACTCGGAACATCTCAAGGGCAAGCACCCACTGCCGGCCCAAGGCTTTCATGGCCGAATTTCCGCAAACCTTGTTGGCCACCACACGCTGGGAAGACATCAGCCAGAGAACCCTGCCGGCCTGCTGCCAGGGAAGAGCCTCGTCGCCGGAAAGAGCGGACGAAAAGCAAACCACATCGGGTCTCATCCCCCAAAGCGGCAAGTGACAAAGCAACTCGACTGATCGATGCCAAGGCAATGAAGTCATAGTGGCGCTGTACGAGAACAAATCCGGCAGCATCGTCGGGGCAAATGCGGAGCTCAACAGATGAAAGGCACGTCCCCAAGATGTTCGACACACGCTGAGGAGCACGTTGGAGCAGATGGCGTCCTCAACAACATATAGGGTGACAGCACTGAGTTTGAGACACCATCGGATTAAGAAACGAACGCCCTCTGCCAGCTTCAATTGAGACATCGAGGCACCCCCGAGAGCCAATGTCACGTTTGGATACATTTGGTGGCTTCGCACACGGCCCGAAATTCAAACAATCTGGGTTGGATGTCAATGCAAGTTGACATTGAAGATTGAAGGGGATAGATTTCTTAACTTAGTGATGAAGCGCTGGACGTCTTCTTTCGGAGGGGGCGAATTAGGTGAATACACCTTATTGAGGCACTCACTCTTCTTTGTAAGAAATCGAACTATTGAGGCATCGAGAGTACCCTCGAATTGTGGCGGAGCTTTGAGACATACTGAAAATCACAGCAGTATTCTCATCGAAAACTAGACGCTGTCACCGTCTTAATTATTCTGCAATACATGCCGGCTCCACATCCATTGCAGCTGACTTCGTTTAAGGCTAGTTGATGGGCCTGCTGCCGAGTCGCTGGCATCAATCCGCCGCAGCGCATGTGGGAAAACAGCGACAAGCCAGCTTTCCAGGAAGCGGTGGCTTCAAAAGAGGAGATGCAGGTGCTGTAGATGATGTTGTTGCTCTGCAACTTTCGCGAACTCAACCTTGGCTGCCGACGACGAATGCCGCTTAAACACCTGCCCAACAATAGCCCCGTCATTACTTTGCCATTGCTCACAAAAGGCAGCCCAGAAGCTCACAAAGAAGTTGCAGAGTAGCTTCCCAGTAGGCAGCGACAGCGCAAGCCTTCATGACGATGCCATAGCTGACATGGTCCACTTCGCAGGCCGCTTCCAGGAGGCACTGCAGACTGATGAGCGCCAACTCCCAGAGGCCTTTCTTTTGAGAGGCTTTCAGGGCAGAGCGGATGCCAATCTGACTGGGGCTTTGTGGCAACTGCCCCAAGGTCACCGTCACAGCGTCTGCGAGCTTGGTCTTGGCGATCTTAGCGCCCGAGCTGGCCCCGATAGTCCCAATACAACACATCCGAGAGCAGCGTATGGCCCTCTGATGCTTTGTTCGAGTATTCCACAGGACAGAGAGCCTGGGGGACTACGCTCAACCATCTTCCCTCAGGTCTCTAATTCCACCACACGAGCCGAAGCTGGATTCTATCTGGAGTCTATTCATGTCTCTTCAGCTCTTCTGTTCCTCTAACAATGCCCTGCATGCATCCAAGCATGCCAGGGGGCTGCATACTTTTCTTGTCGGGCGCACGTTGAGTCTTTGGGTTGTCTTTCGAAGCCCAAAAAGCCTCGAGCTGTTTCTGAGTGTGTCACTCAGATATGGCTCTGAGGCTCTAGTTTGCTCAGAGTTCCTGGAGCAAGGATCTGATGAGGACTAAACTTTCAAGCAAAACAAGCACCTTCAGTCGAGGGCCTCTAAACATGTTAATTGCTGTTTGTTCGTCCCGTTGGTTTCGCAGGAACTCTCACTAAGCATGTACAAGCCAAGGTGAGGCTGCAGTCAGACTGAAAGAGAAATGCTCCGTTCATGCTTTGTCCCCATCCCGTCCAGCAGTTCTGTCGAGAAAGGTTCGGAAAGAATCACCATGGCAGTACAGGCTCGGCGCGTCTCAGCTTGCTTCCCCTCACGAGGTGACTCTGCACAAGTCATGTGCCTCAACTCAATCTTGCCAGTCTGGAAAAACGAGTTCTCGGGACAGCATCAGGGGACTCGGGGACGAACTCAGTGCCACAAGATGCACCGAGGTCCCTCTGCACAGAGTCACATCTGCTCTGTTGGGCGGCTCCACCCCGCATCCCATCAGCTTTCTGGCGCTCTTGTGCTAAGTACGACTGCTTAGCCACCCGAAACCAAACGAACACTGAAACTGGGAGCATATACATCATATACCCTGTACAACGATGAGCCCTATATGTTAGTAGGGTATATGAACCAGGACCACTTTTTGGGGTTCATCTGGTCATTCGGTCGAAACGTCACTTCTTCACAGAGGCAGCTCCGTTTGTTAATCCCGCAATGAATGGCGCAAAGGGACAAAGCCGAAGGACAAAGGGATTTTAGGGTTTTAGGGTTTAGGGCGTTTAGGGGTTAAAGGTTTGAGGGTTTTAGGGTTTTCTCACCCCACACATCCTTGCACCAGCTGCCAGATGCTTTCGCTGGACGGGATGCTCGAATCCAGCTTCCAAACGAGAATTTGTCAAACTTGGAGGTGCTGTGCGGCAGATATATACAGGGAGTATGACATACAGAGAGACATGCTACGCATGAGACCCTGAAAGAGCTAGCTTCCCTTGAACCTGCTTGGTGCTCTCTGATATCTGTTTCCTATAATCCTTAACATAGTCTCTCCATAAACCCGAAAAGGCATATGTGCGCTTTTTTGACCTGTAAGAAAACGCTGCTTACAGTGACCTTCTCTTGTCATCCTTCTGGCACAGACGGCAGTCAAATCTACAGAGCATCCCACGCAGGAGCTGGCGATGCCTGGACACATGCTTAACGCCTGCAGCCAGGATGCAAACAACTAGGATCAGCAAGGTTTGGTGGTGGAGTATGCATGTGACATCCTGGCAATGCAGAAAGAAAATGGATGCAATGGCAACAAGGCGACCTTCACTTCCCTTCACTTCCCTTAGAGCGGAACAGAATGTCAAAGCGCAAGCTTTCTCTTTGAGGCTACCCCTTTGTGAAGCTTCTGCTGTGATGCCACTGCCTCTGTCCGCCGCTTCACGCGGGTGAGCAAGGCCCCTACAACTGCTCGACACATCGCTAGGCTAAAGGATCCGGACTGGTTGGGCCTCGGATTTGGGCTTTTGCGTTTCTTCTCGCTCATGGAAGAACATGCGCTACTTGGTACCTGCCTGCTGAACACCATTTATGGAAGCATGGTTCTTACATATTGAGACGTATACCTCTGTTGGCACAAATCGCCCTGAACATGGCAAAGGACTTTCACGATGCCCTCACATTGCTCCGCCGAGGGCAACTTGAGCAGTTTGGAGGGCCAAGGCGCGTGGGATTGGCGTCCCAACTTTGTTGGCACATGCAGATTCACAAGGATGGGTATTGTGCTGCAGTTCGCAGTACTGCCGGAGATTGGCCAAGTGCCTGTCTTTGCAACAAAAGAGGTATACTATGCGCATATATATATATATACTTATACATATATGATCATATATGTACACATACATGGTACATATGCACATGTACATTAAAGGGATTATGTGTTTATAACTTTGCACTTCTTGAGGATGCAATCCGGAAGCCAGCAAAATGCAGCTCTGCAATGTGCAGGGCTCTGACGTACTAGCCAAACTGCGTCTCTCCAGTCGTAAGCTGGACATAAAGTTGGCCCCTGGAGGGGAGGAGGCTTGCAAATCAGCCTCCAGCCTAGAGGCCGCAGAGATCGCCCGAGAACAAGCTGAGCACCCGGTTCTGGCGCTTTGCCGGCCTGGGTTATCCTTGGTTGACCCTGAGCTGACATAGCTTCTCTCCCAGTATTTTTGAGGGCTTACTCTGCTATGAGGGGTGTCAATACCCCGAGTTCAGACTTAAATGGCGCAAAGTGCACTCAAACATGGCAACAAATCAGATCGAGCACGACTGTCACTCTCTTCGCGCGCTGTACATGTACTGTCCCATCCTCCGTCCCACTCGCGGCGCAGAGTATGGGCCTCAAAATGGCGTTTAGTTTATTGTGAGGGATCCTCTGCGACCTCCGCAAATTGCAAGAGCCTCTATACACTTTCATGTATTTCTTTGTAACACGGAGAGGATAGCCAGGATCCGCTCACCGGTGCAATCCGTATCCCTTGCAGACCTCTTGTCTGCGTTGCGAGCTTTGCTTGTGGCGGTGGCCGGAAGAGCCACTCTCATACCTGGGTGGCGAGCAGTCCCATGATGAGATGTCTTATCACATCTCCAAGCTGCACAACACAATGCTGGGTCAGGTAAGGGGTCGCCCTCTTACAATGCGGCTCTTGAATTTAGGATACCCCAAACTGGACAAATCTGGATGTTTTAGAGAACTGTCATGGTGGACTAGGTGGGCCATAGGCTCTGGCCCGGCGCCCAGGGTGGAGCCGCGGGTTTCGAGCCCTGCGTTGTCTGGTCGGGGCTCCTGAACACGCACGGCGCAATTCCGCATCCTCGACTTCCATGCTCAGCAAATCTTCGCAAGTCGGGCCCCCAGACGTCCCAAGGCGTCTTGCAACATTACCATCAAAGACTTACGAGCTCTCCCTGAGCTCTCCTGATGCCAGTGGAGTGCAGTTCATAGCGGAATATACCTCGGAGTTACACCACAACATGTCTATTTCCGCCAACAGAGCTGATAGGTGAGTTGTCTAAGCTGACCTCTGTCATGGCGATTTCCGACACAAGGAGCGACGATCTGAGCTCCAGGCTGCAGGGTCGGTGATTTGCCAGACTGTCAAAAGAGGCTGTGGGAAATCTGCGAATGCTTCGGACAGACCCTGAGACATACTATCATATTCTAGAAATTACATGTTATATACAATAGGTGTGCAAATATATATATATATATATATATATATGTGTGTGTGTGTCAATATATATATATATATTCATACATGTTATATATGAAAGTCGACAACGTATACGTAAATATGTGTGTGTGTGGATATTGTGTATATGTGTATACATGTATGTATATATATATATATATATATATATATATTTTTTTTTTTTAATAAGATTCTTAAGGCTGTTCTCGAAAACACCTAAGAAGCCACCAGAAGAACCCCCCTGCTGCCACAGCCCCAAAAGGAAATTTGCCTCTTCCCAGGCCCGGGGTGTCGTGCCCAGACAGACCCTGTTTCCCCACCTCTCCCCTTTCAGGGTGTAGGGTTTGGGGCTTCCCAGCCCAAAAGACCCCTGAATGTGCATCGCGCCCCCCCCCTCTCCGCCTGTGCACTCCTTTTGGGAGGACCTACCAGGGCACAAAGCTCTGTTTTTCCGTGCCCCTACCACCACCAAAGACTCCCTGGGCAAGTTGATACACCCACGGGCTTTCTGGATTTTCGACCGGCCGAGGCGGTTCATGCGCAGTGTTTACAACTTAGGCCAGCCCTAATTCGGGACACCACTGGAGTTTGGCACAACTCGGCTCCTGCACCAGGAACGGGCCGGACGCTGGCGACTGGCGACATGGGCATTGCCTGCAGAGAGTCGAGGCTCTGCTGACTGCTTGCTTATCGATACGTGCTTCTCTTGGCCTATATATGTTTGCTTAGGATTTGTTTGATGGTGAGTTGACCCTGTGCAATCCGGTGGCGGGGTGTGTGTTTGTGTGTGTGATCTATGAGGTGAGATCGAGTGCGATCCCTGAGTGGCATTGCCACGACGTGAGATTCGGAGGATCGCGCCATCACGGCCATCAGCCCATGAAGGAGTGGGCCAGCCAGAATCATCCGACAAAAAAGGACAAAGACGATGCAGCAAACTCGCCATGTTGCACCGACCGCAAGACAGCAGCAGCTTCATGGTGATCGCCTGAGAGGCCTCCTGTGCTCAGTCCTTGCTTTGTTTCGGTCAGAATCAGAATCACGCAGCTTTGTCAGAGAAGAAGACGGCCACAGGGTTGAGCTTCACACACATTGAAAACTTGAGTTCCACGTATGGATAGTATGGATGGCTTGCACGAGAAGCAGGTGATGAGAAAGAAACACGTGCTCGTCTGGTCAGAGCCCCAGGATGCCCCCAAGCCCCATGCCGTGTGACGTGCGCGACGTGCTTGAGCCTACGGCCTTTTATATGCAGAGCCAACACTGTGGCTAGGCAACGAAACCCAACGCATGCGGGACACCAAAAGCCCACAAAGCTCTCCTGTCTGGCACTGTTTGCGTAGCTTCGTTTAGCTTCTGATGGACTTACATGGACTTGCAAGCGCTACAAATCGCTACCAGTAGTATGCTCAGCACACCATATTTACCGCCGCAACCCTTCAGTTCACCCTGGGGCCTCCTGAGCTTGGGCGATAGGCTGAGCTGGAAAGGTCAATGTGGGGAGCCTGGCCAGAGAACGCGCCGTACCCCATGCATTTGTGCCGCGCACTGCAGGCACTCAGGTGACTATGCGACATAAAACAAAACGGCTGAGCTTCCAACAGCGGAGGGTTGACAATCCCTTGCAAGGCCTTGTCGAAAAGCCGCAAGGGTTGCTGTGTTGCTGTCGGGTAAGAGGATGATAGGATTGCTTGGCCGAGCTACCCCTTGGACAATTTCTGGAGCTGTAGATGCCCCTCCACACAACGATCTTGCTCAGATCTTGATCTCAGCTTCCTGCCGTGCCAGATCCCACCCTCAGAGATTCCGACTTCTGAATGGAATTCGTAAAGAGCTCATGCAATGAGAAGCAATCAAGCGTGACTGACAGGGAAGATCTGTGGAATCTGGAGTGCTGGGACCTGCGTAAATGACGCCAAACCCTCGGACTTGGGAAAAGCTCTTTTTTCCAGGTCGCAGAAACTCTCGTTCTCATTGCATACAAGAAGCACCATGCCATTCTGCGTGAGTGGAATGGCGGCCACCTGCTGCTGGCTAGCAGGAGCTTGCATCAGTCCACCCTATATGCAATCATATTGCGCATTGCCCGCTGGATGTGCACGCTGAGTCAACCCCAATCACCATCGTATTGAAAGGCACACTTCAGGCCGACAAGACTGCCAAAATGTTGCGCGCCTGTGGGCCAGGCTGCCTGAAAGGCTGCAGATTTCATGCGCAGTCTCATGTGGGGTTCTGGACTCTAGGCTAGGGGTCGGACCCTGGACCCTTAAGGTTGCATCCTTGGGTTTGGGGACCCATCTACAAGATCTTTAAGGTAGTATCAGAGCCATATTAGGCGGGAACCACTAGCGGCAGGAACCCTCAGAAGAATTAGAACTTTGACCCCCAAACGCATCAGTTCTGAGACAAGGAGCGGTTGCGATGGGCCCTGCACGATCGGCTGGCCTGTTAAAGACTGCTCGCTCCGAAAAGGTGTAGGGCTTTAGGGTTCTAGGGTCCTCAAGACCCATTCTACCTCGGAAAACTGTTACATGCAAGCTTTCGAGTCGTCAGGACCACCACGCTCCCACACACCAATACCTCTCAGCTTCAAAAACCTGCACACACAGTGAAGCACCTGGTGCCAAGGGTGGCGCGAAGGGCCCAGGCCTTGACAAAATGGATCTGGCGTGTTTTTCAAGGGTCTAGGGTTTAGGGCTTAGGGTACGACTCAGCGGTTCAGAGCCCGTCGAGCATCTGAGGCTGTGACGCCAGTGGGTCGGGCAAATCAGAGCTGGAGAACACCTGAAGGACAAGTTATTTCTGCAAAATACTGACTCAGACCTGTCGTCCCCGACCTGCTGCGAAGGAACACGGCCATTGCAATAGGCAGCCCACTTCTCCCGTAGAATTGGCCTGACCAATGTTCTTCGACTGGGACTTGGCCGATGCTTTTGCCCTCCGGCGCTCTTTGCACAAGTTGCATCTGAGTTCCTGGCTCGTACTTGTCACGGACAAAGCCCGGGCCATCGCACAGTGGCGAAGAGAGCATTATCTGAGGCACAACGAGCCCAATTGTGACAAACTGATTGGAAGGATAGGAAGGTGCATGACAAGCAACAAAGTTTAACAGAGATGCGTCGGCCCTTGCAAACTTGGCCTGGCGAAGGTTCTTGCGCAGCATCGACAGGGTTTGGAGGTTGCTGCATACGCCTTTCACCTCGGGTCTTGCCACTGTCGATGAGTATACAAACATATATATAATATATTATATATAACTTGGTCAGAGTCAGTATAGTCCTTGATGCAGCAATTCCGTTTCGAGCTTGTGTGATTTAGAGTGCTGGGGTTTGCTGGACTGAAGGAACTGTGAATGGGCTTGTGACTTGTGTACAGAGAGAGGCACCTTGGTCACGTACTCCTCCTGGGTGCACAATGCGGGCCAGCACATGGTTCACGATGCGACGCGCACCATGGGATCATGGCAGAAACGTGTGTTGCAGCCCACATTTCTCCTGAGTGCTTGCAGAGAATTCGCCCAGGCCAACCGCTGTCATCAACGTGTGGCAGACCTGCGCTCAGCTTGACTCAACGTTGACATGCAGTGGAGGACAGCTTGCGCACCAACTGCACAACCAGACAGGAACACCATGCGCGAGTGTGCAAGTCTTTTCTGCGAGGGCTATTCAGGTCACGAGGTGCTTAGGACTGTGACGGGAGCTGCCGAGCTTCATCCCTCCACCAAGCGCGGACATCGGACAGCATGACCTGCGACGCACTTCGCAGGCCTCGCACACGCGCGCACCTGCTTGCAGTATCCTGGCTTGCCTTGCAAGGCGACTTTGGCACTGAACAAACCGTTGGTGAAGCGTGCAGATCCGCAGTTGCTGGCTGAAAGGACACGTACAACGGACCGACATGGTTAACGAGGCTGCTGGGACATACAGCCATATGGCCATGTAGGACATCATTGCAGGACATCACGACTACACTACGACTACGCTACGACTACGGCACGACTACGTCAGCGAGCTTACGAGATCCTGAGGAACTTCTTGCGATTAAACTCTTCGTGGCGTACCGTGCAGTACTCAGTGAGGAGGCGAGCCACGTCGTCCCCAGCACCGTGGCCCAGGAAAGAAGTGGCCCCCTCACTGGCCACATCCAGGGGAGTTTCGCCGAAAACGGATTCCATAACAGGGTCCGCCCTGGCATCTAGAAGCATCTTCACCATACGAGGGTCCGCAGCAAGAGCTGCATAGTGCAGGGGGGTCTCGTGCATGGCATCGGTGGGGTCTGGTGGGAAGCCGTGGGACAGCAGCCGCCCCACCGCGGCGTAGGACTGTGCAGCAACCGCTTCATGCAACGTCGACTCCCCCAGTGTACCCTTGGCAAGCTCGGCGTTGATGCTGAAACCAGGGATTGAACATACCTCTTCAAGCTTAGCTAGTTCTTTGTCTCCGGATGCTGCCATTACCGAGACCAAGTGAAATGCAGCCCAACGCTGAAGCCGCCGTTGCAATCGTTGAACCCCTCTTCCGTTGTAACCCTGCCGGATGAAGGATAGGATATGGCATCTCTCTGATTCGCATGAGGCTGTCGTGCTCTCGATGTCCACGTTAAAGACAGCCTCTGTTATCTCACGAGGTATGGATCCAAACTTCGAATGGCCATTCGGAAAGAGCTTCGTGCATGCCATAACACCAGAGGAGCAAGCAAAATAGATGGCCTGCCCAAGGCGGGCAGCGCACTCCAGCTGATATAATCTCCATGCCCGTGACATGCTCCACGGCTGTTTTGGTGGAACGGCGTCCTTGCAGTGAATGTAAACGCCCGTAGTCAGCAGCAACGATCGGCATTCACGTTGTGACTTGTCGACTATGAGCCGGTCATCTTCGAAATTGTTGTTCTTCCTATCATCCTCTGGATGGTGTCCGCTCCTGGCCAGCAGACTCCACCAGAAGACTGCGGAATCTTTCAACAGCATCGCTTCAGCAAACCACTCGACAGAGGCCATGATGTCTGCAAAGTACATGCATAGGTGGTAATCGATGAAGGTATCTGGAATCTGCGGCTCGTCAGCGATGAGCTCCACGTATGAACATCTCCTCTTCAAGGTCTCCTGCGGGTTGATGAAACTTTTGACAAGATTTTGTGACTTACGGAGTAGTGACTGACTACAGCACTAACACATTGAAGTCACAGATGCCGCAGCATCATTTGACGTCTCCTTGAAAACGAAATGGTCCCTGACTTGTTCGGTCGTAATAGCCTCCCATGGAACCCCAGGCAAGCACCTGCCCATGGCCGTCCGAGCCTTGCGTGCAAATGTTCTGAGCTGGCCAAGGGTGATACCTCTCTCGCGCATCGCGGGCAGCTCGCAGCCCTTGCTCTTCCTGGACGTGCCAATGCGACCGATCACTGAGACCCGGACATCCATGTTTAAGGCTTCGAAAGATTTGTGGTGCTTGATGAAGAGGCTATGCTCTTCTCGGCGCGCGTCACAGCTAGTGTCCAGTTGAGGTCGTCCATCAACCAGCACAAGATCGCCATGAGGCGTGCGATCGACTGTCAAGAGCCCGGCCTTCTCTGGAAGGCCAGAAATGAAGTTGAAAATCTGACGCCTGTAGGCTGCCTCAGAAGCTGCGCTGTCTCGCACATCCCATTGAGATATGGCGTCAACTATTGGCCCAGAGGACACGGCATTGGAGCCCACCAAGCCTGCAGAAGTGTAGAGCTCCAAATCCTTCTCCAGCAGTATTGTGTAGTGAAGCCTCGGACCCAAAAAAATCTGGAAGAACGCCCTTTCAGAACCTTTCAGCACACAGTAGTAAACTTAAGGGAGGCCATCAAAAGCCATCGCGCATGGACGGAAGCATGCAAGCGTACTGAGCAGAAACATGACGTAGAGGCACGCAGGCCAGCCTGACGCATGGAAGAAGCGAACGGGTGCGCACGCGTGCTCAAGCATGCACATGATGTGCGTGCACATGCATGCAGGTTGTGCTCGTTCCGCTAGCATGGCAGAATGTACGACGGGTTGGCATTGACTCGATTTGGCGCTCGCCATGTATAGGTGCAGCATCAGATCAGAGCCGCTCTGCACGGTGCGCTGCGACGGGTGCAGGTTCGAACCTCACCAATCCACTCCATGCCGATTTCGGAAGAATGTCCCATGCCTTCGATCTCCGCCTCTGTCAAGGCCTCTCCCTTGCCCCCTGCCCCCTCCTCTTTGGATTTTTCAGGCCAGCCACTAGGGAACAACACAAACCGTGCAGTCCACCCTTCCTTTATTATCGGGGACTCGAGGCAATGTTGAGCTTATCGCGCACGATGTGTTGCGCGGAAAAGTAATGGCCAAACGCAAAGCAAAGTCTACACCCCCACCTAACCGTGCATGACGCAATGCTAAGGTGGATTGCAATTGTGGCACATTCTTGCGCATTAGTTTTCCACCAGAGATATACACCTGCCACAGTGGGGGGGCGGAGCGAAATGAGCACTGCCACTGGCTCCATGACCAACCCTGCCACTCAGAGCTCTTCCAATCGTGTGGCGATCCTGGATGTCCTGATATGAACGCGAGGGGCCCGCTTGGCTGTCACGGCCTCAAGGCGGGTGGTTCTCCCCATTCAGTCTCGCAACATGTCGAGCATCTGCGCATTGTTCCATCTCAAACATGTCTTGGCGAGCTTGCGCATTCTTCCCTTCGTCTTTCAGCGTTTTCGTCCCTTTAGACAAACTTATCAACCGCTGTTGTAGGCGGTACCGGCTATTCTCCTGCAGGTTGATCGGCAGGGTGCTTGCTCGTCACCCGTTTCTCTAGCTGGTGCGTTCGCAACGAGAAGTGCTCTGGAACTAGAGGCTACGGCTACGGCACACAACACAACCATGCTGTCAACCCCTTATATCCGGGACTCGAGCCAACGTCAAGCACGTCGCACATGCTGTGTTGCGCGCAAAGTAATGTCAAATGCAAAGTAACAACCAATAACAACCACACCTTTCCCCCCCCCACCCTTCCTGGCCGAACTTTCTCTTTGATCCCTGCAACCTGAGAACTCTAGAAAACCACGTCATATGTGGCATGGAACTCCAGACAGCACCAGCTTCTCCGAAGTGATCCAGCGTCGCGATCCACCATCAGAATAGTAGCCTCTGCAAACTCCACAGCCCTCACAAAGGGAGTGTCCACGATTCTGGCACCAAAATTCTCACCGAACTGGTTGTTTGCGAACGTGCAGACCCAAAAGGTCGAGCAAATGCTCAGAGCGCGGTCATCTATGACTCTGTCGATGGCAGTCATGAAATCGCAGAAGCGGCCTTGTCAGAAACCGGACTATGTACATGACCGTACATAGGGGTTAGAGCTGTGCGGGCTGTGGCTCTGGGTCTATGGGTGGCTATGGTGTAACATGGGCCTCCCCACCAGTGGCTGACCATCAGCTGCGGGCGCTGTGGCACCGCGCTGACCAGCTCGGCCCAAGAGTAGCCCGCAAACTGGCCTGAGAAGTCACGCCAGGATGACTGGCGCACTGGCGCAGAGCTTGAGGATGCCTTTCGCATCTCGCGGAAGTGAATAATCGGCTTGATGACTTCATCTGTAACATCGTACAAATTCAGATCGTGCCAATTGAGCCGCGTACCTCTGCCTGAGTCGGGTGACCTGTGTTTGGCATCGGAAGTGCGTCTGAGAAGCTTGGCTTTGCAAAGCCTCTGCAAAAAGGTCCGCAAATCAAACAGCTGCTTGATGGTTAAAGCCCGCTCTGCAACATCCGGAATACATATGTGATCTCGGTCTGACGGCCACGGGACAGGCATCTGCAATGGAAGCAAAGCTGCTGTCTGCTAAAGTAAACCACGCCGGATGATGTGGCTGATGATGCTGTATACTGAGACTACGGCTTAATTTGCAAAAGCTTGCGTGATCGCTTGATTCACAATGCAGTGAAAGATTGCTGCGCTGCATAATGGCGACATCAGCGAACTTACGTGAGTGAACTTCGCGTGGAGGGGTGGGTGCGGGAGGGAGAGAAGGACGGCCCTATGCCCATGCATCCAACCACCGGCAACCGAGCAGAAGAAAAGACCCAGCTGCAAGCCAAGTTGGGTGACTTAGCTGGATTCAACGATGTCGCAGTTTTGCATGAAACGGTCTCACGAATCACTGAATGCAATCGTTTGGGTGCTTCTGGGGCTTCGACAACTACCAGTAACAATCCTCACTGCTCTGCGCAGCTTCGGCCCACAGCTTCCCTTACGCAGAAAGAACAGGGGATTTGCAGGATGGAACGACAAACGCTTCGAGTGTGAGAAAGGATAGGGCATAGGCTTCCAAGGGTTTATATGCTTATCGTCCCTCTTGGATTTCATTGCATTTCGGTGTTGAGCCTCACCCCCTTCTCCCCATGTGCTGAGTTTGATCCCCAGGAGTAGGAGCTGACAAGGGATGCAGAGCCCGGCACCCTTGCGCCATGTGTAGTGCCAATCAGGCACACTGCCGGGACGCCTCACCGAACCAGCACTCTCTACGTCAAGCATCATGCGCAAAACTGCAATGGCACTTGGGCGACCACCCATGAAGAGTGACTCGCACGTGGTGGTGGTGTTGGAGTATGGGAAGGTGTCCAAAGCAAGGTCCACCTGCAGCAATCTGCGGACAGCAGCGAAGCCCAGTCACGCGCGGGGCTGAGACACGTGGCTGCTTCTGGATGTGAAAACATAGTCTGGCTAGGTATGTATGTGTATATACGTATATGTGTATTGGTGTATGTTCAATTTGCGATGGCCTGTCTACAGGACCTGAATTTCCAAATCTCCAAATTCCACATGCGCAAGGTCCTATGCAGCATAAGGACCCGCGGGCCCTCGCAAATTTGCAAATTTGGAGCAGTTCAGGTCCTGAAGACATAAGCCCTGGCAAATTTGGAACTTTGGAGCCTTCGGAGTTTTTGAAAACTTGGAGCCCGGATATTCTAGGACCTCATAAGTTGGGAGATTTGGAAATTCAGAGTCCACCGTCATCCTGTAAATCTAGAACGGCACATGCATTTTTACATTTAATCTCTATCATCGACTTTAACTCAACTTACAGATGATAGTCAGGTATATCCATTGCACCAGCATACAACAAATGGCCCATGGCTTTAAAAAATAACACATCTTCTCCTGTAGAGTTTGAAGGACAGCCGACGGGCCAATTGAGCTTCGGTGCTCGGGATGGCACTATTTTTGTCGTGGTGATTGCATATCAATGTAAAGATATTGTTAAAGTAGAAGTTGAACTCCGATGATAGTCATCAACTTATCCCAACTTTGCATTGTCAATGGGCTGGGCCATTCCCGACCTGTTAAATAGTAGCATGTTTTAAGAATTCAATGTCACTTCCAGGTATACTAACCAACCCACTTCCAGCGTTTGCATGTTATGCCTGGTTAGTAAGGGCATGATCCTATAAGGTCTATTCTATTCACTTTACAAACGAAGCCGCTTTCACAGTTCCAAGCCTTTTTTTTATTGCAGCCTAACGAATATAACTAGCTCTGGCTACAACATGTAAAGCAAGCCCCAAATATAAAAGGCATGTTGATGGCGCAGCACAAGGACAACAAAAAATCGCGCAACGAAGTTAAACAAGACATACGAGAAAGCAGACACAAAACAAAGCACTGCAAAAGGCTCGAAGCTCGCGTTTGGGCGATGTGAACACGAGAAAATACTGCAAGCACAAGGTGTACTTACGCGGAAATAGCAACAGAGCAGAATTCTGATAGAATTATGCAGTTATCTTAGGTAAACATGCGAAACACATCGTGAAGTACAGGGCTTGGAGTAAGTACGAGAAGCAGAACGCACAAAGACACTTCTACTATACATATATATATATATAGTACTCGTCCTTTGGACACGCACACACATACATACATTTGTTTGTATGCGACTTCAACATCAAAGCAAGCGCGACTCGCAGCGGAACTGTCTTCCGACGGCCTCGTTGTAGATGTTGAGATGCTCATAGGATGTGGGGGCAAGAGCCAGGAGCTTCAGCCTCGCAAAGGAGTAGCGGCTCGAGATGACTCAAGGGCTCTGACCTTGAAATGCGTGATTAGTTGTTTAAGTTGTTTACATCTTGCTTGCTCTTGCGATTTTGTGGTGCTTGAGGTCAGACTTGGCCACGCAGTGGAGGTGGCCCAAGGCCCATACTGTGAGGAAAGCATGTCGAGACACATGTGCCATTTGCCACTGCCAGGCCTGTGCTCCTGGATGCCGTAGGCTTTAAACTTGTTAATGAAGGTGGCCTGGCGATAGCTGAATGGTGGCAGGATACGACTTCATACGCCCCACAGCAACCTGGTACTAACCTGGTGGCCTGCGCACATGGACCTGTGGCGTACTGGTATCCCTCCTCCCTTGCTCCGTCTGCCGGCCTGAATGTCTTGGGAATAGAAGCCCTTGTTCTTCACCAGCAGCCTGCTGTTTGGAACCTGTGGGGATACGGTCTTCAGGACCGGGGTCAACGGCAGAGTGGACTGACGCGACAGAACAGTGCCCCTCCCAACCATGAAGCAGTCAAGAACAAACGCTTTGCCAATCTGGTGTATATCAGACAAAAACACACACAAAAATCATCACCGAATGACAGGCCTCCTGCAGGCAGCGTGCCCAGAGTGCGACAACAGGGTCGCCCACCTTCGCGAGGCAACTGAAGCCTCAGTTCGGGGCTGCTGTAACAGAGCGCCCGTCAGGAAGCATACATGTGTGTTGGAGCCGACTGCACAAGCGCAGTCATCAGCCATCCTGGGAGAGACTGCCGTGCGAACGACTGCCATCAACTACTCCTCGTTCGTTCCATCATCTCACGGTAGAGCAAGTTCATCGTAAAGTGGAAGACAAGGGACGACATATTCAGCAACTAGAAGCCAAGTCAAAAAGTGCTAGAACGTAGGACGTCGTGACTTCTGGTTCCTGTGCACGATATCACAAACAACTTGTATCTGAGCATGACCTCAACACACCGGAGGCCAGGCACCAGATGCCGAGGGGCTTCCAAATGTTACGAAGCCGTTCCGCAAAGCTGGCAGGTCCCTGCCAGTGTGAACGTGGCATTTAGGACATGATCACTCAAGTTGCTCCTGTCTCTGAACTCGCTGCATCTGAATCCGTCCAGCTCAAAGCTGAGGCTGTGGCTCCACATCCGGGACGCGGGATGGCGGAGTGTAGCAGAGAAAGCACCTGACATACTTCAGCGGACTGTAGGTGTGAATTCCATCTGCTGCGACGCATCGTGTGTGCAGCACACGAACATGTACACATATATACATATATACATATATACATATATACATATATACATATATACATATATACATATATACATACATACATATATACATATATACATATATACATATGTATATATATATACATATATAATAATTACCAGCACAATTGTTGTCAGCTCGCATCTACTATGGTCGAACGGACAATATCTAGTTGCAGCAGGTGTTGCGACACTCAAGATTTCAAATCTTTACATCATGCTCCTGCACAGAGGTCCCTTGTCCCTGGCCTCCCGCAAAGCCATGGAAAACCCAAAACAGGCACGAACTGAGGGCTGCACCCTGGGACGCGCACCAACTCCTCGCTAAAGGGCTGCTGGCTGTCGAGCCTGGGGATGGGGACTGGCTTCGGAAGCTTTTGGCGCTTGAGCACAGCTGCTGAGGCGGCTGCGGATCGACAATCTCATCGACCAGCCGGTAGTCAATTGTGCCCAACCTCAGCTGCACTGCACTGCATGAGACGAAACAAGGGCCCAGACGCCCTCGCCTATGATTGGATTGTAAGTAAGTTTCACAAAACAAGCGCATCGCCCACACAATTTTTGTGAACAAGACAGCTTGAAATCAACACTTCGACGGTTCGAGTTGCTTTATAAAAAAAGACATCTCCAAGCCAGCGTGCAAGCGTGCAGCGAAAACGGTGCAGTGGAGAGCAGGGCCCGGGCCCCGTAGTGTTGTTGTAGCCAATGTAGGTCATCCTGGGGAACAGCAGCTCAGGGCTTTCAAGAGTCCTTTCTTGGAAGCCTCTGAGGAAAAGATCTGAAAAGTCTGATGAAAAGTCTGAGCTTTGCGCTGGACGGGTGCTGGCTTCCTTGGAGGTCTGTTTCTGTCAGGGGCATCTCTGCACTGATGGTGCAGATGCTTGTTCCGGCTCAATTTGATCTCTTTGGTCGTATCCTGGCTTCCCTTTTTGAAGCATTACTTCTTTCAGCCAAAGTTCAGTGCGATCACGTCCAAGCGGTTGTTGGCTGTATGTCCTGATCAGAAACGCAGAGTGGAGCTGAAGGCTGTAGCTACCCGTATGTAGCTGTAGTGGCGCGGCAGGGCAGGCCTCTGGCTTGACCATAACTGCAGGGAACCGAATTCTATAAGGCCGTGGATTGGGGGGGAGTGGTATTTTCGAGTAGCATAAAGGACGCCATGGGCCTGCCAGCTCGATTAGGATGTCAATCTGATCGTCCCGGATGATCTCGGCCACCTGCGTTGGGGAGCTTAATAACCACTGGATACTTGTAGGGTCTGTAGGCTGTATGTAGGAAACAAATACGTAAACCACACACTTCTTGAAGCACATGAGGGCCATGAGGAGGCTCAAAGGGGCAGATTGCTGCCAGCCTCATGGGCACCCATGCCAGTCACCTTCTTCCACTGGTTGGGAGGCCTCAAAGATGGGTGGGGCTCGGGTAGCCCTGTCAGAACGGGGACTGCACATCACGGCTTCAATGAAAACTAAACACTGGGTGCTTCGATGGTGGCGCTCGGAGATACGCTGTTTGAAATGACTAGCAAACCTGTGAATGGCAATCAAGGAAACCCAACTCATGAGACTAAGGTTGGGACACTAAGGACTTGAACAGCTCAGTCTTGTCATCCTCGCGTGAGGAATTGTTGTAGACGAAGACGTCAAACTGCTCCTTAGTCACCATGCTCATCGCTGATTTACCTAAAGGCTGCACAAGTGGTTGCACCAGCAAAGTACGAAGTACGAGCGGTCTTTGTCAGGCGAGCATAGGCACGGTATGCAACCCGGCAGGCGAGAATATGCCCACTTCACTACAGCGAGCGAAAGCGCAAGTGTTTACAACAGCCATTTGGCTGAGCAAAAGTCTTTTGCAGCTACAAAATGTGCAACGACGTGCAATGTACCTGGGCTCCGCGCAAGGTGTCAAAGCACAAATGGTATGGTGTCGGATCACGTCAACCGCTCAACTACGAGCAGCCATACCGGCTCGACGCAGCGCCCGGAATCGATGAGCCGGCCCCACCATATTTAAAACAGGGCTTAGGGCTTAGGGTTTATAGGGTTTAGGGCACAAAAGTTGTGGGGTGTTTTTGACAGTAATTGTGCACCTCAGGAGGACTCATTCATCCTCCGAGCCAGAACTGTCCGTCTCGTCGCCATCGGTTTGCCAGAAGCGCCGGGAGAGGATCGTGGTACCGAGCGCCAGCACCAGGACAAGGGTCGCTACATCCCCAACGACTGCCATCCACAGCTCGAATTTCCCGGCCAGTGCAAAACCCAACTCGACCACCTTGACCAAAAGCGGGAGGAAGACGTTCAGCTTCTCAATTAGAACTGCATATCGGCAGAGTCGGATGCACTGTGGCAGTCGGATCATCTTATCCGTGATCATGACCATGTCCGCCGTCTTGGCAGCCAAGGCCGCGCTGCGCTCGCCCATGGCAATGCCCACGGTGGCTGTTGCCAGGGCTTTGGAGTCGTTGATGCCGTCGCCCAGCATTAAGGATAAGCTCCCCTCCTCTTCCAACTCCTTGATCACCATAAACTTGTCCTCCGGTTTCATGGAGAAGTGGCAGGAGTCAGGATCAATCCCGACGGCCATGGCGACCGCCCTGCCAGACTGCTCCGCATCGCCTGTAAAAATTCGTGGCTCGCAGCCCAAGTCGCGCAGCTCCTTCAGGTCTAAACACACTGTGAAAGACCCTATGTATACATACATACACACGTACATACATACCTACATACATATGTATATATATGTACATGAAGTGATCTGCAAAAAGGTTGTGAAGCACATCTAAACCGATGAACCCATGGAAAAAACTTGCATCTTTCCTCCACCATCTGGGCTGCATCCTCGCGAACGGTGTCGTTCAAGGCCAGGCCTAGAGTCAGCTCGTCGTTGACAACGACAGCAACGGCTGTGTCGCTCGGGTGCTGCTGCTGAAAGTTTGCGAACTGAGCGTGTGCGGTGGGCGTTGCATTCACAGCGTCGAGGACGCGCTTGTTCCCGACAAAAACTCTCACAAAAGAGGACTCCACTCGGACTCGGCCTTTGATTCCTACGCCCTCAACAACCCGGAACCCCTTGACTTCCGGCAACTCATTGTGCTCGTTAGCCTCACCAATGCAGCCCATGGCCTCGGAGACGATGGCCGCTGCGATTGGGTGTGCAGATTTCATCTCCAAGGCTGCTGCCAGCTTTAATGCATCTGCAGTGAGCGGGGTCTTGGAAAACCTTTCCTGAACACGAACACCGAATTCACCAGTCGTGAGCGTGCCTGTTTTATCCAGTCCAGCTGCTGTGACGCTTGGCAGCAGTTCCACGGTGTGTGGTCGCTTGATGAACAAGCCCTTTGTTGCCGCTGCTGCGATAGCGCAGGTGGTGGCTAACGGCGCGCCGATGACGATCGCACAAGGACAAGCTGTAAGAAGGATCACCAGGCCCTTCATACTCCATGACCTATAGTCTTTGTCCGTCAAGAAGGGCACCAGGGTGGACACAATGAGCACGATTGCCAGAACCAGGGGGGTCCAAACTGCCGCAAAGCGCTCAATGAAGATCTGTCTGCCCGTGCGTTGAAGCTGCGCTTCCTGCACCTGTTCCTTGCTGCGAGAATGTGTATGTGTGTCGTTTTTGCCATCCAACTAACTAAGACACGACGAAGCGAAACATCCGACCACTGACCGAGGTTCTTCCAGTTGGACAAGAGTGGAGTCTTCGGAATCCTTCTCTACGGTGATCTCCACGTAACCATTCAGCACAAGTGTTCCCGAAGTCATTTCGCTGCCCTCGGCTTCGTGTGCAGGCACTCATTCCTAGAGACTTATAAAGCGATATACAGGCACTTCTTCGCTGGTGCCTCCTGGTGAACCGTCTCTTCCACCCTATAAGTCATATGGACAGCACGCAAACTAGCAGAGGTCCTAAGTCACAAAAAGTATTCTTGTTGCAAGTATGCAATACATAAGGCACATGTCGAACCGTGAAGGAAATTGGGGAGAACCCCCGGCAGAATCCGAGAGTCGACGTGCTTCTCCACGGGCCGCGCCTCACCAGTGAGTGCGGCCTCCGGAGCTTTCAGAGACACGCGTTAAAAGGGTTTTGGGCCCCCCCTTAGAATAAGGGCCCATGGATCTCATGACTCGAAATTTGAAGTTAAGGCTTCAAGGCTTTGAAATCTTCAAAGGAGTCAGAGGCGGTCTTTCTGAAGTGCCAAGTTCGGAGTTCATGTAGCTGATCGCATTTCAAGCTTTACTTGCAAGAGCCGGGTCAGACGGGTGGCATTTAACAGGGGGAGTTCCTATCTCCTGGCCTCGGAGCACGATGCAGAGCCTCGAGTCACCTGCAACAGCCAGTGGCAAAAATAACAAAAAAAGGTGGATCATGGACCTCACAAAACTGCCCTCAGCCGCAAGATCCTGAATTCATGCTCCTTCAGTTCTCTCCATATCGGGCCTTGCCATCAGCAGGACATTCTTCACCGGGCCTGCCGAGAGCCGCACAACATACTGTAACCAGTCTGAGGTGATCTTCCTGCGGAATAAGACAGCTTACATGACTCACCTCAGGGTGATGACGTCGCCAACCTTCAGATCAGTTGTAGCAACGGACTTGCCGCTCGCGAGCGTCACCATCCGAATTGAAGAGAGCTGCATCACTGCTTTCAGAGATCTTGACACGCGATTTGTGGCCGTCATCTCGAGCACCTTTGCCAGGTTGAAGAGGATCACCACAAGAGCAGCGTCAAAGACCTCCCCCTGCGCTACTGCACCGACAGCGGCAATGATGACTAAGGTCGTGAGGTCGAGTTGGCATTTTGACAAAGTCCTGGCTGAGTCGACGATCAGCATGGGCAGACCGAGGAGAATCGCGGCAAAATAGCATGCCTGACCACCCACTTCGTGCCCGTGTGGCACTAGCACAGAACCGACGATGAAGAGGACACAAGCCTTGGCGCAGGAAAGGGTGTCTGCGCCAAAACAAAATGTTGAGCCTCGACTGAGGAGAATCAGAAGACCTCCGCGAATGTGTCACTGCCTGAATGTACCGACTCCAGTTCAGGAACCGTGTTCGTGGAGCAACACTTTTTAATTTGTCATGGGATGCTCTTGGTCATCTTGGAATGGTTTTGAAGTGCTCTTAGGGTGCTACTCTTGGGTTGCTCTTGGAATGCTGTTGAAGTGTCAGTGCTCTACGCTGGCATGAGACATTCTCGCATAAAGTGCTTGTTGCTCAGCCACGAAGCTGTGAGCAACGCAATGGCGCTCAAGTGGTCGCAGAACCACTGCGGCCAGGTAATGTCTTCATCGTCACCTGCCAAGGTGCTCCGTGCCCTTAAACACTAGATACTAGCTATCGCTACTCTTACCGAGCCCTGCAGCAAACATGGCAAGCCGTCCCAAATTTGGGATCGTTGGTTGCCTATCTCACCATTCTGGCCCAGCAAGGCAGCTCCAAGTCCCGCGTTGTTCAGGGTGTCCAAAATGGCTTCGGGCGCGCTGCAGCATGGAACGGGGCAGTGGACCACCACGGTGAGCTTGGTGAAAGGATTCGTGGAGACGCTCTCCACACCGTTCATGGGCCCAACTAGCCTCTGGATGAGCTTGACCTCCGAGTCGCAGCAGAGGTTTCGGACCGAGAACTTGGTTTTGATGAACTGGTGAGGCTTGCAGCCGCTCACCGCACAGAGCTCATTGCCCTCCTCTTCCCCATGAGGGCAGCACTTCGTGCAAATCTCAGGGCCGAGGCCGAACGACGAAAGCCTCCGCGGTCCGATCAAGGACCTTATAGAGTGGTCAATGGATAGATACCCGTAGCGATACCAAGCATATAGCAATAGAAGAACAGACTAGTAGAATCACAGAATCATAGAATAATAGAGAAAAACAGAAAACTGTAATAGTAGAATAATAGAATAATGGACTAGTAATAGTAGAGTAAATAGAATACTGGACTAGAATCATCGAATAATATTCTAATACAGTAAAAAACAATAATAGAATATACGTATATATGTATACGACTGAAAAATACAAATGCAATAATCTTAGAATACAAGCATGCAACAATACAATAAGGGCATGATCGAATAATCGGGGAATAGAGAAATAGAATAGTAGAATAATCGAATAACATCAGAATATCAGGAAATACTAGTAAAATGCAATAAGACAATCAGAATTCAAATATATTTTAATACACTGATATATTCGTGTAGTACTATACTGATATGTGAATATATATTTTAATATTTAGTATTAAAAACACAAAAAGCATGCAATAGTACAAAGAATATTCGGAATGGAACAGTGAATATCATGTAGTTGTACAAGCTAAATTTTAGTAATGCAGAAATATGAAAATGTAATGGTGGACAAATAAATAAAGTCGTATACTAATATACTCATACCATAATATACGTATGCAATCAGTGGCTTCAGTGAGTAAGGCACATCTAGCCTCTCCGAGTGTCGGCCAAAACTAATGATTGCCAAAGGCCCTCCACGCCTCAGTCTATCCCTAAAACTGAATTTCTGATGTCCCAAGGACGCAAGAGTCGACTGCTTCTTCAGCAGATTTTGTGTGCGCGATTGCCGAAGGCTACTGTTCGACGCACGCAGGAGGACCTCAGGACAGAAGCAAATGTGACACACGAGCAGCGTCCACACTAGTATAGAAGTAGGAGGTACAAGTATCATCGGGTATCGTGTGAGTACTCCGGAGTTGTAATTTCATGTAGTTTCATGTGCGGGGACGCTCCTTGACACCAGGCCTGTGACGAGCTTCGCAAGTTTCCGTTCTGGTGGCTGTGGGCGTGGTCCTCGTTCGTAGGACCAGCAGAAGCAGTCAGCAGCAGCTAATGAACAGAAGCGACACGCTACATGCAGTTGCACGCGCTGTCTCTAGCAAGTTGGAAAAGAAATTCAATGAGAAATGCCGTGCCAGCAGCATGGTTGTGATGATTGTGGCTGTGGCCACCTTCACCATGATGTCCGTCACACTCATGGTCGTCCTCAGGACTGCAGCCTACAGCCATCAAGTATATTCCCGATGCATCCGTAAACATTCCAATATAGTCCGCAACAATGCGCAAGCACTATCTGCTTCAGGTCGGAGGTGCATCGTCCGAGTCGTCATCATCATCACCACCGTGTCCATGCCCTTCGCACTCGTGACCTCCGTGGTCATGCCCATGGCCATGCCCGTGGCCGTGACCATGGCTGTGGCCATGGCTCTGGCCATGGCTCCCATGGCTGTGCCCACCATCGCCATGATCATGTCCCTCGCATTCCTCTTCGTCATGCGCGTCAGCTAGGCCGCACCAGGCAGAACCCTCGTGTTTCTCCTCAGGACAGGAGCCCATAACTTGGCCTTCAAAAAGCAGGAAAGAAACGATGGTCTCACAGGGTCCCTCACAAAAATGTATCAAGAACTATCGTGTCTTTTTCAGGTTGGTCCGAATCGTCGCTGTCACCATGGTCATGCCCTTCACATTGGTGACCTCCGTGGCTGTGACCATGGCCATGGCCATGGCTGTGACCATGGCTCGCGTGGCTGTGCCCTTCACACTCGCCATCGGAGCTTTCGCTGTGGTGATGGCCGTGGGAAGCCATCTCACAGAAGAGTGCAGTCTCTACAGCCGAGCAAGCCGAGCAATACTAGCAAGCTCTGTAAACACTACTATCGAGCGTCGGCCTAGGCAGGTTGCATCATGAAGAATGATAGGAACACTTTGGCATTGGTCCAGGAAGCTTCAGGAGCACACACGGATACAAGAGATTGTGCAGCAGACGCCAGTGGGTGTCAGTGGTCCTTCGGCCTTCATGCACTTTCGCGACTGTGCATGGGCCCTGCTCGAGCTGCTGACGGTGTTGCGGTGCTCAAGCAAAGCGTGACAGAAGAAGGACACCTCATCTGCAGCAAAACCGCAGACACCCCAACAATCTGTGCAAGCGAGCAACAAGGGAGAGTAAGGAGGAGTCGAACGCTGCCAAGGCTGAGCCATAGTGTGAGAATGGATGCCCCCTACTCTGAGGCATAGGCGGAATGGTGGAAAAAGTCTGGAGAGATGTACCTCAGGAAGCTTAGAGCGGCTAGATGCGCCATCCGGCTGGCACAGTGGAGAGTTCCTCCACATGAGGGCTCGGAGGCGTATGTATTTCGATCCAAACTGCACTTTCTCAACTAAACTACACTTTTGCCGCTTGTCTGCACCGTGTGTTTATATATTCATGTATTGAGACTTATATCTATATACAAAGGTTGTCAGCTGCTGTATCTGGACGTCTTGCGGTCGCAGCCATGACAAAGGTCCAGAATCTGTATTCGGAACGCCATTTCTCCACAAGTCCTACGAAGCAAACTCAGCTGAGTCAGTTGCCCGATTTTGAGTTGTCGCCCAGGAATCTGGCAGCAGTGGTTGGGAGAAGGTGTGCATGCGTCTGTCTTGGCTGGCCCCAGGCTCGGATTACCGGGTTCGGGTCCTGCACTTGGCTGAAGAGGACTCCGCTCAGATATGGTTTCCCCCCTACACAATGTCAGCCCTCACCAGCAGCCACTCGGTTGACATCAACACCAGGCACTGAAGCCAGGGAGTCCAGCTAGTACGTCGAAACCCATCCATGCAGTTCATGCACCCCATGTGCCTTTGAGTTGGACCAACTTGTGAACGGAACGCCCACCTGGACTCTGAGAAGCTGGAGGGCTTTGATTCAAAAAGAGGAGTCCAACAGGTAACCTCTTACAGCAGGACATTCTTCCGGGTGCGGGCATGGAAAGGTTATGACTATCCGGCACGTCCAGTGAAAATGAAGCACTTGTCCGTTGCCTCTCGGCAGAAGCGTTCAGCCCAGGCGGTATGTGCCTGCGTTGGCCACAAGAGTCAAATCAGGCGAAATGCTGGTCGCTGCTGGTCCTACATGCCTGCAAAAAAGATCTATCCATCTGTCTATCTATATGACAAGTATATTTACATATATGAATATAAACATATAAGTATATCTATATATGTATGTCAATGTATAAGATATGTACTCTTCGCGCAACTCTCATGGCAGATTGTTTGGCACATGCTAGGCGCGAATGCACACGGGCGCATCCAGTGCACCTTGGGTCTGGGCAAGACTGCAAGTAGCACCAGCTGCCTATGACTGTGGCACTGTGCAGGGAAACCCTGACTATGCTGGTTGCCGCTTGAGGGCAACCGAGGTTCAGGACTTTCCCTGCCATCTCGCACTCCCTCATGCAATATGGAGAGCATTACCTGCTGCTGCATGATAGTCAGCACACTTGATTCGATACTTCTAAAGATAGCTTCGCCAGCAGGCTCATACTGTACCTGAACAATCGTGCTATGCTGAGGAGCGGGGAGGGTGCCCCGGTCGCGAAATGGACATGGGATGAAGTGCCATTCTCCCATGGATTTGTACAGCGAGCGAGCTGCAAACCTTTACATACGAGCCCAGTATAACTTAACAGTATTTCGAGCAACCAATAATGCACAAGACGCTCTGGCACACGTATATTCTGAACAGCGAAGCCATTCAAAGGGAGGACTAAAATGTATTCTCAGCGCTTGCCTGAATCATGACAACTTGGGAGTCACACGCTGTGACCGTAGCTTGACGTGGTGTCCACGGATTCCACTTCATCATCATCCGGGACATCATCTCTCCAAAACCGACCAGACAGGATGGTCACCCCGAGCAGCAACACCAGGAGCAACGTGCCCAAGTCGCAGACTATGGCCATCCACAGCTTGAGAAGTCCTGCCAGCGCAAAGCCGACTTCGATGATCTTCACAAGGCATGGAATCGCCAGATTGAGGCGTTGGATCCAGAGAGCATAGCGACAAAGTCGGATGCACTGAGGCAGCCGTCGCAGCCTATCTGTCATCATTACCATGTTCGCGGACTTGGCTGCAAGTGCTGCACTCGTCTCCCCCATCGCAGCCCCGACCGTTGCAGTGGCCAGTGCCGTTGCATCATTGATACCGTCCCCTAGCATCAACGTCGGTCGCCGGGATTTTTCCTGGCCTTGAACCCACTCTTGCTTCTCCGCTGGGTGCATGGAGAAGTGGCATGTTTCCGGGTCAATGCCAACGGTCATGGCTACAGACCTCCCAGCCAGCTCTGCGTCCCCAGTCAAGATCCGGGTTTCACAGCCAAGCTGCTGCAAGTCCTCGATCATCTTTGCGGCATCACTGCGGACTGTGTCGTTCAGGGCAAGGCCCAGGGCCAGCTTTCCACTCACCACCACGGCGACCACCGTGTCGTTTGGGTGCCGGTCCTCCCAGGGATCACGATCGCTAGCACTGTACTCACTGGCGCTCTCTGGGGTCAGCCTATGCAGGCATGCCATAGTAAGCTCCGCTGGGGCAGCACAGTCATGATGCAAAGAAACGGAATCAAAAGCATGTCCTGAAAGTTTGAGAACATGGAATGCTGAGCAGGATCAGCCCTCACCGCGTCCAGGACGCGCTTGTTTCCGACATGCACGGTCACGAAGGCGTCGCCCGCCTTGACGTCACCCTTGATGCCGATACCTTCCACAACGCGAAACTTCTTCACGGCTGGAAGAGCATCATGCTCGTAGGCCTCACCAGCACAACCCACCGCCTTGGACACGATGGCGGCAGCAATGGGGTGCGCAGACTTCATTTCCAGCGCAGCTGCCAGTTTCAGTGGTTCGATTCCGAGGTCAGGCATCTGCTCGAACATTTCTTGCACACGCACGCCGAACTCTCCGGTGGTCAGCGTCCCTGTCTTGTCCAGCCCCACAGACACGATGGACGGAAGCTGCTCCACTGTCTCAGGCTGTTTGATAAAGACGCCGCGGGTCGCTGCAGCAGCAACGGCACAAGTTGTTGCCAAGGGTGCACCGATGACGATTGCACAAGGACAGGCTGTGAGCAGAATGACAAGACCACGCTCTCTCCACTTGTCGAAATCTCCATCCGTCATATACGGCACCAGCGTGCAAACCACCAGGACCAACACTACCACAAACGGAGTCCAAATGCTCGCGAACTTTGCGATGAGAAGCTGTTTGGCTGTACGCTGCATCTGAGCTTCCTCTACTTGCGACTCGATCATGGAGAGCGTCGACTCAGAGCCAGCCTTGTTCAAGGTAACTTCAATGTACCCATTCAGGATCACCGTGCCAGAAGAGATCTGGCTCTCCTGAGCACAACGCGTCTCAGATGTAATATGTCATGTCCCCTCCTTCCGCCCCCCCAACTCACCCTTCAAGAGGGCGCCTTCGTCTTCTCCACGGGCCGTGCCTCGCCAGTGAGGGCCGCCTGTCGATCTTTGGAGGCTCTTGAGCTCTTGCTTCGACTCTGTGCCATGCTACACCAACAGCTTTCCGAAAGGTCCACAAAGAAAACATGAACGGGACCTGAAAACATGACAGAGCAGCCCTCCAGTCCGATGCTCAAAGGTCGGAGCCCCCCTGGAAGCAACCAACGTCGTAAGCTTCTCAAGAACACCCCCCCCCCCCCCCCGCCCGCCCGAATTTTTGCAAGTTGATCTCTGCCTCAGAGCAAGACGCGGAGCCACGGGTCACCTGGCCATCGGCTGGACACTCTTCGCCGGGCCTCAGGAGTGACGTGCTGCTCAGTGGTTAGTGACGGTTAGTGGCCTCATGAGGGTTGCAATCTTGCGGGCTTCAACGAACTGGAAACATTTGCAGCGCAAGGATGTGGAGGTTTTGTGGGTCTTCCCAGGTGCTTCAGTGCGGTGCAACTTCAGGTTGACAGTTGAAAGTAGATTTGCTATCTGCGAGACCTCAACGTCACGACGTCGTCCTTCTGGAGGTCAGTGACGGCCACAGAGGTACCGTCCACCAAGGACACCATGCGAATGGACTGCAGCTGCATAACCTGCAAGCGACCACAGGCTACTAGGTGATTACAGTGACTACAGTGACTACTGTACGACCCTCACTTCCGACATCTCCGGCCACCTCAAAGACTCTCAAGCCCTGCGCCGGGACTGCCGAGCGGCGGCACGCAGAGAACGTGAGACACGATTCATTGCAGTCGCTTCCAGCACCTTCGCAAGGTTGAAGAGCACCTCAGCTCCAGAACTGCTCAGCGACATTTTATGGGTGGTGACCAAGCTGGCATCAGCGCGCCTCTGCGATCCTCTGCGAAGTTGCGCAGGCCTACTACAGTCCTGCCAAGGTGCCACCACCAACGCAGCATCAGTTGCTTCTCCTTGAGCAACCGCCCCTGCAGCAGCGATGAGCACAAGGGCCGCCATGTCAATCTGACATTTGGAGAGCGACACCAGAGCTTCGAAAACGATGAAAGGCAGACCAAATACCAACGCCACGAACTCACAGACTTGGCCCTCAGGGTCGGCGTCGTTGGAAATGAGTACAACACCCGTGCAAAGGAGCAACAGCGAGACGACCTCGGACATGAGTTCATGAGCCGGGCACAACCATGGGAGTTTGCGGGGCTTTGCAGATTTCGCATTTCGCCGCCCGTTCAGTTGAATCGGTGTAAAACAACATGTATCTTTCGGCGGCAGAGTCACAAACTTCCCCAGGGTACCGTTATGTGCATGATGTCACAAACATTAAAACCAAATCGCTGGCCAATCGAGGCATGCGACAAAGGACAAGTGGCGCACGTGCGCCAGGCACCACTGCAAGATGCTGATCTCGTCCATGCAATCCTCCTCGTTCTGGCCCAGCAAAGCCGCTCCAAGACCTGCATTGTTTAATTTGTCGAGGATTGCTTCGGGAGCGCAGCAGCATGGAACAGGGCAGTGGACCACCACGGTAAGTTTGGTGAAAGGGTTCGTAGACACGCTCGCAACCCCTTTCAGAGGCTCCACAATGCGCTGGATCAGCTTCACCTCCGAGTCACAGCAAATATTGCGGATACTAAACTTGGTCTTGACCATCTCGTGAGGCTTACAGCCGGCAACGGCGCACAGCCCCGTGTTGCTTCCGTGACCGCAGCAAGCAGAGCACACCTGCCTTTCCAGCAGAGTGAAGCGGCTCTTGGACCGATATGCGCCGCTGAACAGCGATACCCAAGAAGACACGGTACCGCTCCGCCTCATGTCTCTAGACGAGACTCCGCCCCTTTTCACAGGCGACAGTGGCGAAGCACCGTCCATGACTGCAATCCTTACCTTCTTCTCATGGCTATGGCGGTGGGAAGACTCGGCTGTATCTCCATGCCCCTGGTGCCCATGGTGATCGTGCGCATGTCCACCATGCTCATGCGCATGTCCACAGCTGCACTCGCTGCTCTCGTCATCAGAGTGACCATGGTCATGGGCATCTTCGCAATGCTCATGCCCATGATGATGCTCATGCTCATGTTGGTGACCTTGCTCATGGTGGTGATGCTCGTGCGCGTGGCCTTTGCAACTGCTCACTTGCCTGCTTTCATCGTGAGCATGACCTTGCTGGTGCTCATGACTGTGGCCGTGCTCTTTGCAGCCGTGGCCTTCGTGTCGGTGCTCATGACTGTGGCCATGCTCTTCGCAGCTGCGGCCTTCGTGTCGGTGCTCATGACCGTGGCCATGCTCGTCGCAGCTGTGGCCCTCGTGTTGGTGTGCATGACCGTGGCCATGCTCTTTGCAGCTGTGACCTCCATGCTCGCTTTCATGCTGGTGAGCATCGTTATGGCCACTCTCCATCTCCTCTTCAAATTGTGTAATTGCGCGGCAACGGCCTTTTGTCGCCGCAAGCCAGTTGAATTCCAAGAATTGCAAACTACGCCCAGTTGGGGGCAATATTTAAAATTCTCCTGGTTTTTTGAGCCCATAAGCCACGGAGTTTACACTTCGGGTCTTGGAGCAACCGAACAGCAAGACTCCGATTCCGGAAAGTCCATGCGAAAGCTGGCAGCGCGCTCCTCTCAGCTGATGCCCAGTCATGCCAAGGTCGACAGGACGAGACACCAATGAACTCCATGAACAGCTGAGAATCTCGTGTGTGCATGGGCAGCCTTGAAAGCAACCATGCTTTCACAGAAGTTCGTGGCTCTCCTGTTTTTCGCCTACGAGCATGGCAGCGTCCTGTTTTCGGATCTCAGCCACCTGGGCGAGACATTCCATCCCAAGAACTTCCATCCCAAGATATTCCAAGCAGAACATCGGACTCTAAGCAGGCCACACTCTGAGCTTCTCCCTTTCCAGGCTTCGGCTCGGGAGGCGCTTCTTGTTCGGCTCAGAGCCTGAAAGGTCAGTTCGGCGGACTATCCCATAAAATCCCATAAGCCCCCCCGCCCCCGGCCCTGGCTGCCCCTATAGGGTTCAGGAGTACGGTGATTGGAACATGGCTGATGCCTCCCACGGCGAGGAGAATGTGCCCGGGGCCCTCTGAAGCTTAGTGTCCTGGAAACTTTCAACTTTCAACGAGACACTGGATCAGCGGCAGGCTGCGGGGGACATCTTCGGCGCACGACCAGTACATGTCATCGCCTCGCTGAAACTACCGTTTGGGCCCTATACGAAAACAATGGAATTTTCTCGGGTGCAGGATTGTGGCATTGCATCTCTGGCGTCACAGCCAAGAGACTGAACTGCTCCAGAACCAGTTCCGAAGCTGGAAGGTCAAGCTCCTGAGGCTCCCAGCAACTGACGCAAGAGAAGTTTTCAACAGCATGCGTTTCATCAACAATCCCTTGATACGATTCTTGAACCCCGTCTTCAGCTTTGAGAGGGTGGATTTGTGCGGTTTCCAAGCCCACCTAAGACTCGCTTGAATTCAGCTGACATTCCAAAATGAACAGCTATGCTCGCCCTGATTTAAAAAATTCTGGTCGCATATCCAGATTGCCATATTACCGGGGGGGAGAGGGGGGGCGAAGGTGGAGGGGGGGAGGGAGGTGAGGGGCGAGAGGGAGGGTGGAGGGGGGAAGAGATTGTTCGATACAGTACAGCGCCAGATCTGCAGGAAGCATTCGCCATGCAGTACCAAGCATGTGATGCACTCCCTGTTCACGCATGTTGAAATGTGGCGTCACATGTAGGCCAAGACGGAATGCACTCAAAGAAGTTGAAATCAAGATTCAAACTGCCGAGCCGCTTAGCCCTCGTGGAAATTGCAAGGCACGGCAGCAGGGGAAGATCTTAGGACTCGGGACCAACGTCACACCCCTTCGCGCCTCCGCCGCTCGCTTTAGCAGTGCCTCGGACAGTGTGGCTTTGCTTAGCTTCACGGCACGAGAGGCTCACGTGGGGGCATGTGTACACGGGATACAGTTCAGGACAGTTCAGTACATTGGTAAAGGCACTGAGTGGCAACAGCAATACTTGTTCAGGCTAGTAGTTGGGTGCCTATAAAATCCAAATTCTGGGCAACGTATGGATGCAGACCCGATGTATTGCACAGCAGGAAGCTCGGCGGACACTTTAAGGGAACCTTTTCATCCTCAGCTGTCAGTTGCTTGTATCCCTCGAGCCACGGTCGAGGCGTGAAATCGGAGGTTGCTACTGATCCCTTTGGTCAGCACCTGTCTTTCGAACAACACCTGTCTTTCGAACGCCTAAAAACTCCGCAATAAGCTTTTCACATCCGAGATTCGCTTAAGGTCGTTTCGCCTGCCAAGAGAAGTTCCAGAGCCAAGTCTTTGAGATAGCATCATTCTTTTGAGTGCCCTTTCTTTGGAAACAAGAGCATCTTGGGAAATTCGTCTTTGCTAGTTGCTGGGCAGTCCCAAAGCATCTCGGGAAACCGGTCCCCGCCTGTCGAGGACCCGTCCCCTCCATCCCCTGATTTATCCCCTGATTTATGCTGCGAAGCTTTGCAAAGCCTTCAGAGGCCACTCATTGGAGTCCTGCCCTTGTTTGTTCACACGCCAAGTTGCATCGTTGCCTTCCCACCGCTCTGCTGCCTGCTCAAGGCAACAGCAACTGTTGTTGAGCCGGGCCACTGCCCCCCTGATAAGCCGCAGAGCAGGCGAGACACTGGACTAGCTGGATTCTGTGCACAGAACAGCAAAGCTCTGACAGGCTCTGCAAGCCGGAGTACAAATGCTCTCCCCCCAAGCCTTCAAGATGAGTCCACATAGGGATCCAGTAATACCCGCCACTGCCAGCGTGAGTATCCTTAGTCTTAGTCAGATGTTGAACGGATCGAGACTTCAGGCTTCTTGAGGCTTCCTGAGGCTTCCCTCTTGCTGATGCAGTGATCCAAGTACTGTCGAGAGTCAGGCCAACCCACTGATGAGATGACACCTTACATCGACTTACATCGTTTGCACTGACTGCCGATGTGATGTAGCAATGTAGCACAAAAGCCGCTGTACTGATCAACGCAAGAAGGCCTTGGTCGCCTTAAACGTCAAAGCTGCGATACAATGCGACTTGTCAAAAGGTCACAAGGCTGAAGCTGAAGGTGCCAACAAGCAACGTAACCGGTCTCGGGGTAAAGCCATGGCACAATGGCTGAGTAGACACCTCAACCCCATGGTAGCTCCGAAAACAGCCCAAACACGCACACGTGGTCAATCTACTCTCCTCATCCCTTTGTATGCGGAGCGGTGGCCCACTAAGCCGGGAGGATTCGGGCGTTTGAGGAGAAAAATGATTCAAGAGATTCCGCGGAGATGGGGAGGCGATGGTCGTAAGGGCCGTGATGCCCAGCCACGAACCCGCCCTGACCACTACGTCGGGTTAAAGTTTCACATCGGCCTGGCTTGGGGGGGAATCTTCAGATGGACTATTGGCCAGGTGTCGTTGCTGAAGTCGGGCATCATTATTGTTTTCAGAAGGCTTCATCGTTTGTCCAAACCATCAATAGGGTAGCTTTGAGTTTCAACTGTTGGATTGTGGGGGAGCTGCAAAACAAAATGCACAATTTCCAGATAGGTTGAACATCATGAGTTTTAGTTTTCGCCTCGTGATCCAATGAAGCGCTGTGGCACAGCAGAAGAACGCCAAAGTGACTGGCTTCAAGTGCTGCTTCGCAGTTTGCTTTGCTTAAGCACGATTGTGGCCCAGGAGGCCCTTGAACTCTTTCAAGCCCTGGCGGCCCTCGCGCCTCCCAGGATACCAGGGATACCGTGCAAGTTGTGCACCCCACCTGAGCTGCACACATGAAAACAGTATGCGCTGAGATGCCGCATGAGCCTGACCCAACTTTGACTCACCATGGAACATCAAGACCCAGTCCCTGCCGACCAATGGACACTTCCAAACGAGTCTTGGTCTTGGGCAGCCGAGGAGCATGTGTCAACATCACGAAACACTGGCGACAGTGCAAAGCCGGCAGTGGCCCTGAGCCCGGCGAGGCACCGCAGGCACGTTAAGCTTGATCTCCGCTAGGCGCGTATGTGCGTAGTACAGTGCAAATCTCCCCCGAGCATCTGGCAAAGACCCAGCTGCCATACCCAGTGCAGCAGCACCAAACCTAAGGTGTTTGCTTGGGTTTATTTTGCAGACCCCCGACTGCACTCAACGAACAAAAACACTGGTGGAGCTCCGAATGTCTGAGCCGGCTGCGGTCCCACTACACTCGCGGAGGCTCCAACAGCAACACCTTCATGATGTCATGCAAGCTGCACAAGTGGCCATAACAGACACCGGACGCCTTGTGGCAGGGACTCCGGGTTGCTTCTTGAGCAGGTTGTCGTTCGAGGAGGCTTTCCGTCTCAACATTAGTCCAGATCCCGCCTCCTGCAAGAGTCGCATTCTGCACCGTCTGCGGGTCAAGCCGGCCGTCCTGAGAGCTCAGAACCCGAGATACGCTAGCGCAATAGCACAATACAACTTAAACGGTACTCAGCCAAGGATTGATCAGCGCCGATGACTGCCAGGCGCTGGACATCGCGCTGGGCCTCTCCACATCCCTCTGGAATGTCCTGCAGCATCTGCGACAAGCCGAAGGTCATCACTGTGGAGGTGAGGAGTGCCAGCACGGTGTTGAGGAGCGCCTCTCAGCTTCACACATTCTTACACCCAGAACAGCCGGTCACGGATGGCAACACTGTCCTGAAGAGCAGAATGCGGACCAACGAGGTGCGGAGCACGTCAAAATCAGCTTATTCAGCTTTCAAATGCAACTCTCAAGTCCTTCAGTTGCTCTGCTTTGGTCTCCTGGCCCGCGGCGACAAAGCTCGGCCAAAACCTCTGTGATCTGTGAGCAAGGTTTCAGGGTTCACAGCACATGTCGCGAAGGTGACCTACCTACACTTATGTCCTCATGATGGGCACTATTTGTGCGTGACATTCTTGACAACTTGACTCCCTTGCCGAGCATCATCCAAAGGAACACGGTACCAAGCAGAGCGAGGATGTCCGACCTTAGAGAAGGCGGCGGAAGCTCCTTTCCAAAACAGGCTGCTGCTGCTCTGCAACGAATAGCAGCCGACATAACACTTGGAATGTGCTTCAAAACTTGGGAGCCGACTGGTAGGAGCTGCTCTTCAGCTTCTCCTGTCTGAGTGAGTCCATGCCGAGGTCCATGGAACAGCGATCGCGGGCAACAATTCGAAGCAACTTTTCTCGGTGGGCAATCTGCAGTCTTCTGCAGAATCTCACGAAGCAAATTCCTGTTCTTGCGTGGCAAATGGCTATACAAGGAACGATCTCCAGTTGGAGAACTGGCTCTTAGAACGGCGACTGTAGGGCGGACTCTGCCTCCCGGCGAGGTGGCACCATGTGGCACACCTCGAGTTCCTTTCGCTGATCGTTACTCAGAACTGTTTTTTCATCGGTGCATGTGCCCGTGATGGTGATGGTGCTCTTCTGCGTGGCCGCTTGCGTGGCCACCTTCAACAGCAGGTGCCACACAATGCTGGTGGTCCTTACCAATGGGGAGCTTGTAGCTCGGTGCTTGTTGTTGAGGGCTTGGCGGGATTGAATGCTCCGAACCAGACTCGTGCAAGAAAAACTCGCTAATGAGCTGAGACTCCAGTAAAACCAAGCCGATAAATACGGCACCAAGGATGAATGCAAGCAGCGTGGCGACCTGGCATGCGAAGGGCTGGGGAATCGGCCACTTCCCCAAATTTTGCAGTTCCCGAAAGCTTCAGCGAAGGGTTCTTCGGAAAAAAAACGTCAACCTACCATCACCACACTACAATCACCACACTCCAATCACCACACTACCATCACCACACTACCATCACCACACTACAATCACCACACTCCAATCTCCACACTACCATCACCACAGTACCATCACATCACTTCCGCTATTAAATTCTCTCTTATTTCTTAGGCTGGGGTGGGTTTCGCCGCGGCTAGCGCGATGCACCCCTCTGCGGGGATCGTGCGTGTCGGAGCGCTCCCGCTGTGCGTTTTTGCGCATTTAGATGTGCGCCCGCGCGCCCTCTGCGGGGATCGTGCGTGTCGGAGCGCTCCCGCTGTGCGTTTTTGCGCATTGGATGTGCGCCCGCGCACCCTCTGCGGGGATCGTGCGTGTCGGAGCGCTCCCGCTGTGCGTTTTTGCGCATGTGGATTTGTGCCCGCGCACCCTCTGCGGGGATCGTGCGTGTCGGAGCGCTCCCGCTGTGCGTTTTTGCGCATTGTACAACTTGCTTCGCACACCCTCTGCGGGGATCGTGCGTGTCGGAGCGCTCCCGCTGTGCGTTTTTGCGTATTTTCAAGCGTGGTCGTGCACCCTCTGCGGGGATCGTGCGTGTCGGAGCCTTCCTCACCTCTTCCTCTCCTCTTCCTCTGCTCTTCTTTTCCTCTTCCTCTCCTCTTCCTCTCCTCTTCTTTTCCTCTTCCTCTCTTCTTCCTCTCCTCTTCCTCTCCTCTTCCTCTCCTCTTCCTCTCCTCTTCCTCTCACTCTCCTCTTCCTCTCCTCTTCCTCTCCTCTTCCTCTCCTCTTCTTTTCCTCTTCCTCTCCTCTTCCTCTCCTCTTCCTCTTCTCTTCCTCTCCTCTTCCTCTCCTCTTCCTCTCCTCTTCCTCTCCTCTTCCTCTCCTCTTCCTCTCTCTCTTCCTCTTCTCTCTTCCTCTCCTCTTCCTCTCCTCTTCTCTCTTCTCTTCTTCCTCTCCTCTTCCTCTCCTCTTCCTCTCCTCTCCTCTTCCTCTCCTCTTCCTCTCCTCTTCCTCTCTCTCCTCTCTCTCTCCTCTTCTTCCTCTCCTCTTCCTTTCTTCTTCCTCTCCTCTTCCTCTCCTCTTCCTCTCCTCTTCCTCTCCTCTTCCTCTCCTCTTCCTCTCCTCTTCCTCTCCTCTTCCTCTCCTCTTCCTCTTCTTCCTCTTCCTCTCCTCTTCCTCTCCTCTTCCTCTCCTCTTCCTCTCCTCTTCCTCTCCTCTTCTTTTCCTCTTCCTCTCCTCTTCCTCTCCTCTCTTCCTCTCCTCTTCTTTTCCTCTTCCTTTCTTCTTCCTCTCCTCTTCCTCTCCTCTTCCTCTCCTCTTCCTCTCCTCTTCCTCTCCTCTTCCTCTCCTCTTCCTCTCCTCTTCCTCTCCTCTTCTTTTCCTCTTCCTCTCCTCTTCCTCTCCTCTTCCTCTTCCTCTCTCCTCTTCTCTCCTCTTCCTCTCCTCTTCTCTCCTCTTCCTCTGCCTTCTTCCTCTTCCTCTTCCTCTCCTCTTCCTCTCCTCTTCTTCCTCTTCCTCTCCTCTTCCTCTCCTCTTCCTCTCCTCTTCCTCTCCTCTTCCCTCTCCTCTTCCTCTCTCTCCTCTTCTCTCTCCTCTTCTTTTCCTCTTCCTCTTCCTCTCCTCTTCCTCTCCTCTTCCTCTCCTCTTCCTCTCCTCTTCCTCTCCTCTTCCTCTCCTCTTCCTCTCCTCTTCCTCTCCTCTTCCTCTCCTCTTCCCTCTTCCTCTCCTCTTCCTCTCCTCTTCCTCTCCTCTTCTTCCTCTCCTCTTCCTCTCCTCTTCCTCTCCTCTTCCTCTCCTCCTCTCCTCTTCCTCTCCTCTTCCTCTCCTCTTCCTCTCTTCTTCCTCTCCTCTTCTTTTCCTCTTCCTTTCTTCTTCCTCTCCTCTTCCTCTCCTCTTCCTCTCCTCTTCCTCTCCTCTTCCTCTCCTCTTCCTCTCCTCTTCCTCTCCTCTTCTTTTCCTCTTCCTCTCCTCTTCCTCTCCTCTTCCTCTCCTCTTCCTCTCTTCTTCCTCTCCTCTTCCTCTCCTCTTCCTCTCCTCTTCCTCTCCTCTTCCTCTCCTCTTCCTCTCCTCTTCCTCTCCTCTTCCTCTCCTCTTCCTCTCCTCTTCCTCTGCTCTTCTTTTCCTCTTCCTCTCCTCTTCCTCTCCTCTCCTCTTCCTCTCCTCTTCCTCTGCTCTTCCTCTGCTCTTCCTCTGCTCTTCCTCTCCTCTTCCCCTCCTCTTCCTCTCCTCTTCCTCTCCTCTTCCTCTCCTCTTCCTCTGCTCTTCTTTTCTTCTTCCTTTTCTGGAAAGTCGACTTTTGTAGTACAAACGTAGTACGCCGCGGACGCCCGGAGCTGCCGTGGCTGGAAGTCGACTTTTTGTAGTACAAACGTAGTACGCCGCGGACGCCCGGAGCTGCCGTGGCTGGAAAGTCGACTTTTTGTAGTACAAACGTAGTACGCCGCGGACGCCCGGAGCTGCCGTGGCTGGAAAGTCGACTTTTGTAGTACAAACGTAGTACGCCGCGGACTCGAAACCATCGCAAATATCGTGGGACTCGAATTCCGCGGTGTCGAAACCCCTTCAAAGACGTCGCAAATACCGCGGGCGCGGAACTCTGGGGCTTCAAAGACATCGCAAATACCGTGGGCGCGGAACTCTGGGGCTTCAAAAACGTCGCAAATACCGTGGGCGCGGAACTCTGGGGCTTCAAAGACGTCGCAAATACCGTGGGCGCGGAACTCTGGGGCTTCAAAGACGTCGCAAATACCGTGGGCGCGGAACATGGGGCTTCAAAGACGTCGCAAATACCGTGGGCGCGGAACTTTGTTGCTTCGAAAACGTCGCAAATACCGTGGGCGCGGAACATGGGGCTTCGAAAACGTCGCAAATACCGTGGGGGCGGAACTCTGTTGCTTCGAAAACGTCGCAAATACCGTGGGCGCGGAACTCTGGGGCTTTGAAAACCTCGCAAATACCGTGGGGGCGGAACTCTGTTGCTTCGAAAACGTCGCAAATACCGTGGGCGCGGAACTCTGGGGCTTTGAAAACCTCGCAAATATCGTGGGCGCGGAACTCTGGCGCTTCGAAAACGTCGCATATACCGTGGGCGCGGAACTCTGGGGCTTTTGAAAACCTCGCAAATATCGTGGGCGCGGAACTCTGGCGCTTCGAAAACGTCGCATATACCGTGGGCGCGGAACTCTGGGGCTTCGAAAACGTCGCAGCAAATAGCACGACGACACCACACTACCGTCGCAACATTACCATCACCACATTATCATCAGCCCATTACCATCACCGCACTACCATCGCCTCAGCTACACACCGCTTCTCTACGCTGCCTGTTACATTCCATCTTCTTTGCGTTTCGCGTTCTTTTCGCCGTCGACGCCATATCCTACTACACCACACCACGATCACCGCACTGACAACACAACCAACTATACGTGTCAGTTGATATCTTTGCACTGATGGCTTTCGGGATAATCGGTGTCTAGTTACTTGCAGTCAGACCAGCTCCGAGATATTCCGAGCTACTCCAGGTCGGGTGCTACACATTACACCCAGCATCGTGCTTTACCGTGCTCCACCGTGCTTCGCTAGCGGCTAGTGCCTCTGCATATGCTCCTTGCAATCTCGGCAAGGCACAGACCCAAGGACGGGCCACTGCGAATGTTCACTTCGAAGTCGCGACACTGAGGGCCCCAGCTCCGTGGCCGCAACGTAGATGAAGATCCCCGCGCCTGAGAGGCACATGAGGCACGAGTGCCACGAGCACTGATCCGGTGTGCCAAACGCAATTTCGACTGCATCATTCTCCTGGCCTACAGCTAGAACCGAGCCCTCCATCTCACTTCCCACGTCAAGGTAGAAGGCGACCACAGCCCCCAGCAGCGTAGAAAGGCCACTGAGGAAGTTCCTCAGAAATTCCGAGGTGCACTGGTCAAAACCCTCCAAACGACAGGCTTCTGAAACAAGCAGATCAGCATCTGGTCTGCTTCTCCTACCCCCCAACACCAAAACCCTTGCCCAGATGGGGCAAGAACAAGGTCACGCCGCTGTTAGCGGCCCTGGACCGTTTGCGCACGGAAATGTGGTTTTAACCCACGCATGGCAGTGCTCGAGAAAAAAAAGTTTTGTCGGCGGAAGTTATTTTCAGGACTTGGAGTGATGATAAGATGGTGTGTTGCTTCAAAGTACCACGCCTGCCAGTGTTTTGAGCATTTCGCAGTGCTTACTGTGGGGATGCGTTTTTGCGACTTTTGCGTGTTTTTGCGTTTTGTGTTGTGTCACTGTTCAGAGTGGAACAAGGTGACTGCAATGTGGTCTTATCTTGAAAAGTGCCGCGCCTGCCAGTGTTTTCAGCATTTCGCATGCTTTTTGGGGGGGCTGGAGTGTTCAGGGTGCAGCGGGCTTGCAGTGGTTCAAGTTTAGGGCTTTGGGGTTGCGCAGAGACGCTAAGCACGGAAAGCACGGTTTTGGTCGCGAAAGGCATGGACGCTTGTGAGAGATTTTCTTGTTCCACATCCTTTTGCAGCATGTTGTACAGAGAGGCGAAAACACTGTAGATACCGGTGTTTTGTGCATGGACGCAATATGCATGACGTTTCTTATCCCCGCCCCCCCCCCCCCACCAAGAAGTGCCAAAACTAACGTTTCGCCCAGGGCCGCTAACAGCGGCTTGAGCAAAAACAAGATGTGTTTTCGGGTGGAAAGCCCTACACATTTTGCCGCGAAACCATCTGCCACCCCCTGAAAACCTTCTTGCGCCCCCCAAACTTCCTTGTCAAATGTTCAAGAATTCGAAAAATATGGCCAGTGGCCCAGGTCCTTGGTCAGTGAGGCAACGCAACCCGAAGCAGCTCAAAGAGGCAGGGAGCAGCTCTAAGAGAGGGGCCCTTAAGATGCTCTTAATTCTCTAAATCTTCCGGGGCTCAGCAGCGTCGCCCAGCTCCAGCTCAAGCCGGCCTTGTTCACCAGGAGGAAGAAGTCGGCCAACTCTTGGGGGATCTCGTGCGCCATGGTCACACCAACAATCTTCCATGCAAAGCCCTTGTTGCAGGACTTGAAAGCGGTGCCAATCACGAAGCCATCAGCAAGATTATGCAGCGCATCTCCAAGTAAGACTGGTAAGGATATGACCCATGAAGGGACTCGTCGAACGCTCGCTACGCTCGTAGTATCCGAGTGCATGCAAAGCTCTGGGACAGATGGAGCGGCGTTGACGTCCTCCTTCAGCTGCTTGGGGCCCTTGGGGTTGTCTGACTTCTCTTCATAAACCAAGTTCACCAGCTCTCCAGCATGATGGATGAAGGCGCCAGCAAGCCAGCCTCCCAGAAGACAAGAGCCCCAGACAACCTGAGTGTTAGATCACGATGAGACTGCAGAGGCCTCTAGAGGCCTCTAGACTCTACAACCCCCCTTCTATCGCCACCGGTCTTTGCCTTGATGACCTGCTACCCACTGCTACTTGCTGCTACCCCTGCCAACAGTGATGCAAGGCAGGCAACAGAAGCTTCCACCTCAGACAAGCCTTCGCCCAACAAGTGGCTGGCCTCAGGCATGAGCAGGAAGGCCGCCGCGGCAAACATAACGCCGCTTGCACCCGCATTCACGAAATGCAGAATCGCGTGGCACCAACCAGAGGACACATCCTTGCAGGCTACGCAGAGCATGAAGATCCCCATCAGCGTTGGCAAGATGCTGATCATTGCTGCAACTACGACTTCCCACAGGTGACTCCGCGGTGCTTCGAAAGCTTCGGAAGCTTCGCACGGAGCACTTGACACCTCCACTGTGGGATGCACTTCCTCACCACCTTCTGTGGTAAGGAAGTGAAGGTTCTTCTCAAACTCAGAAGGAAGATGCTCGGCGAAGAATGCAACATGTGTCCCTGGCTCGACCTGGATCTGGAAGAGACTCGAGGGCGACTCCTGATCAAAATTCAAAACATAGGAGTTGTCGGGGCGAAGCACGTCTCCTGGGTGAACCTCCTTCATTGGAGCCTCCCAGTTGTGGTCTACAAACTCATGCTGTGCCTCCAGGCCCTCTTGGGTATCCGAAGCAGCAGTTCTGATTATCAGACGCATGCTCGCCTCTGGATATGCTCCATTCACCTTCTCGGCACTCCAGCGCAAAAAGCCACCCTCGTGGCGGAAGACGCCCGACCATTCCCAGGGCTCTGCCCATGGGCACGCTCGGCAGCCAATCGCAAGCACCCAAATCGCCCAAAAGAAACATGGCAGGCGACTCATTTTCTCAAGGCTGACAGGGGAAGGGCTTCTCTAAAGCAGCCTGCAAGCATTGAAAAGGGTCAGCCTCGATGACGCATTCGGACATGCCTTCAGCTGCGCCACAACACGCCACGATGCTGATCGGATGGAATGGAGCCGCAGTAGGAAGCTACTGTTCAAAGTCTTCCCTTTGCAGAGCTGTGTCCTTGCCAGCTGGGGCGAGGCTCCCAGCCGCAGCGAGGCCGAAATAAGCGCCAAAGACCTGAGAAGAGAAGCCCGGAAACTTCCACATCCGGAGCATCTCTCTGAAGCCTTTGAGCAGATCCATGCAAATTCATAATGCAACTGTCACCACTGGACTCCACTAACTCAACTTAGGGTCTGAAGTCTCTTAGAGTTTCTGTACGCCTTGCGAAACACTTGCGGTTTCATCGCTTAAGCTCCCGGCATGCAAGAAGGTCCCACCACCGTCGTGGATGAGTGGCACCGCTTCCTTAGCGCGCAACGCAAGAAGAAAAAAGGTACGCACAGACCAGCGCAAGCTGCGAGCTTTGCGAGAAGGGTCGGCATGACTGCTTTCCAAGCGGCACCCTGCCTCAGGAACAGGACCTGCACAACGCAAATTACGTGGTAGCTTCAAGCATCGTTCTGTTGCTACCAGTACGAGGCAACCACCTACACATCGACCGCAAGTCCTACAAAGTATGCCTAGAGTAATAATCTAACCGACGCTCGCAAGGAACGAGCTTTCGGAGTGCAAGATCCTGAAGCATGGCGGAAGGCCCTCTTTCACATGCAGGAGTCCAGCCCTAGGTGCCTTGTGAAGGATGAAGCAAGGCAGCTCGATCCTCGGCATTCGGCGGGGCACCCGGCTTTGTGCAAAAGTGTGCAGAAGGGCAGGGCTTAGGGGTTTCGGGGGTTTGGGGGGTTCGGGATTTAGGGTTTAGGCAGGACATGGCTATGAACGCTGTGCCCCTGGCATCTGCCCTTCATCGACCGACAGTGCAATGTGAAATCTGAGCCCGCTGCATCACAAGCATGATGATCTGTAAGGGAGAGATTCTACCTTGCTCCACATGGGAACTGCGAGCAGATCCAAACCACTAGAGGCCCCCTACGATAACAATAACTCGGACGCAGGCAGTACGCTGCAACCGGCGCGAGCCCATATTATGCTGGATGCTCAGCGCGCACCATGCAGGAAGCATTAAGGATACTTCACGATAAATGTCACAGGTCGATCCTTAAACTGCTCCGCTATCATCATGATAGCCTCTGAGGTTAGCTAAGGCGTGGGCCGATCAACGCTCCGAAAGAAACCAACACCTCAGTCGAAAGCACACGCGATCAAGGCAGCAAAGGATTTTGAGGCAGCTGGAGGTGACTCCTACCAACAGGGCTCTGTTTGCTCCTGGGTAGTGCTTGGTTTGGGAGTTCTGCTTGGTCTGTCGCCTTCTGTTACTTGCGTTCCTCCCTGCCTTGCTAGTTCTTTCTTGGGAAGGTGCTGTGTACGTCTAAAGAACCACTAGAACCCTTTAAAAGGGTCTCTGGGATTACATTGGCACATAACTCCCTGCTTCTGTGCCGAGAACCAGACAGCGATCCTTGCCTTCTTAAATTAACACCCTAGCCATCCTCTTCATAATGCCCTACTTGGTAGAGGACCCTCTTACAATGTCATGTCAAATATGGAACATGTTGTACTTGGAAAGTGCCTTCCGAGACGCTGCGACGACGTCAATATTTGCGCGTAGCAGTGCCGACAAGTCGATGGTAAACTCCGCCTCCAATGCACCATCACAGGGAGGCTCAAATAGGATCCTTTTCTGTCACCCTATTAATATTGAGTATACATGAAAAAAGTATGTTAAGCACCGAGCTCTAGGGGAAGACAGCCCTCACACATCCTCACAGACACATGACGAATGATTTACGAGTTGAGTCTGGAGAGCGCCTGGCGCAGGCAAGATTCCAGGATCAGGGCCCACTGCACCCCCACACAGGAGATGAGCAGCCTGATTCAAACCCTCCAAGGAGCTTAGCATGGCTTGATCCACTGCGCAGAGTCTCGGGGGACAGTCTTTCCCTATTGTTTAGCTGGGCAGCGTAAAGCCGACGGCCCCGAGACCATACGCCTCCCAAAGTTCAGGCAACTCTTCACATCGTCACGTCGATCGCACTTCAGCAGTGTGGGCGTGTGATCCAGGGCGTGGACATGGAGCACAGCACAGCAACTTCCATCAGCCACATTGCACACATACTACATTACCTTGAATTCTACCACATAGCTTAAGTAGAAGTATCGGTGCACAGCCGACTGAAGCTCGAAGGGACGTGAGGTTAAGGTGATCTCCAGCAAGGGCATTCTAATAAGAGGGGAGGGGACGTCACCTTGAGAAAGGTCTTCAAGTAGCCAAAGCCCACGAACATCATCAGCGCCACACCTTAAAAAAACACGCAAAACAGGGCTCTTCGAGGGGTATGCACACATGCAGCGGTTACGTATCCTAGTGGTGAAAAATTTTCGGGCAGGGGGGGCCATACTGCCATACCGGTCCTGTTTTGCGCTTCGGCCTCGACCGTGAGGCGTCAGATTTTCTCTGTGGGATTCGACGACCCTGTAAGCCCGCCCCCCGCCCCTCCTCCCCCTCTAGTTTGTTTAGAAGCAAGATATTCACATGCTTGGAGTTTACTCCTCGGCCTGATCTGCCAGGGTACGGGCACCAATCATTTTTCGCTTCTTTCGTGGGTATTAAGGGGGAAGGGGTGGGGCACCTTGGAATCCGCATGGCTCCGCTCGGTGACATTGATGGCGGCCCTCTGTCCCGGCTTAGGGCGAGGCGGGCGACGCGCAGTGTTTGACAATATGCTGAACGGTCCACGGCGCTGCCAACATCGGCACCTCTCTTGCCCTCACTCCCCCGGATAGAACCATAACCATCTTCTAACCTAAAAGTCTAATAATCCTACAACCTCATACCCTTAATAATCAAACAATCGATTTGAATCGAAGTACCGCCTTTCTGCGACATCTGGCGTTCAAACGTGCTTTGCAGCCAGACGACCCGTGAAAAGGGAGGTGTCGGCACTTGCTGCAGCTTGGTCTTCTTCTTCCAGCTTGCACTTGTGGAAAGCTATGATGAAAACCTGATGCTTGTCAAGGCCGAGGCGAAAGGTGCAGAACAAGCTGGCTCTGACTGAGCGAGAGAAAGAGAGAACACAGACAAAAGCAACAACAAGCAAAGCTGCGCATGGCAGCGAGCTGATACAGCTTGCAATTCGCAATCGTGCCCGTCCCGGCAAATGACACACGACTGCGAAGCATTTGGACGTGTGCCAACAAGCTGCTACTTGTATCATTGCGGTCCTTAGCTGCAGCCTTGCTGTACGAAGCAGAGATATGTTCTGACCACCTTACGAAACTGCACCTACTGACTGTAAGCTGAAACTGACTAAAATCACCCAATCACCCATGCATTCAAGCGTCAGCACACCGAAGCTCTTCCCCGGTTGAGGCGACCAAATATCCTGAACACCCCCCCCCCCCCCATCCCAGCAGTCTGACATAAGACATTATGCAGAGTCTATCATTCTTGGAGTTACAACGGACCTGTAGAACAACACGCCCACACAGTGAAGTGCGTGAACCAACCTCTGCCGTTCTGTCACATCCCTGACTAGCAGTTAGCCTCGGATACTCCTGAGGAAGCATGGACATGGACTCTGAGAGAGCAAACAGTTCAAACACATTGCAGAAATGGTCGAATGCTACTGCTGCCGGGTCCTCTGCTGCTTCTTGGCGCTGCCTAATTCGGTTTGCAGGAACTGTTCAGCACGTCCACTCAATCTACTGCAGTAGGTTCAGTAGGTGCTTCTTGTCTGCAGTACGTGCTGGAGTCGCCAAGGGAGAACTGCCAGCCAAGCGGCCCAGCGGCTGTGGGGGACTCCGTCTCGAATCTCAGTCGCTCAGTAGCAGCATATGAACCATATGTGCCATGGGACGGCGAATACACTTGGCCGAAACCTTGTTCGGCAGCCCTTCCGTCACCGCAAAACCACCGCGAAGCCTGGTCCCAGAATTTTGAAGTCCTGTGCACAAGAATAAGAACTGGGGCCACGAGGCCGTAGCACTTCACGCTGCGGATGCTGCGGACGCTGCGGATGCTGCGCAGCCATGGCTGGAGCACCTCGGCAACGCGCGGCTGACTGGAAGAAGACGTCGGCCTTCCTGACTTTGGCCATCTTCCATGGGCCCTCACCTTCCTCAGGTGCAGACTGTCTTCAGGCCGCGTCACTTTGGGCCGCGGCTCCATGGACGAAGCTATGTTCTCATAGAGCTGACAAATGAGTGGAACATGGCACATCTGCCTTATCTGGTGTGGTACAAGTAAGATGCCGCGCAGCCATCCCTACACTCATCAGGCTAATTTGTCAGGACATGTCAGGACAGTAGCTGCAAGCCACGTAGGAACACCAGCGGTGCTGCTTGATGGGCTGGTTTCGGGCTTTCCTTGCAAGGGTAGGACGCTGCTGTCATCTGCTGTTGATTTAACCATTCTTGAAACAACAAGCATGTCGCTAGACCGCTCACAAGATCTCGCACAATGACCATGTGCACTCCGCTGAAACTTGGAACGTCCGCCGTCATCACCACATAATCATCGTAGTGTTGGAAAGACATGTGAAGATCATCATCGCCACGACATCATGACATGCTAGCAGACTGCAGGGGTGGCACCTGAAAGACAAGATCTGGGGACACTCCATGCCTGGCAAGGTCAAAGATGGTCAGGCATTTCGTGCATGATCACCCACTGCTACCATGCCGTGCCAGCGTGAAAGCACGTGGCATTCTCGGCTTGACACGAAACTGGCTAGTCATCCCCGTAGGATTGTGGAGGAGGCACCTTCCTGGAACAGAAATCCCCTGCGCAACAGCCCTCTGGTCACTGCAAGGTCGTTGCGGCTGCATTAGAGGTGCTAGTAGTCAGCTGCTTGCAGTCCCACAGCATCTTGTGCTGAGGCGCAGACAAATAATTCAACGCCAGTAAACCTGAGATTCTCGCAGCTTGGCCAGAGACGGGACGGAGTTGGGCGAAATACATGAGGATGCGCATGGTGCATGGTGCGAAAAGTCTTTGGGAGGGATAGAACGTCAATATCATGTGAGTAAGAACATGATGCGAATACAGGGGAGGTTACTATATCTGCAGCGAAGCACCATATCGGCATAACAACGCTAAGGAAATTCAATACACTTTGTAACAAATCTTGATGTCCTCAGACTGATGTCAGCAAGGCTGCAAATCTGTAATGGTTTTTTTCACAGATATTTCTACCTTCATCTACCTACCATAAAACGCCACTGCATTGAGAAGACAGCTCAAAAACAGCCACGAAAATGTTGCAAGGAATTTATGGACAGCGATTTGTTTCTTATGCTGGCCCCACTTTTTCTTATGTTGTTTGCCTCAGCAGCTTTTCTTCGAGGGAGCACTCTGTTTGGTTCGCGTTTCAATGTGCAGCTTTTGAAGCTTTTGAAGCTTTGGAAGCTCGTTGCTTGTAAAACGAAGCTTTTCTGACCGACCCCTAGCTCGCAATCTGAAGTCTGAAGCCCTGAAGCTTCGTGAGCTTCGCGCAAGCACTGAAGCTTCTCGAGCTTCGCGCTGCGCATGAAGCCTGAAGCCTGAAGCTTCGCGAGCTTCGGGAGCTTCACTTCGCGCTTCGCCTGAAGTCTGCAGCTCCTCGAGCTTCGCGCTGCGCCTGAAGCTTGAAGCTTTCGCGAGCTTGCCGCTTTGCCTGAAGCCTGAAGCCTGAAGCTTCTCGAGCTTCGTGCTGCGCCTGAAGCTGGATGTCTGAAGCTTCGCGAGCCTCGGGAGCTTCGCGCTTCGCCTGAAGCCTGAAGTCTGAAGCTTCGCGAGCTTCAGGAGTCTTGCGCCGCGCCGGAAACCTGAAGCTTGGAAGTTTCGCGTGCTGCGCGCTTCGCCTGAAGCTTGAAGTCTGAAGCTTGCAAGCTTCGCGAGCTTCGCGCTTCAAAAACGAAGCTCCTCTGACCCACCCCTGGCTCGCAATCTTTTCTTCTATGCTGCACGTTTTGCCCTTCGCTCCCATTATGCTGAGGGTGTTCTTTCTTATGCTGAAGGTGTGTTTTTTGCTGCTGAGTTTCTCGGCTGGCAGGTGCAGCTCCCCCTCTTGTGTCGCATGTAAAGCGAAGAGGATATAATCTGTTAATGCAAAACATAGCGTAGTTGGATTAGCCGGGGCCTGATGCAGGTGTGCCATAGCGTGCCTGGCTCCCCCATTTGCCAGGCACTCCGGGCAAGCGAGTAGCGGTTGACTTAGAACCTAACAACCCGCAGCGAGGGTCGGGAAAAACTGTCCGTATTAAATCTATTGCCAGTGAATGTCCGCGTTGTAAATCAGTGACAAAGTGCTCTTTGAAGCTGTCTGCATCTCCTTCCCGCGGGGGTGCTCAGGTCTTTGGTGCCTTGAAGTCTGCAGCCTCCGTCAAGCGTATGTCATGTGCAACTGCTGACCGAGTGACGATTCTGTGAAGGGTTCTTGGACGTCGGGGACAGCTCGATGCAGCGCTCATACATGCGCAAAGCCTGCAGCTTTGACTTATACAGAGGAACCAGAGGCTTAACTGCGTTCAACTTCATGACTCCTCAATTTCCCACTATCAACAATTACCAATGCCTCTGCCTTGAAAGACCTCGGACACCCACTTCCTAAGCCCCTCAGATGCTCCGATGGCCCAACCTTCCACAGAACCTTCCACATTGTGTGTAAACAGCCCTTCAACTCGCCAGCATGTAGGAAGTCATGACAAGTCAAGTACCGTAAAGCCGTCAAGCAGTCGGGCTGCCAACCACTGATGCCTTATACTACTCGACGCGATCACGTGCGCTGGCCACATCACCCGCCTGTGCTAGGTCACCGTGGTCCCAAAATAGCCAGCCCAAGTTGTTGTAGGCTTCAGCCTGCAAGACAGAAAGGTTGCAGTTGATCTCTTGTCTTCAGCAACCTACGTCCTACCCATGGCGGTGGAGATGCACAGCAAGCTCGATCTTATGCTGAGCTTCTGGCATAGTTGGGAGCCACTGCCACCGCTCTGGACAGGTACTCAAGCGCCTGCGGAGCTGAACATGAATGTCGGGCACCCTAAAATTGAACTCCAGCGCATCCGTCAGCTCACCGACTGCTTACGCCAACAGTTGGAATCAAGCATGATGTCTGTGCTTATCATCGCCTGACAGATTGACGTTCTGCGAGGCATAGTGTGGATACGAGTACCATCGAGAAACTTTAAAGACTAGGGCGACTGGGGCCTCATCATGCCTCAGCAGTCCACAAACTGACACAGAGCCGTGCGGGGAGAATGCGGGCCATGCCTCGGTCAGCTTTCCCGACGTTGTGTAAGCCACACCTTTGTGCATCGAAACGCTGGCAAGGTTGCTAGCCGGGGGGGGGGGGGGGGGGGGGGGGGGTTGGGAGGGGGTGAGGGTATGTTCTAGCCAGCAAGCCGGCAGCAAGCAGTCCTGAGGCAGAGGCCTAGATTGTTCAAAGTCTGTGCGAAACGCGGGTTGCACTGAATGGCCATGTGGTAGTACTTTAGCGCCTGCATAGCAGACACTGCAGAGTCAAAGAAGTATGAAGCCCCATTGGGCATGCTCTTTCACAAGGTCAGCGGACTGCAGAGAGAGCTTCGCGGAAGACGGATGGGAGGTCAAGAGGCCATCAGGACCTTGTCGAGATTCTCCTGCTCCTTGAAGATGACGCCCATGTTGTTGTAAGCCTCCAAACAACTTCATCACCAGCCCACTCTTGTTAAGACCTGGGTGACCTTTTCACTGGCACTCATGCAAATCAGTCCAACATGTCCTGAGGCGAGTTTACTTCAGGGCTCAATGGTGTGCACTCTTGCTGGAATCATCCTCTACAAGCCGAGTCATGTTGTTGAAGCCCGCTGCATTGTTGACTTCCGTTCATGTGCTGTTATGAGCTGAAGTGGGAATGTGCAGACTGGGCTTGCTTCTCCGTGGGAGCTCCTTACTGAAGTTGTAAGGTCAGAGTGGTGACTTCTATGGCTGACCAGTTGCAACAAGTTGGCACGTTGCCACACCAGAGTCGCCTCCCTCCTCTTGACCCAACGAAAATCGACCCCCACCCCCCGACTTATTCTCATGTCTTTTGACCCGCTCTCCCCCTAGCTCTTCTTTGCCTGCTTTGGCCAAATCTGCAGCGTGGGGCAGTCAAACTCTGCCGGACCGAACTGCATTCAGTGCCCCATTGCGCTGCTGTCTCTGTCTCTTGCTGTAGCCTCGTGAGTGCGATCAAACTACGCCAGCTTCGGATGGCATGAGCATCGGCCGGGCATTGCGGACATCTTGCGCCTCAGCACATCGCGGGTCGAAGTGAACCGTGAGTTGGTAGTTGACGAGAGCCTCCGAGACAGCAAGGCAAATTTTGTACTCGATATACACACTCTTGCTTTTTGAGCAGGTAAGAATACGAAGCGTGCGAAGTTTATGATGCCCTCTGCTGAAGGACTCTGCCACCCAGAGCTGCCTTGTCATACTTGTGCATCTCTGCATAGGACACGCCCAAATTGTAATATGCCTGCGCTGAGCCACATGGAAACACTGGAGCGGCCAAGCAGGCCTCTGAAGATAGGCAGGATGGCTTGAAAATTATCATGTTGGACAGACATGCCCTTCTTTGAAGAAGGTGAAATGCGCAAAGACACAATCATTTTGTGCGTTCTGCGCGCTCCCCTCATACACCCCCCAACCCTAGGATGCTAACCCCCACCCGAAACCTAAACCCAAAGGGGAGGGGGGGCGCAACCAATGGGCAGTGGCGCAGTTGCAGTCGAGATGCATTCGCATTGGTTGGGCAATGAACCAGCGCCTCAACAGGCCAGCTACTGGTAGCAAGTGCCCAAGTAGGCAGCGAAAATCGGCATGACACTCGCTTGCGAAGGCGTATGCCTGTGCCAACCTGTCCTGCTCAGGAAGTCGCATGAGTAAAATGAGTAAGAGCAATCGCACATTCCGAAATCAAAACCCAAAACCGACTTCCTGCTTGTGAATGACCTGCCCCGCAGTATGCCGCACCTTCCTGTCTACGACGTAGCGGCGTTTCTTACTCAGAAAGCTTCGAAGGGGGCTCTTTGCGCTTTGCTCGGTCACTGGTCCAACCCATACCGGCCTTAGGACTACCGTACCTGATCTTAGCTGGCAGAAGTACCAGTGTTCACAGCCCTACAGCAGAAGCCGAAAGCTATTTCAAAAAGGAAAAGCACTTGGGCCCTCGGACCAGAGCTCCCTGAGCTTGGGGGCTCAGGTCTCAGGTCCACGCTTCTGTGTAGCATCTGATGGCACCCTTGGGGTCCGACCTCACGGCGTAAGAACTCCGCGTCATGAACCACTGGAAGCTTCAAGAGACTGCACAGCGCCTCTGAATGTGTCTGAGGTCGAAGCGCTTTGATCTGCAGCCCGCGGTTGATCAAACAAACTGCCAAATTCATAGGAGTTGTCCTGGGCAACGAGGGAGTGTGTACGTGTGTGTCTGCCTGTGTGTCTGCGTGTGTGTCTTGCGTGTCTGCACTGTGTCTCCGTCAGCGTCTGTGCCTGTGCTTGTGCCTGTGTGAGCAAGCAACGTTTTAGGTGTGCTCAACATCTTGGAACCATGAACGTCCGAAAGGAAGAAGCCTGTGTCCCCATACTAGTACACATCAAGCTTTGCCACATTACACGTATCAGATGTATCTCGTGACCACCCGGGGCCCGTGCTCACAATTCGGGTTTATTCGCAAGGCAGCGCGATACCAGTCTGCAGCAGCCTGGAAGGGCCGAAGGGACCACAGCCACCAGCAGCTTCAGCTTCAGCTTCACGTGGAATGAAACGTGGGGTTTTTTCCTTTGAGTTTGGCAGCGGATCTGAGCTGCAGGTCGCCCCCCGCCTGGTAATTCCCTTGCTGTCTGCAAACTGCACCGATGTTGCTCATGGCCTGGACAGGGCCACATATGCAACATCATGCAACTAGCGGTCCCATTTGACTCTATACCTATTCGTGCCTACGGCCTACGGTGGACACGCTGAAGGGATACGATATGGGAGATGGGGGGCTCATCATTTGGCTGACCTCCGTGGATCGCTGGTCCAACTTGTAGGCCTGCAGGGCAGAGACACCTATAATTTTTGAAAACTTGCGACATGTCATAGTAGCTTTGGTAGCTTTGCAAAAGTTGCGGAGCTTTGCTGCGCCTTCTCCGAATGTTCCAAGGCTCTCGCGTAATCTCCAGCCTTGGGGTCTCAAGGTCTGTGCCGACATGTGCCGAGCCTCAACGATGCCCTGTTCCCACCGCATCCCACCGCACTTCTCCGAGTTCCCAGCTGCCAAGTACAGTGTGCCGAGGCTGAGGTGGCCGTGAAAGTTCTCGGGCTCCAAACTGCGAAGGCGCGGGAACGGCAGCTTGGTAGTCTTGATATTTCCCAGCGGAGTCTGATCTCTGATCTTCACAGCATTTCACAGCTGTTTACGGCTCAAGGCCCTCGATTCGATGATGCTGATGCAAAGAAAAGCAGATGCGGAGGCGTCTCTTTCAGTCGTGGCCTCAGCACCTCAAAGCACTTCTCCGCGGCGCCGCGGGAGTCCCCCGAGGCCTCGGTGGGGCTCTTGGAACTGTTCGTTCTTTCTGTTTGCTTTTGTTTGGGGGTTTGGAGTAGGGTCTATGCATTTAGGGTTGATGTTCAGGGGTACTCGCGGAAGGCTTTCCTTGGAATCCCTTAGATGTCGGAGAGGACTCAGCCGCCGACCTTGAGTCTTGAAGCCATATCCAGCAGAGCTGACACCTCCGAGATTCGTTGAGACAACTTCAATTTAAGTCAACTTCGAGGGTCTTCAGCATCGTATTGCACAGATGCAGAGTCTAGATGTCCTTTCGGCCGCTCGAACTGGGTGCTTCTCGGCAACGCGACACCATACTATTGAACAGTCAGTGCGATCGCGAGCAGATCAAGAATCAAGTCAAGGGCCGAAACTTTATACATAATACATATATATATATATGTGTGTAAACTCAAATTTTGCATCGAGTAAACGAGCGGTTCTCAAAGCATCTAGATCATCTAGGACATTCTTGGACCATAGTAGGACTGTCACGAGGCTGATGCCACTGTGTCAAAAGGCACATCAAGTCGCCAAACCACGAACCAACTCGGCAAAATGTGGCGAGCCTGGGTATTGCCCTTCGGCAGCACCTTGCACCGATGTGCACGGCTTTACTTGGGAGGGGGGCGGGGGGCTTCTTTGAGGAGGACCCCAAGAGAGACAGAGCCAGGCCTGGCCATAGTTCGTGTAGATCTGGCCTGCGACCCGAAATCCTAAAGCTTAACCCTTCATCTTATCAACCCGAAATGATGCACCTTACAGAAGTAAACCCTAAACAGTTGGAGATGAGATGAGTTGAGTTGATCAAAAATATTAGACAGCTCGTGCCATCCTCCCGGCTCCAATGAATTGGCAGATCCGTCTGCGAGAAGTCGCACAGCATAGAACTCATGGGCGGGTTGGGGTTGACAAAGTTGATTAAAATCAACAACACAGTCTGGGGACTGGAGCATTCAAAAACCAGATGAAAGGAATCGACAGCCATTCTCACAGGCCTCGCAACGTGCAAGAGAGAGTTTGTTTTGCAAAAGGCAGCCTGCAGCCAGCATGGTCTGCATGGCCTCGTATGCGAAGGAGGCGCATTCCCAACTTGAGCTTTTACAGGGAGGCGCAGCTGGCAACCACGACAATGCCAAGTGGGCATGTGCAAGCCATGAGGCTAACTGAGGCACACCGTGCTGTTGCATTGCCGGCATGTACTCAGGCTCTGGCGACCAACAGGGGCAAGCTCTTGCCCCGTCCCGTCCCTCCTACTGGCTGAACCACGAGACAAGTTAGGCAACGTGTACTGGCTGTCTGTGCACCCAAATGCTTGCAGCATCGTCTTTTAGCAACCAGAAATGAAACCAGCTAACTCCATTCCCTTTGCGCACTCTGCATGGGCGACTTGTTGAACTGTGCCGCAACAACTGCAATCTTCTCAAATCTTCTCAATTTCTCGGAGCGTGTAGCCCTCGAGCTGGAACCTGGAACTTTGGCCGCTGCGACTTTGCCGCTGGCCGTTTGGGTCGGCACTCTGGTCTTGCCAACCCACCTACCTAAGCAAAAAGAAGATTAATATGACGAGTAATTATGAAGAAGCTGACAGCACCCGAGTACAATTTGTTCACAATCGTCTGCTTTAAAGTTGTAATTACGTGCACTGATGGCGCACGCGCATTCTCTCAGAGCCAGCCAAGGAGGCCCCACACACAAACGGACGCACAGGTAGCAATGGACCTCGGCTGCGAGAGGTCCGATAGGTCAGACTGGAAGCCCTACATTCCATTCCATCAGACCGTCCTTTACGCTGCTTACATTGCCAAGCTGCAGCCCCAAGAGATAAGATTTGTCTCGCTGCATCGTGGCTTCCATGAGTTTGATGTACTTCTCTGGTCGCTCACCTTGTTTGGGTGCCCTGTGCGCACACACCAACCTTTCATCAAGAACGATACGCACGCAGCTCCATCATTGAAAACTTGAGAGGCCCGAAAGCGAGGGGAGACGGACCCGAAGGGCAGATTGGCAGCGGGTAGCTAACCCCTGAAACATGTTAAGCTCTTCCAGCTCATTGTTAACCTTCAAAAAAGGGGACTGTCACTTGAAAGGAAAGAACCCAGTGTTGAAGGAACGACCGCAGACGGAAGGAGAGAAAGGAGGGCGGCCCGAAGAACGACCTTGAAGGGAGGCGGGGAGGGAGGACCACCCAAACTTCAAAATACTCCCAGCGCTCTGGCCAGACCGGCTGCCTCTCAGCACCGTCTTGGAGACAGTCGGGCATTCTCCCTTAAAATTCAAGGCCGGCAGTCCGCCCCCCAGCGCCGCATGGTCCTGACCCCCGCGAGGACAGCAACGGGCACACCGTCGAACAAGGAGCAAGGCCCATCGGCTGCGATGCGCAGCCGAAGGAACACCATAGTCCGGAAGAGAAGGGCATTCACATGTAGCCTCAGAGCACGAGATTGGGCCGCTGTAGGAGGGAGGTGCCTCAGGGAGGGGGGGCCAAGCCCCGGCACCCCGTATCGACACGCACAAGTAGGGGTTTTTTTGTCTTGCTTGAAATCATTGCTCTGAAAAAAAGATCGACTAGAAGGATCTCTCTAACAAGAGCGATCGTGAGAGCTCTGTGGATCTCGCTGAACATCGGGTCTCGTGAAACATCACACACACACACACACCCACCCACCCACACACACACACACACACACGCACGCACGCACACACGCACACACGCACACACGCACACACGCACACACGCACACATGCACACACGCACACACGCACACACGCACACACGCACACACACGCACACACGCACACACACGCGCACACGCGCACACACGCACACACGCGCACACACGCACACACCCGCACACACGCACACACGCACACACCCGCACACACGCACACACGCGCACACGCACACACGCGCAGACGCGCACACACGCACACACGCGCAGACACGCACACACGCACACACGCACGCACACGCGCACACGCGCACACGCGCACACGCGCACACGCGCGCACGCGCGCACGCGCGCACCCGCACACGCGCACACGCGCACACGCGCACATGCGCACACGCGCACACGCGCACACGCGCACACGCGCACACGCGCACACGCGCACACGCGCACACGCGCACACGCGCACACACACACACACACACACACCTTCGTGCCATCTGAGTCATCTCTGTATATCATATATCCCAATCATCTGAGCCACCGGTCGCATCGTCCAGATCTGGCAGCTCTTCGCCGTTTGGTTTCTTGAGCAGCAACTTCTGGATCTCAGACCTTGAGAATCGAAAACATCCTCATGCCATCATACTGCAAACCCTGAAGCAGGAGGACTCCGTAATGGGCTCCTCACTCTTCTAAAGAGCGCTGCCTGACTGGGCATCGAACCACCGGGTCGCGTCATCATCCTCGGCTCGCTCCTTTGATGCAAGGCGGCCTGGAAAGGATGGAGGCGTGTCGACACCCTTTCAGCCTCCTAATACCTCAGCATGAAAAGCTGAAGCAAACTTCTCACAGATCTTCACAGCTGCCTCTGCTTGAGTTTCTGCGGCGGATTCCATCGCTCGCCTTGCCAAGGTGAAGGTTGCTTTGTTCGCGTTCCGCATGGACATTGCAGACATTTACAGACGGTGCAACGCATTGGCTCTGGAGAGCTGCGTATTAGCGTAAATATTATGGCTGAGAGTCAGCAGATTTGCAGGACCAGCATGGTGAGGTCTCCGAAGTGCCGCTGAACCATCGAGCCGCGTCACGATAGCCTGCTGCAGAGCGTGTGGACATCACATTGAAGGAAGACTACAGGGGTGGAGGCGGGGAGGGGCACGGCTTGGGGGAAGTGCTCCTTCTGTGACAGCTGCAGGAGGGAGCTGCGCTTGCAATCTCTTGCGCGCTTCCCTTTGCTTAACAGGGCAATGATTCGACAAGAGCTTCTCAATATCCACACAGCATCTTTCAGCAGATGGGAGACGAACTGCTGTAGCTTCAGCATCGCTATCCCTCGTGCCAAATGTATCAAATGTTGTCTCCAAGTACGGGTGGGGCCTTGCCAGTACAGCCCTCGCAGGACTGGGACGGGCGGCGGTAAGAGTGCCCTGCAGTGGAGCAGTGGATGAGCATCACAGTGGGACTGCGCAAAACTTAGGCATCTTATCTGAAACCATTCGCTACGGGGGAGTCGATCTGCATTATGGGCATCTGATGGTTGCGAACATGCCAGATTACTAGATCATAGAAGCGCAGGAAGGCCCAATATGCAAATAACCCCCCCCCCACACACACACACATGTTACATCATGAGTAACGCCACAGCACCCCATGAAGACTGAGCTGTGTGAGCAGAACGATAAAGCCTGGAACCTTCAACTGAAAACAAGCCCCGAAAGTAAGACTAATGACCATACAGCGCACGCGTGTAACGTAACTAATGTAAGTATACTACACTATGTATGTAGTAAGTATGTCCGTTCTCTTTTGCTGAAAGAATCGCCACGGTCGCTTCGAAAAAAAAGTCAACTTAAATTCTGGCAACGAAGTTGGCAAGGCACCACCATGTCGGTGGGAACGGTGCGCCCATGTCCGTGGAGGGACTTGGAAGCAGAGCGGACACTCGAATAACATAGTCGGCATCATTGCCTGATGATGGCGATTCTGGTGGATCATGCTCTTTGATATTCACTATTCTACATTGTTCTGCCCTCAGGACCCTGTCGAGGCTTCCCGCTCATCTGAAGTCGCACAAGGTAGCTCGAGCCACCTATGGAGCCCAAGAGCCTATCAAAGTGTTGAAGTTCGAAAGGTTCTCGGCCTTTCCACGGAACCAGCAGCTGCGGCCAGAACATCCCATCGATGTACGCGTGGCCATCGTAGCAATAGGGTCCCAAGCCGCCCACGAACCTTTTCTCCGTGCAGGCTGTGCTGGGTTTCTGCAAATGGGGAGAGGGCGGGGGGAGTTCAGCCTAGAAAGACCCGTGGGGGCATTTTTGGGGCGAGCCCTGCGTGCAGCTTCAGCATGTCCATGCTGAGAGACGGCACGTGGCACGATGCGCGGAGCGCATGGAAGACGTCTTCTTGACTCTTGAAGCTGTTCACCACCTCCGCGCTGAAGAAGGGGAACTTCATGGAGATTCGGGTCGTCAGCACGCGAAGGCGCCCCGACAGGCATCCTGGGCCCAAAGAAGCGCTAAAGGCGTCCCAAAAGCATCCATATCATCCATTCAAAGAAGACAATAAAGGACCCTATAGGCCCTAAGCCCGAAGCGGCCTAAGCTCAGCTCAAAGGCTCGATAGGAGTTGGGAGGTAGGCACTTGCGCAGCGTGGCTTCCACTGCTGGCAGCAGCTTGAAGGGGTTCCGAGCACACTCCGGATGAGTCCTAAGTGGTGCCCATGATGAGTTGGAGCCTTGAAAAACTCCTTGTAAGACTCTTATAACTCTATGGCAAAGAGGTGCGACCAAGCGCAAGTTGACATTACTTGATGCAGGGCCCCCAAGGACGCCAAGAAACTTGAGGACCTCTTCGAAACAGTCCTTGGGGTTGAGGCCACAGGAGAGGGTGGAGGCGACCAAGGAGCCTCCTGGCGGCACGGGCTTGCCAGAGCTTGCCGGAGTGTCCGGAATACTTTTCATACATTTTCATACGAGATGCTTAAACATGCCCACTACATTCCCCGGCAATCTGGGCATGCTATGGCTGAGCACTGACAGATACGGACAGGCACCTGAAGAACCACTGAAGATCAGCTGGTTCGGAAACTTGTCCGACTCTGCCTCCTAGGAGCGTAGGGAAGAAGACTTGCCGGTGAGTGAGGGCTCTCAGGAGTCAGGTGGAGGAAGAAATCCGGACTGTAGAGGCAATGAGGGGGGCAGGCGGCCGTTCAGGACACCTGCCTTCGTGGCAAGCAGTGTGCAATGAGCAATGAGCAGTTACAGAGTGTTTTTGCTTCCTAGCGTGAAAGCAAACGAGAAATCAGATGTAGTGCTCAATACGTTTTCAGCCGCACATGCGCACTGTGAAGACTATGATTATAAGCGGCGTTTCAGCTGGGAGGTGGCAGAATCCAGAAAATGCACGGGGCCACACTGTCCTTCAAGCACGGCATGCAGAGTTTGGCAATGTGGCCCAGCAAAATTGGCAAAAGGGTATCGAAAGAAACGGCCACAAAGCCTCAGCCTTGAATGTATTTCAGAAGCGACTCAGCAAAGCGCTCGAAGGCTTCTCACTCTCAAGCTTTGTGCGCCTCGGCTGTCATGCCCTCGGGAACCAGATGCTCACCTGAGGCACTGAGGCACCGTGTTGTGCTACAGCCTTTTGCACCACGCCACATCGGGACAGACCACCCACAGCCCAGGCACGCAGCCATGTTGCCACGCCAAAGTGGTAGCAGAACCTAGTAAGGTCAAGCTTGCTGTGTGGAGCGGATACTGCAACAGTGTGACACTTGCCATGCCCAACCTGCCAACTGCTCCCCACTGCATCACGTGACGTAACCCAGGCTTGTGCGGGCGGACACGTTGTGGTCCTACACACAGTGTGTCACCGTGTCGAGTAGGATCGGCGCAGCCAACCACTGGAGTCGAAGGCGATGCTGACCTTTCCAACATTCACAACCGGCCTTTTCCTGCAGCTCACCTCATCCCTCCTCTGCACACAACAACATTGCAGAGCAGACTCCCTGCCTTACTCCCGGCTTCCAGCTTTCGCACAGACTTGCCTGAGCAGAGTCTGAGCAGAGCAGACGCGACCGCAACCGGAGTCCCGCAGTCGTCCGAAACCAAGATATGCCAGGACGCCTTCGGCTTGGTTCTGGAAGTCTGTGTAGAGTAGCAGCCCTGTCACCATCACCAGCAAGTACAGAACCAAGATGGCCTTCGAAATCTGCATGTCCCAGAAGGTGTACAAGCAAAACCTGGGCAAGAGACGTTCTTGACTCTCGGGAGACATCTTTAACGCGAGGAGGGGGGCAAAGGCGAGTTCAAGACTTCTTCCCCTTCGCCATAAGCTCCCGACAGCGCATGGCCAGCACAGATCGCGAACCTCTGAGAACATCCGGACTCCAGACACCATGCGGCGACTCATGAGCTCGTAGGCGATCAAGATGCAGCAGCAACATAGTATTAGTTGATACTTCCTCTTACTAAGTGCTTTTGTTCGTTATCAACATGCGATAATAGTCTAACAAGTTTCAGTTGTCAGTTGTCCGTAGTAACTACTGGTCCGGCGTCCCGCGAAGGCATCAAGGCAAGTTGCTGAAACATCTGGAGCTCGGTCACGCGGGCTTTGATTACCAGGGGAACCCCGCGCTCAGACAGCATGGAGAGGCTGTAGATTGCATACACAACCTCGGCTGCAACCGGTTGAAATAAGCGAACAGCTGTCAGGCGGCTGTTGATGTCTTGTCCTCATGCCGCCTTATCAGACTCACCGCATCTCATCGGCCCAATTCGGGCGGACACCCCTCCATCTCTAGCATACTTCGTGGCCGTGCGAAAGCGCGAAATTCAGCATCCAGCCTTTGGTTCCTTGTCGGTCTGCCACGCTCTCCGGGGAAAAAGGCAAAGCGAAGCGCGTTCAACGTGACCCCAGCGGCCCAATCTCCAGTTGCATCCTAGAAGCCGCTCTTGTGGCAGCATTCACAGCAGCCGGAAAGTAGGTGTCCTCTGTAAAGACGGTTGAGGCGCAGTATGGTGCACTGCTCTCACAGATCGCACTTTAAAGAAAAGACGCCCATGCACCAAGATTAATGGCAAGCATCTCCCCCACAGGCATAGCGGCAAGCGAAGAACCACGCCCACATATTCAGCAGGCGGAGCCTGGGCCAAGGCAGCTGAAGAACTTGATCGACAGAAAGGGGGGGGGGGAATCTCTTCTCTCCTTTTAATTAAACAAGAGACCTATACAGGTGAGGGCATCTGTAGTGCAACATCTACTGTTGGATGCACAGGCTGTTGTTACTCTGGCAAGTTGTGTTCCGTTTTCATCCTCAATGCCTCCCTCCGGTAATGGAGTTGAAGTTGATGACACACTGCAATCTGATGGCTGAGCTGCCGACCCAACATGGAGGAATATCGTCCGCGGGACCTTCCTCAATACTGAAGCTGAGAAGAGTTAAGGATTAGATTAACGAAAGCCACAAGCTTCTGCGATTCAATGCAGGGTGCTCCAACGCGTCCCGGCATTACGTTCCTAGCAGCATGTCATGCCAAGATTCTTCCGAATCACCACGAAAAGCCTGCGTAAGGAGGCTATGAGAAAAACATGTCTGAAGATATCTGAAGAGGAGTAAAACACGGCCAAGCGCGGACCACAAAACTAACAGACGCTGTTTCTGTACTTCGAGCAACGTGTCCAGCAGCTCGAGCTGGCAGCAGTGATAGTGGAACCAAACGAAGTAACCAAGGCGGTGGCTCTCCTGAGCGGGTCTCGCAACACGTGGTCTGAGTCTTCCTTGCACTCAATCCTGGCCTGCGTGTAGATAAACTGATTGCCCCACGGAAAGCGGAACACATGCCTCAGCTTGTCAGAAGACCTCTCTTATCACATGATCTCAGCGCAATTGGCTAAAGCTTGATGTGCCAAGCGGCCATGCTTCCCGCAGTAGCTGCGCGCAAACGTACCTGATGGCAGTATTGGACTTTGGACCCACACTTCAAGGTCCTGACACGAGTTGAGAATCTCAGGATTCCAGATTGCTCAGAATCGAACTCGCGCGAATTCTGCTGCAGCCAAGGTTGCGCATTCAGAAGCATCTGCGTCATGTTGTAAACCATGAGCACTTCAAAGATCGTATTTTTGATGGGCAGACGAGCCTGTGGGCAAGCAAAAGCCAGACTGAACTTCTTGAATTTTGAGGCGAGGCTTGCTTCTCGAGTCTCCCAAGAAGAAGCAGTAAGGGCTCCCACGCTAAGAGGAAGCAGTATGGGCTTGCGTGCTGTGTTGGTGTTGATCGATGTGTTGGTGTTGATCGATGCCTTCCTGCACCCTTCTTGGCCGGCAAAGTACAGAAAGATCAGAAAGTACTTTGAAAAAAGGAGACCACATCTCACGCGTCAGGGCTGCAAGGTGTTTGATCTTTCCGTCTTGTGGGCACAAGGAAAGCAGACCGAAAGGTGAGCACAGCAAGCTGCAAGCATGGGGTTCTGGGTTGTAACATGGGCCATCTGGCCCAAATCCGAAGCCCTCAACCCTCAACCCTCAACCCTAAAACCCTAAAGCCCTAAAGCCCTGAAACCCTCAACCCTCAAATCCGGGGACCATGGCATGGCTGGCTTCTGGCCTGCATGAGCCGCGATGAACATTGCAGCATGGAGAGATAACCTGTGCAACACAAGCTCAGGTGACTGGGGCTCTTGGTTAGAAGGGTACTAAACTATTTGCTACATAAGATACATAACCCTATTCTGGCAACTGAATTGAAATTCCTTACAAAGAATTCGGGGAGTTGGTGGAAGTGACAGGCATCTGCGACGCCTGCGAGCACTGCTGTTTCCTTGAACAGTGTGTCAACACTAACTACGGGATATTACCGAGTTCCACAGGCAAGGAGGACAGTGCGAGCGAAAGGTTTAGCGGCTCTCACCTAGGTGTAGCGCTCCTTGTGGGTCAAGGTCGCGGTCCTGTTCCGGCCCGGGCTTGCGCGAGGGTCGTGATTTCCATCGCAAAAAAAAGATGTGTTTCTTTCCTCATCCGATGTGACAAATCGCGCTCGCGACTTGGTCCCATGCGCATGCTCCTCGTGAAGTGCAGAACTGTCATTGCTCTTGGGCCTGGGAGTGAGGGGCGTTTGCAATGCGCCAGTGTGGTGGCAGTATGCTTTTACACTGTTTGGGGGTATTTGGGGTCTTGGATGCAGCGTCCAAATTGCTGCAAAGTTGCCGAGAGAGACGACAACCAAGACACTGAAGTTGACACGCGAGTAAGGGCCACCAACCGTCTCCTCGAACTCGCTAGCGTCTACGCTCCTCGCAGGCAAGGCTTCTAAATTGCTCGCAGCCATTGGGCGGTCACAGCTGCACAATTTTTGCTGCTTCTGTGATTGTACATGATTGCAACAAACACTGATTTTTGCTGCCAGGGGCACCTCTCCCAGTGCCCGGATCCCCAGCAAGCCAATGCTGGGAGCGCGTAGCGGCAGTAGCCTTACCCCGCGCAAATGCCGACAGGCTTCACACCGAGGCATTAAAGTTCTGCAGTTGCCAAGCCACTTAGGGTGACCACGGCGGCCACCAGAAGCCATCGCCGCCTCAAGCGGCCGGCGTTGTGCCGCTCCTGTGACAATGGTACGTATATGTACACCACTGTGATCCACTGTGTAACTGCATGACATTACATGGCCAAGGTGAGCTGAAGCAACACGTCAAGGCACGAGCAGCACATCCACCAGGCCCAGCCCGCGGCGCCGTTCCATGGCAGCCGAGGCTGCATCCTCTCCGGGAAAAGCGAGAGTCGGAGGGAGAGAGCTACCAGCAAATAGAACGACCGAGCGAGCAATTCATGGCGCCCCCCTGCCGCCTCCCCCCGCCCCCGCCCTCACAGTGCTTGGAGCGTTCTCCTCCCATCATGTGCACACCGTGCTTGTTGCCCAGACTCTGGTGAACGACAGAACAAGGTTGCCTTCTTGCAGAAACGCCGACCACAATTGGAAACAGGGGTCGAGGGCCCCTCGCAACAAGTACAGTAGCAACATGCAACAGCATCACGTAGTATCTATGTTGTCCATAGAGTACAAACCTGTGGAGATCTGGAAAAACCACAGCGGCTCCAGTGCAAAACAGCCGACCGGACCTTCTCCGCAAGGCTCTGCGTCTTCACAGTCGTGTCAAAGGTCCCAGAGTTGTCACCTGTTGCCTCCGAGTTGGCGGCGTTAGATGGTGACGACATGGCTGCCGATCGCTGGCAGGAATGAGACTGATGAGGTCGGCTGTTCATGGGGCTACTGTCGCTCGTTTTCCATGGTGGCAAAGACACTCTGGAAATACCCGAAATTTAGATGCGTGGCCAACTCCTTGCTGGTTAGTAGTTGGTCTCTGTCACTGCTGTATAGCTAAATGCTGCACCAGTGGGGTGGCACGGCATGGGGACGCACATGGTCGCTGGTCACTGGCAGCATGAATGCAGGCCATGCAGACGCGGCAAACGCTCTTTTGGCCGGCGTCTGTTCAGACATTGTTGAGGCCTGTGCTACTGCATTGTAGATTCTAACTGTTCTGGAGGTCAGCACGGAGATTTCCCCGTTGCTACTAAAGAGTTTATTATGGGCTGAGACCGCCGTGGCTGATGAAAACTTTACATGTTTGCCACTGGCAATCAGCACAGCAAGCACCTGCGCCTCTGACAAGCAGGAGCAGCCTGGATGTAACAGCCGTCCAGAAGGATGTGAGTCCGCATCTCTAGGTAACATGTAGATTGGTGCAGCTTAAGATAACAGTAAAGTGCCAGGGCTACCTCAGGAAACGTACCAGGGCCAAAGCGAGTCGTATCTCCAGCCTGCTACAGCGCTAATTACATCGTACATTACATTCATATAGTCGCTATAAAAACTTTTCCAAGCGCAAGTGTGCTTGTTTGAGTCGATATTATACGATGATACACGGCGCTGTGGCTGCATCCCGCCTTCCTACAGCATCCTGCAGCAACCGATGTGTCAAAAGTAGATGTGGACTTCCACGGGCCTCATATTAGGGCTTCCATGTGCTTTGCTGATGTTGAAGGGCTGGAGCTGTCACGAAACCGGGCGTTCCTGCTTCGATTCCACTTCGGTCTTGCCCCTTGAGATTGCAAACACTTTGCGAAGGTTCGGTGACCTTCCGAGATTCCGATTTGCTAAACCACCACCAGGTGATACGATGCTGCACGTCAGAGCCAGCTGACCAGGATCCACGTGACCGCAACGGCGCACATCACCGTGGACCTGAGACCCAACCAGAAGAACAGCGTCCAATGGAGTTGCCTAGTAGAACATGAATTAATCTGCCGAGCATCCCTCCGATAAACATCCGCTCTCTGTTCATTGCAGCTTCCATGAGATTGATGTACTCTTCGGGGGCCTTGCCTGGCAAAGGTTGGCGGCATTGCATTAAGGGAAGAAGCTGCACCAAGTGGGGGCGAGGTGCCAGTTGCAGGGTCCGCATCGGGTACTCGGCCATCTGGCTTCTTGAGCAGCAGCTTCTGGATTTCAAACCTGAGACTTTGGCGACCATGCACAGCGGTAGCAGGTAGCGGATTCACTCACGCCTCAAAAGGATCCCCCCGTTTGAGTCTTTCGAGGCTGCTGCCAGCGGTCACGGTCCTCGCTATCGTCCTCGGCACCCTCTGGCTTCAGCGAGAGACGGCCTGAACGAAAGCTGCATGGACATGCCAGCTCGAAACCAGCTCGGCACTGTGCCACACATGTCTGCACGTCCGCAGCCACATTGTCGGACTTAGGAAGTGTTGCAGGTTTTTTGCCGTTGCCTTTGCCAGATGGTCTGCGCCGCAAGCCTTCGGCACTAGCCTCAGATGGCCCGCGGAAGCTTTTTCTGCCAAAACGAAGCCTGCACTCGCCATTCACCCTGAACCGTTGCATGCGAAAACAAAGCGAGATTAAATTACGGAGCGACGACTGCGAGCTTTGCAAGAATCTTGACTCGACGAATCGAATGCCAAACAAAGGAGCTGCAGACTTGCATGACCAACACGCGGAAGTCTCCGGGCTACTGCTGAACCAACGTGCAGCATCACGGTAGCCTGGAGACTCAGAGTTGCGGGGTACATGCAGAACGAGTGGTCATGAGCTGAAGATGCATTTGTGCCATTAACCACCAAAGGATTCACTATAATTAGAGCACATATTTGAATCAAAGCATGGCCGGTATCGAAAAGTTCAAAGTGCTCAGGAAACGTAACACGCATTCTGTTCATTCGAGCCTTTCTGCGTCTGCGTGTCCAGAGGCACCACAAATGTTGCGTGTTGTTTAAAGTGGCAGTCTCCAGGTCTCTTCTTTGAGCGTTTCCCGATGTTTCCCGGCTCTCATGATATACCCTAAACAACCCAATGGCTTAGGGGTAAAAACTCCTTTGCCAGCAAGTGGGACCCACTGTCTGCCGCTCATGTTTGCATGATCTGCCCATCGCTGCTTCTGTCTTTGCAGCTTCTTGCTTTCTCACTGGCTTGGTATTTGCTATGTTTTTCTTGCGTTGCTTTGTGTTCAGTCCGGCCTTTTTCTTCTGAATATCGGGATATCAGCACAGATCTACCTACTTTGCTTCAGCCTCTTTCCGCTTGCTACTCAACCTCTCGCGCTCCACCGGTGGAGGCATCTTCGAAACATGCCCGGCCTCGCCAGTACAAACCGCGCAGAATCGGCTCCTTCGGCGGGAAGATCGCCCTCAGCGTGCACGATGGCATCATTCGAGAAGTGTTGAGGAAGTATTGCGTTAAGGGGTATTGAAGAAGTATTGAGTTAAGTATTGAGTTAAGTTGTTCAGATTCTGCAAGTTGCCGGTCGTCAGAAAGGGTGCCAGCAAGCGCTTTTTGGGGCACGCTCGGAGCAGTGTGGGGATTATGGCCATTGCGAGGCGTGTCACAGAGACTGAGCCAAGATACCACCAGGCAGGCAAGAATGGCGCTCTGATGTCAGAGGAAGGGTTTGCCAGCAGCGCGGAAACACGAACGACGTAGTCTGCTTCATTGCCTCAGGGGCAAGCACCTCTCTGTCAACCTGAATCAGCTGCTTTGAACTTGATTTCCAGATTGGACATTGTGACGTGATGTTGCCTGCAACCAGACTGTAAGCATACAGTGGCATTACATACTTGTGACGTCAAAAAAACTGATTCAAAACATTCAAGAATTTGAACAAGTTGTCGTTTTCGGAAACAGTCGGACCTTTCCAGGGAACGAGCATCTGCGGCCAGAACATGCCATCAAAATAGGCATGTCCATCGTAGCAGTAGGGTCCAAAGCCCCCTATGATCCTTAGTGTTGAAGGCCACGCATGATGTCCTTTTTGCAGGCCAAGTTGTGTTGACCTACAAGAGGTTTCGGGCACGGGCGCAGGGAAATCAAAGCACGCCACCTTGTTGTTGACAGCTGACAGATGGGGGGCAACGAGGTAAATAGTCAGTTTACAGCCACGAAGCCACACGATTAACATCATGCAGCCTCGAAACGGAACATGGCACGAAGAGCGCAGCGCATGGAAGACGTCTTCTTGGTTTTTGAAGCTGTTCACCACTTCCGCGCTGAGAAATGGAAACTTGAAGGAGACTCGGGTCAGCAGCACTCGTATGCGGCCGGATAAGCTGCCTCGGCCCAGGAGCCGGAAGAAGCTGCAGCTGTAGCTGCGAATGCAGTTTGCTTTAAAAATTGATTTGTCCAGGCGACGGTATGCGTTCGGCGGCAGCATCTTGCGCAGCACGTCCTCTGCTGCAGGAAGCATCCGGAAGGGATTGTAGGCGCACTCGGACTGCTTCCTGAGCTGGCGCCGAGAGAGCTAGTTGAGGCTTCAGGTTTTCCCGTCAGAGCAAAAGACATTCACAGCTAAGCAGCGTTAGCACCACCTCAAAGACATCCTTTGGGCGGAGACCAGAGGAGAGGACCGTGGCGACCAAGGCACCCCCTGCAGGAGTAGGCAGTGAGGGTTTATTGGGTTGATGGATTTCAGGTATGCTGCTGTACTCTCTACTAGAAACGCAACCACCTGAGCACCTTGTCTTGAGTCCAGGCATCCTTTCGCTTCTTCAAACTGTATAACAAAAACCCCTTACAAACCTCTCCTCTTGCTGCGACCGTACGTTTGAGTGCGTACTGCAACTCCCGCCGGGAAATTTCAATCTGTCAGGCCAGCCACCGGAAGATCCACTGAAGGCCAGGTGGTTCGGGAACTTCTCCGACTCGGCGTCCTGTTCCGAGCAGGCATGAGGACGGCTACTAGGACCCCTCGAACTGCCAACCTCAGCCCCGCCTCCGGTTGCAAATCGTCTGGCACCAAGTGCTCGCCTAAGCTGAGATGTTATGGAAAAAAGGCCCGGCTGCAAAAAGACACGAAAGACACACGAGAGCAGGATGTAGGCATCGTCACAATACTGTGCCTACATACTTGTTCTCATTTGTATACTATTTATGCATGTATCAAACTAGCAAAAGCAGTCAGAGAAACGGTGGCTGTGGGCATGGCTAAGCAGTCAATGCAGCGGAGGTGCGCAACCACTCTGCTACGCCAAAGTGATAGCAATACCTCGGCACTTGCAGAAGGCATGTTGCAGCCATAGGCTCTGAACTACTGGGCATGACACTCAACACAGCTGGTTTTCCACCAGGATGCAGCCAACCGCTGGAATCGAAGGCAATGCTGATCTGCAAAGCTCGAGCAGTACTTCTGGGGTGGTGAGCATACTTAAATGTCAACTGTACAGCGCATCGCACATTATCCACGCCTTCCTCTGGGCCTCAACCTTTCTCTCCGACTTGCCTCTCACAGTGCGCAGCATGTGGAAGATGCAAAAAAAGGAGTCCTTAGAATCTCCTAAGTCAGAAGATGCCATAAAGGAGAAAACCCGACAAAACTGCACGAAAAAGAGGGAATCGCGCCTTCTGCTTGGTAGTGGAAGTCCGTGTACAGCATGAGGCCGCTGGCCATCACCAGGAAGTATAGCAGCAGCACTGCCCTCGAAATCTGCATATCCCAAAACCTGTACATGCAAAACCTCGGTTCGCGGAGGGAATCCCGAAAAATGTCAGAAACAACGTTTTCTTGCCATCTTCTCTCCTCTCTTATCATCTCCGACCACGCTCGGACTCACCATGTCGAGGTCCCCGCAGCGCATGGCAAGCGCAAATTGCAAACCTGCCAGGAAAGAGACGAGGCCCTGAGGTACACGTTGCAGCTTATAGTTAGCTGGAAACTATGAAGTTAATGCCAGCATTCTGCTCTCTAAGACCTTAAGATGGCGTGCGAGCAGCTGGAACATCTGGAGCTCGGTCACGCGCGCTTTGCGCACAAAGGGCACTCCTCGCTCGAACAGCAATGACAGGCTGTAGAAGGCGTAGACCACCTTGCGATCATCACAGAACGGATGATGTTCCATCTTGCCTGCACACTTCACTTGATACCACCACGTGAACCGAACTGAGCTTGTCATGGCAAGTGGCAGCCCTGGTGGCAGCATTCACAGCTGCTGGAAAATAAGTGTCCTTGGCTAGTGAAGCAGAAAGACATCGCCGTGCGAGTCTCTGACCAAACGAATCCCACAGAAGCGTACGGGAAGATGAGATATGCGACAGCAGATGAGTGCCGTATCGATCTAAGAGATGAGTCCGACTCAATAGTCCTGACTTAAAAATAACGCCCCAGACACTACACTAAACCCCGCTACGCGGAGCTTACCGGATCTTTCGCAAAAAATGCCGCTGCGAGGACTTCGTGCTGTGGTTTGCCTAGAAGGATGAGTGGATTCTAGATTCTAAATTGCACAAAGCAACGGAGTTGGGCCTGGAACCTCCTTGGTTACGTAAGAATTTCCGCGCAAATGCAACTACTTTCGTGGTTTCATCATGGATCTATCGCCGAGGCATATCTTCAAGTTGTGCGGGACACTGCCTCCTAAACTTCCTACAAGGACCATTATACCATTCGATCATCACTCATGTCAAGAATGGCTGCTCTACAGGCTCCTTGACAGTCCTTGACCACATGTACCCATCGAGTACCATCGAGTCTTAGCCCCATGGATCTCTATGCAACTCTATGGTTTCCCTTCGCTGCTCCGTGAGCACATGTGAGCACATGTCAAGTCGTGCCGACGCGTGTCGCCACCGCAAGCGTAGCGGCAGGCAAAGAACCATCCCCACATATTTAACAGCCGCAGCCTGGCAAGAAGTCCATCGGCGTCTACTGGCAGTGCAGAAGGTTGTCAATGGCTGCCATCCAAAGTAGGGTGCGCACCAAACGTGAAGGAATGTGATCTTTTGAAACTTCCTGAGAAGCAGCTCGCAACTCTTTAAAGAGCCTCGTCAAAGTGGACTCCACACGGGACTGCACAGTGCTGACAGTGTCTGTGCAGGCCCGACTCTCAACATGCTTACACTGTTCATCACTGTTCAAGTCGGGGTGCTTGCGGATGACCACGAACACCCTCAGCTCCGTAGCGTTCATAGTCTACTTACTTGCAGACATATCAACACAGGGACGGTGAGCTAGACTGGCTCTCTCCATAGCTACAGCTACTGAATGTTACTGTCCCCTTTAACAGATCACTCGGTGGTTGTGAAGGCACCGGCGTAGCAGCTTCTGCAGAGTGACGTGTCCAGCAGCTCCAGCTGGCAGCAGTGGTAGTGGAACCAAATGAAATACCCAAGACGATGGCCCTCCTTTTCATGGACAGCATGGCTTGCCGGCAACATGCCAGAAAGATGAACGCTGGGGCGCTTAACTGTTCTTTTCGCAGCTCGAGAAGACAAAGTGGAGCTGCCCCTGCCTTCGTGTAGACAAACTGATTGCCCCACGGATAGCTGAACCCTTGCCTCAAGTACCCACAGCCCAGCACAGTGCCAGCGAATTAGGCCGCGTGGCTTGGGCTGACCTCTGGAGTTTGCCAACAAGCCACATCCAAGCTTCTCGTAGCACTCGCACGCAAACGTACCTCAGATGCAACCTTATACCCCGTCCTATACCCGTCAGGAACGAAACATCAAGGGGCACAAGGTAGGTACGCGCACATCTCCGGATTTTGGAGTGCCAGTATGTGCCAGTGCAGGCCGTCTTAACGGTGCCCGAAAGCTATCGCTGCGGCGACCAAAACTTTCTGGGTCTGGTGATCTTCTCTTAGCATGCTGCCCTCCTTCTCCTTCTCTTCCTTTCTCCTCTTCCTGTTTATGGCTATCTCCGGAACCCAAAAAACCAACCCCGTCCCCAACTCGGACATTGGCTGGCCACTCTCTGGACCCCCCTCCGACCCAGCCCTCTCGGGGCCCTCTCAGTGGAGGTCTTCGAGGTAACTGCCTTCAGGGTTTGCCAGGTCTTGCCGCTGCTTAGGCTTGCTTATGAGATTTTGAGAGGCAGCAAGTGTGGGGGAGCATTCGAGATGAAGATCTTCCCTGTCGGGCAGAGTTTCACAACTCGAGGGGGGGGAGGTGCTTGCATCCGGCAGGCGTATTCAGCAACGTCTGCGTCATGTTGTACACAACCAATATCTCGAAGATAATGCTCTTGATAGGCAGGCGGGCCTCACCAGGTGACGTCATGCAATGCTATTGCAGAGAGCGGCTTCTCTTGGAGCCTCCATCAGCCGCGAGGAACAATGTAACATCGAGAGGTAGCCTCGGTCTCGGCTAGCTTCTAAGTGCCCGGATCACCACAAGAAGGTTTACGTAACGTTTGGAGTGTCAGTACTGGATGTCTTAACAACCAGACAAGCAGCCCAAAGAGACCACGACCAGCACACCAAAACTGACGTGTGAGTTGTGGCCACCCACGGTCTCCTCAAACTCGCTGGCGTCCACACTCCTTGCACAGGGGGGGGGGGGGGGGGGGGGGGGGGGGGGGGGCGGTGCATTTGTTCGACCTATAGCGCAGCTAATTTTCTTCATAAGCATAAAACTGCGGGAAATGTTTCCTGTGCTGAGGAACAACGCTTGTCAAATCGCCTCAACCCATCGGCAAGACCAATCGCATCAATGTAGAGACAGCACATACCGGGTTCCGCAACAGAAGTGCAGGAGATGAATCGATCTTGCTCCGTGACTCACAACACGCAAAGTATCTCAGCATCTCCTGTCTGTGATTATACCGGGGGCGTTGTTGTTGCCATCCCAACGACCGGACCTACTCGTAGATGCTATTGCCATTGGCTACTACTAAACATCCCGGCAAATTAGTTCCATCCTCCTTTCAAAGCCCTTCACATCATTTCACGTCCCTTGAAGCCCATCTTGGCCAATCTTGGCCCTCGGCCTCTCCCAATGGCCAGACCCCCAGCTTGCCAGCGCTGGCAGCGCATACCGGCAGTACCCTCAGCTCTCAGAACTGCACAAAGCCAAGTCATACCCAAGCCTTGTGTTCTCCTCGTTCCTCTCTGCGGCTAACCCAACCCAGAGACTTTGTGGCTTTGGCTCTAAGCAGAAATGCCACACTTCTGCAAAGCCCCAATTTCCCACCAGAGCGCAGAATGTGACCATGGCCGCGGCCAGGACCCAGCGCCGCTTCAAGCGCCCTTCGCTGTGCCGCTCCTCAGAAAAACATCCCAGGATTTCTCTTCCCAAGAAGAAGCAGACAAGAAAAAAGGGTGGTCTTTTAGGATGAAACCTGGAAGAAGCCCAGCTCGTCATGGACTTAAACAGAGTATAAGCAGAATAAACAGATATGAGGAAACTGCAATTCTGCATTCACTGCATTCTGTACAAGACGGTGTACAGGAGGACTCAGTGTCCCCAACGACCATGGCAAAGTGCGCAAGAGTGAGCAGGCACGGTGGCTTAGCCTCCGCACCTGGCCGAAAAAATTTCACATCCCGCCGCAATTGTGACAAAAAGCTTGACTGCCTCACCTGCTTTCAATCCGGGAAATCCTCTTGAAGGTTTTGGGGTGAAACAGCAGAAAGGCGGCCGCTGATGTTGTCACGGCAAAGATGACAGCTCCTGGCATGGGGTCTGACCAAGCCTTTTCCCAGAAGATCTGATACCCAAACATGGCGAGGTAGGCAGGGCAAACCAGAAGGGCCACAGCAAGTGTCTGTAGAGCATCCCAACATTTGGATCCGGCTGGCCGGCAGCATCTTTCGGACAAAAATAAGCACAAACACACCAAGATCGGAAAGCCTCCTAGCCACCACCCGAGGACGATGACTGTCGAGTACAGCCGGCCCATATCGTGATACGCCTGGTAGTGTTGGGCGAACAAGTCCATTTCACCCCACAGCATTGGCGACGTCGAGCCCAGCACATACCAGTATGGAAATGCATGTCTTCCAAGCTGCACAGCCAAGGCATCCGAAATCGAAGATTGCACACGTGCCTCGAACTCCGCAGCGCTCCCATACCACTGGACGATGCATTCACGGACAATCTCTCTGTCACATATGAGACTCTTCCCTGCTGAGTTGAAGTGATTCTGTTGGCAACAGAAACACATCGCCTCCCCAACCCGAAAGCTAGCCAACCGGGTCTTTGCCTTTCGGACGGACTCGAAGTAGTGGCGGGATGAAGCGACCGCCAGCGAAAAGCCGAACAACCCCCATAACACGAAAATCAGCACCGCCAAGACCAGATTATTCCAGTTGATGACATGCATGATGCCCATGGTTGCCATCATTCCCAGGGCCAGAGAGAACGATAAAGGGCCCAGAAATGTGGGCCTCACCAACATCTGAGCTGCGCCACAATCCTCATGGCTCCGCAAGAATGCGGCGACCTGGAACAGGCTTTCATTGTTCAAAACGGTTTCGGAAACGATTTTTACGGAAGGTTAAGTGATATGAGCTCATCTATATCTTCGTCAAACTGATGTGGGGTTCTCTTCTATCTCACATCCATGCATCGGAAGCATGTGGATTGACATATGGTGCTATGGGAACATGCTATGTTTAAAGCTGCACCAACTGAAACCTGCAGAACTCATTGTCTATTTTCTGTGTATCTTGATTCTGTCCTACTTTGTGCGAAGCCATTCCCTGTCAGACTTTTTTGGAGTTAAGACGTCCAGAAGATTGGTCGTTCTTGCTTTTCGCGTTCATTTGCTTCAGCTTTCACGCGCCACTCTGTTCTTCTAAGGCTACGCAATGACAAGACAAACACGCACTGCGTGAACTGCAATTCTCTGGTCTTTCGCGCCTCAAACATGCACCAAAGACGTCCACAGAACGTGTGGTCCCACATGACGAGGATTTTCCGGGAATGTCGTAGAAACGCGCCGATGTTTGCAATTGCTGCCGCCTTCCTGCTGGGATGTTTTTGATCGACGCAGAGGCAGTCCAGGAAAACGTTCTCTGAGCGTCTCCAGAAGGCGAGAGTCAGAAGTGCAGCCGCTGAAGCTGCTGCCGTGGACCAAAGCGAGAGTGAAGTGCCGTGGTCGTCGCCCAGGAGCACCGGCCTGGGTGCAGCCGGAAGGTAGCCGAAAATGAAGAAGATCATGGCAACAAGGCCAGCCAATGTGCCAGCAACAACGGCAGCCAAACCATTCTTCATGGCAAGCACGAGAAGTAGCTTGTTAAATTGAGAGCCATGCCAGCTATGCGACCAAAACTGATCAATCTCGGCCACCACAAAGCTTTGGCTCAAGTCGGTTTGTCCGCCGAACTTGCCCAAGCTCGCAGCCAGAGTCCAGATGGACGCATGTGTCCTTGCAGAACGCATCAAGGTCCGATCCGTCAGCTCCATTCCTGCCATAACTTGGGTAACACGGGTCGCTCTGCTCACCGTCGTCCGCTCCTCGGGAACTGCTTCTTCTACGGAGTTCCTGGGGATCTCAAGCTCCATTTTTTTAAGCACATCAAGCACGACAGACCGAGTTATGTCCGGGTCTTCTGCCATAGCTGTCATGGGCAGTCCAAATCGCGCATGGAGCCTCCAGCTTCTACGATTGTATACTCCGGTTTACATCAGCCCCATGGTGCAAACAACTGCTGCAAGTCGATGCAAGAACTGCGGTACGTGTTGCGAAGACACGGCTATAGGGGGTTGTCCATCTGCTAGCGTTACACTACCATTCTTTGTCTTCATGAGGGTCGTTCCACAATCCGCAGAGTCCTCAAGCCAACGACTGCGGGGAAGCACCAAAAAAATTGAAAGAAAAGATGTTGATGGTACCCCATAGAGTACCCCGTAGTACCCCGGAGCATCCCCGAGCCTTCTATAATTATTTCTCCGCTTGCTGGGCAAAAACATGACAAACCGAAGCGGCCTAAGAACTTGGACAAACGAAGCTGCCGAACCCAAGCCTAGCTGAAACCGTTGGTATTCCGATACGACACATAACATCACATAACCCAGTGAAACCTGGTGCCAGGTGGCTACCAGGACGTCCACCATGCCCACTAACGCCCGGCGCCGGGCCATGGCTGCAGATGCCGCAGCCTTTGTTCAGGTGTCCCAAGTTGGAGTCATGGCTTTTGGGGTTGTGGGGCTTTCAGGAAGGTTGCCAGCGTCACATCCTCTGCAACAATGCCCAGCCTCGGCGTTGAGCATGTGGGCAAAGAGCGAGTCAGAGATCTCGTGGGCCTTGGAAAGTGCTCTCAATTCAACGTAGCCAAGCATTTTGCACATGATGTGGAGGGGAAGTGTGAGGAAGGTATGAAGGCCGTTAGTGAGAACGTGCTTTCAACGTGCTTTGAGCATGCTTTTGAGCATCGCCAGAGCCTCTAGTAATTGAACTAGATTCGGCATCTCGCCTTCGCCTGCGCCGCCGCAGTGAAGTTGGTTGCCTGCTACTGGAAGTCTTAGTTCTGCCGAGTTGAGAGCTGTAGGGCACAGCAAATTTATCAGAAAGACAAGCCAACAGGCGCAAAATCAGAGAGCATCAAGAAGCCTTGGTGGAGATTTCGTCCGAAATCTCATGAGCCTGGCACCCACTGGAAGCTTGTACTGTGAGCAGCACACGCTTCAAAAACCGTCTCAGATACAGAATTGATCAAACTTCGGCCTTCGCCTGGGCCTTGGCAAGCAGTGGAGTTGCCTCTGCTGGCAAAGAAGCATTTCGACTGTCAACAGCTCAGAGTGCCAGCATGAGACATCCTCCCCAGCCCACTATCTACGACAGTAGTCTCTTTCATCTTTGAGAATCTTTGGGCCTTGGTGGAGATCTCGTCGGAAATCTCATGCGCCTGGCATTGGCACATTGCAGAGTCCACTCTGTCTCATCTACAGGAAAGCGTTCCCCCACACCTGAACAGACAGGTGCGAAACCGGCCTTGGCCTGTGCTTCAGCAGAAAGCTTCCATGCCTGGCTCATCACAGGCTCATCACAGGCTCACGGGCAAAGAAGGAGTCGCGCATACGCCTAGCAGGGCCTAGCAGAGCGTGGTGTCGTGTCTTGAGAAGCAAAACCTTCCAGCCTTGGTAGAGATCTCGGCTGCAACCTCGCGGAACCGCGAGAAGGTCTCCGTCTCACTCGGCACCTGGGCACGTCGGGTATTCAAAGGACCCTGAAAGGTCGAACGTCACGGCTAGCGAGCCGGCTGCGTGAGATCTTGAGCTACCTCACGAACATGGCGAACATCCCAGCCTTGTCGTCCTTCTCCTCGGATTTGGTTGAGATGGCAGTGTTGCCATTGGCCACAGGCTCAGCATCTGCCGCATTGCATGGCGACGACATGGTCAAGTTACCTGCTTGTCTCCTAGTAAAGAGTGGGGCTGAAGCGGTGGGTGTGCAAAGTGCAAAACAAACAAAACCCATGTGCCAGCACGCGCCATCGCGCGCCGCACAGTACATCCAAGGGAACTATAAGTATCTGTGTGCCCCTGCTGTCCGAAACACATGCCTCACTTGCTTAGGGGAAGTCGTATTCGTCATCTCAGAAATACAATTCCATTCTGCTGCGATGCACCGGAAAACAACGTGCCGAATCTCATCGAAATTTACTGACGGGCCTCCCAATATGCTCACATGATCTGTGCCTGTCACAAGCTCGCTTCGTTTGCTCACAATCGCAGCTCGTCTCGGCTTTCTCCGTCCACCCCATTGGCGCGGAGAAAATTTGCTGCTGAAGTGAATTCCTGCATCTGGTGCGTTACACTGATCGTGGGCATCATTGGCCATCATGAGTGAGTAAGCTCTGCTGAATAATTCAGCACCAGGTGCATCCCCTGTCGAGGACATCGACCTGTCCAAACCCGTGATGGTTTTTCTGCCAGATGGCCTGGCACGACTGTGTCGGGCGTGGCATGTACGCACCATTTTTGCACTGGTACTCCGATGCTTTTCTCAATCATACGAGGCCTCATGTTCTATGAACATGCTGGCACAGGGGAGGCCTCTGGCTCCCAAAAGTGATTTGTGGCGATCCTTGCGGCAGCTGCAGCTTCTCACCCCTTGCCACGGAGATCTGACCTGAAGCTCCCCTTAATGGCACCTCAAGCCTCGACACTCCTGAGCTCCAAACAGCGGTGCACATCACTCGGCTCCTGGCAGCTTCCAGACTTCACGCTTGTGAACCTTCACGGATGCTTGGCCCCCATACCTACATCTTCCTGCATCCACGCCCAACATCGCCCAACCTTTGAATAGGAATCCTGCGCACTGGGCAAGAAAGTCCTTCAGCCGATGGCCGTCAACCCAGGAGCACTGGCCGAAGCGGAGCCGGTGCAGCCAGCTGGATTGCCTGCTGGTTGGGCCCCTTCTTCATCGGCAGATGGTAAGTGTCGTCTTCTCGCAAATTCGTTTATCGCCGTCTTTCTACGGTATACTGCATATCTACACGTGTTTGGGCATTCTCCGCAATGCGTGCTCCGCAGGCGTTGTCGCACAACAAGATCACGGTCATGCAGCATTTTCTCTCTGGACCACTGGAATGGATCTAGCCAGTCAAGCGGTAAGAGCCTTGAAACGGGGCCGCACACCGCGTGAACCTTCCTTGTGCGGCGCAGAGCGCAGAGTAGTTTAAAAGTCTAGGGCTCACGAGTACCACAACCTCCAGCCGCTTCGACCTTCAAAAACCAATTCCGAATACTGGAAGCTGGAGATGTGCTCGTGAGCAGGGGAACGAGAACAGCTGTGCCAATCTCACCGGATGCGGAAATATGCCGATGTGGGGATTGATGGCCCGAAGGTGACACGTTGGCAGCAGTTGCGCCGTGTGAGGCAGAAGATAATCCTTGTAGCCCAGTTACCAACATTAACAAGGAGGGTTGGTCGTCTTTATCAGGGAAGGTAAAAAAAGAGAAGGGCAAACGGGTAACTCCGGGTAACTCTGGGCCACCAAATAATGCACACAAGGCCTTGCTTTCGCAACGGCCACTCGACCGATTGCGCGCAGCATGGGGCAATAAGCCACATCTCTGTTACACTACGGCCTACACCCCGCCCCCCCCGGACTTGCCCCCCTCCCCCAAATTCCAATATTCGCCCCTTCCGAGAAATTTTTCACCATTGATCTGTTGTGCGGTTTGCTCCCGGAGGGGGAGGGGGGTGGGGTCTGTTGTGTGGTTGGTCACTGGAACCGAAACCCTGAACCTCAGCCCCAAGGCCTGAACCCTTCACGTATCCAAAATGGGGGGGGGGGGGGGGGGGGGGGGGGGCGGCGGGGAAGTAGTTTTTAGGGAGAAGGGATCGCCCACTGCATACCCTTGCATGCCCTGTACACTGTGCTGCACTCATCACATCTAATGCACATAAGCGGTCGCTTAAGCCCTGCAAACTCTGCGCGCGCCGGAAGAGGCTGAACACTGCTTGAGCTCTCACTTTTGATAGCACTTCTTCTTCAGGTGCCCGACTTTGCCTCGGTCAACAGCCCGGAGTACCCAGGATGTGTTCCACAACCTGCTAGCAACATCTTCTCGTCTCCTGCCCAGCCACCACAGTGTTCGCAGGTCTTCTCTCGGCTCGGGCAGTCGGCCACCGAATGCGCTGTGGAACCACAGCCTTACCACGGCAGGAATTTGAAGCATGTCCACACCTTTTCTGCATGACACAATGTTTCAGCAAGATTTGAAAAAGTAAACATGCATCATTATACAATTATACACAACGTGCACACGCTGTATGAGCATGCTGTTGTCATGGAGTCTGGCACCTCACACCTGCTTCGGCACCAGATGTAATCCAGGCTGTTGTCTCACTATGGCTTTTGTCAAGCTTCTGCCTGGCTAAAAAAAGCGGACGCCGTTTGCGGCACTGTTGAATTTCACAAGTTCACACCATCCTACCTAGAGTGGAGAAGCGTGACTCCACCTTGTAAACCTAACTTACATTTCATACCCTGCAGCAACAAGCACGAGGCAAATACCTCGGAACTCTGAAAACAAACGGGCAATATAACCTGTAGAACCAGAACTCTCTGACAAAGGTACGGGACATTCAAACCATGCACTTACCCTTACAATCCTTTCGACAAAAGGTTGCTGCCTGAGGCTTGGGCAGTGGCACTGAGCAGGCTTTTCACAGTCGCGCAGCAAGTGACCAGCTCCACCTATGACACCAAAAGGGAGAGATGGAGCCCTGGGAACCCTGCCTAGGTTGCTGCCTACAGTGGCAGAATGCGGCAGCCGTACTAGTTAGGCTTGAAAAATGATGCACAGGGCACAGGGCACAAGGCAGGCAAGGAAGGCACGGGAAGGGGCTAGAGTTGTTGGCCAGTGGGCCAATCGAGTTTAGCAGAACCGTCATTCATGAGGACTGTGGGTACAATGCGTCATTCTGTGCAAACCAGGGTGCCGCAGTTCTTGCACACCTTGCCGTCGGTGTTGCTCTTGCCCCTCCCCTGGGCTGCAACTTACACAGGACTGACGTCCCTCAGTAAGCAGTAACATAATTAATCTGAACGGCACGCCAATGGAACCTCGAAATCCTTCGCCGGGGTTACGTCGACAGCCGCCGACGATATGCAGGTCACGTCCACACAACTTTCCCGTCAAGACGTCGCTTTAGCAAGAACACTTCCAATCGCACCAAAACGAAGCCTTCCCAGGCACCCATGCAAGGGCGAAATTACACATCCAGACCAGCCATTCCCAAATTTGACGCAGTTTCGGTCGCGCACATCAAGGACTCTACCCGCTGCTCGGTTTCTGACTTGTGTTCGTGCGGAGTCAAATCGGGAGATCTACTTGCCAAGAAAGCCACATGAACACCAAAAAGCAAAACCTACACACTGCAACGCAACAAGTAAGTAGACGCAATGTGGACGCTTCTCCCCAGTGTGGTGTGGCTTTCAAAATTGGGAACAAACCATATTCAAGGCCCTTGCTTTTCCTCCTCGGAGAGGAGGAGATATGTTCTCCTTGTCCTGACTACATGTGTCCACTGCCCCTGCTGACATGACATGAATTTCTACTGGCAAGGAGAAATGCAAAAGACTCTCATCAGACAGCACATGGGGACAGCATGCCTGCTGGTGTCACACCCCAAAGTCCTGGTGTCGACACTTCTTTTTAAGATGGCCTGCCTGACAAGTTGCGCATTGGCCACAAGCAGAACAACTCGTTAACATGGGGCAGTTCGGAAATCACTTGCGGGCGGCTCTCTGCTCGCGGGATATAGGCCGGATAGGCACGTACGTCTTATGCGTAGCTGAAGTACAGCATCTCATCACTCCGGACCTTGCCACAGTTGGAGCATGTCTTCTCCCGATGTGGACATTCGGCAATCTCGTGCGCGGTATCCTGGGAAAAAATTATCCCGAGCCAGGTCTTGGAAAACAGTTGCATGGGTCATGACAATGGCAGCTCGCCATGGTTGCCCACACTCATCACAAGAAGCATCCAGATCAATGTAACTTTCTTGTCTCAGAACTGGAAGGCCGGTGACAAAAAAAGACGGTGAAGCCCAGGCACGCCGCAACAGTGACACTCTCGGTCCTGCAGTCAGCATCAAGGAAGGCGGAATCATCCGCACAATTCAGATTCAAACTTTGTATCCCTCACATCACCTCACCGCAACAGTCGTCTCCTCTGCACAGTCTCGTGCAAGATGCCCGTGCGCCCCGCAGTTATTGCCTCAGAAAGGGCATGGTTCGGGGCTGCATGGGGCACCTGCTGACTTGCATTACTTGGACTCACCATGGACTCGCCCTCGATCCGTTTGCTCGTTTGTCATACATGTGCAGCTGTGCCGTTGCCCCACGTTTTGACAACAGGATCCCAGCAGGTCTTGTCGGCGTTCTTGCTGAGGTCCATTCGGCACTTCAACCTGGCGTTCATGTGGGTGCCCGGGAGACGAGCAGGGTCCTCCAATGTCTCCCCTGCTCAGAAATTCAGAAAGCACTTTAAGGCCCCACAAGGCCCCAAGAGCACTGAGATGTTTAGCCAAGAGTCTTGAGGTGCCCCACTTTGCCGCAAAGGGAGCACGTCCTCGGCTGCATCTTGTTCCCAAACCCCATGGTGTCCCCACACTCGCAGACGTCGTAGCGAGTGACACAGAGTCGATGGTGGCTGCAATTCTGCCAGATGTCTTCTCTCGGTTGGTGCACTCCGAGATCTCGTGAGATGTAGAGCCGCAGCCTGCATGTTGCATGAGAATAGCTCAATGGACGTCTCTCCTGGATCTTTCTAAGCTTTCTACAACAGATAGAACAGCCACGGCACAGTGGCATTGCTTTGGCTCCGTGCACATGCCAGCGATGTGGCCCGTGTCTCCACAGTTATTGCAAGTCCTCAGCCGACACAGTGACTCCAATACTCTCCAGACCACGCTGCAGCCCTGAAATACCATGCAAAATGCATGCCTGTGATAAACTTGAGGCAGCGCAAAAGCAGGCCACGACACAACTGAGTGCAGCCCCGGTTCTTTGCGGCCTTGACTTGCAATTCTCCAGATCATGCCGATATTATCTTTGTCCACTCAGCCATCGCTATGACAAGAACATGCTAACATCCACAAGACGTAGGAGCCGGACTACTGGCTTGCCTTTGCCTTTGCCCTTGACCGCCATTGCGGAACGGGCTGGAAACAGTGGTCGCCCAAAGTTCCCCAAAGTAATCCAAACCGACTTCTCTTCGAAGCAAATCGCTGCGGGGCTTCTCTGCATCCCAGCTGTGTTCACAAGGAAAGATGCTCTCCCTGCGCCCGATCAGTCTGCCTTCCTGTGAAGGCGGGAAATGCGGTGAGACCTGGGCTCCAAGGAGCACTTTTGCTGCGCAGCTCTCGCATGAGATGATGACCCATGCGCTTCACGTTGCCTCTACGTGGCCTCTTCAGCACTTAGCACCCAGCAGTCGCCAGGCCAGCAGGCAGAGTTGCACAAGCATGCGGCCTGGAGTCAAGCATCACTTAGTTTTTTGCTTGTAGATTTACTTAGTATTGTGCTTAGCAATTTGCTTAGTCAGTTCGTCACGCTTCACTCTCCGACATGCGAAGTTCGTCAGCTCCGAGACTGGGCAGAATTCGTGAGGCTCGCGGCCTCCCTATGTCACTACATATCTTGTATTGGACCCTGGAATCGGTTCGGATCAACTTCAGAAATGGTTGCAGCCCACCTCGGCTCGAAAGCATAGCAGCCTTGCAAGGACTTTCCGACAGGTCATGGATGGTCATAAGGAAGGGCAGCACATGCTCCCCGTGTGAAAACGCTTTACACGCACGGGAACGCGTCTGGCCCTGGTCATGATCAACATCTTACCGACAAGTGCAAAAAGGAGGCCCTGCGCTCCCCTCCCCCAAGTCCCGCTCCATCGCGTGGCCCCAGCGAGCCATGGCCCGGCGTTCTGCAGCATGAAGCACGCGGCTGCGCCTTTCACACTAGGATCTGCAGGCATCCGCCTGTTACAAGCCATCCATCTGAGCTTTTCAGTCAAATCGCATACTGCAAGGGTAGGAGGTTATCAGGCTAAGCATGGACAGGCACGGAGGCCTTTGACACTCGCATTCATGAACGAGCTGCAAACATGCTTTGTCTAAGCTGTCCGGTCCTCGCAATGTCGACCTCCAACCTCCAGATTCTCACCACGGCCACAACCTGAGGGCAGGCCGGCGTCGTGACTCAGAAGACAAGCAGCGACTCTGGGGCCTCGAAAACCCTCAAAGCCAAAAGAGCTTGAATGCACCAAGTCAGCACTGAAAGCATGTTGCCACTTCGCAGGCCTGGCGGCGGCCTTTTGCTCCGGCCTCCTTGCTCCAGGTGAAAACGAAAGCAGAGCTGAGATCCGAAGCTGAGGTTTCCAAGAGGTAACCCCATAGAGGCTTCAGGGGCGGAAGGCTCTTTGCGCAGCTGTTCAAGTCCTTCAGCGCGCTGCGGCATTGCTTCATCGGCAGTTGGGCCTGGCTTGCCAAATATAAGGTTGCAATTTGGTTGCAATACAGAACAGCAGAACATCGATTGATGTGAACTCGGCCTTTTGTTCTCCGCTGGGCTATGAGTCGGTGACATCACAGCCACAGTGTGCAGCGAGGTGCATGGAGTTAACAGAGACCATTCGTGCAAAAGCACTTTGGGATAAGGAGCACCACACTTGGCACTTGTTGGCCGTTCTGCAACTTGGCCAAGCTGTTAACAGTTGGACCACCTACGCGCTCCTACTTCACTTGCAGCTGCAGTGATGGCGCTGCGCACGTCGCAGAAGTAAGATACTGCTGAGTAGCGGCATAGCAAGCATACACCTAGCAGCTGGCATACGGTCTGGCCACGGACATAGGTAGCCTTTATGGTTCCAGCTATCTTGGCATTCTGCAGGACAATCATGACTGCGACATACTTCCACGACCCACGTGTGGCTTCCTACACTCCTATGCAATGTTCCCGCAGGCAAGCTGCTGAGGTGCGAACACAAACAAACTACTGAGAACCTCACTGCGTGGGGCAGGATGCGCAAACTACGCACAGAATGCAACGCCCATTAGTGAGGTCCGGAGCGGACTGATGCCACATTCTCTTCCCAGCACCGGAAAAGAATGAAGAGATCATTAGCACAGTCAACATCGAGCTGGGCAACTTGGACAGATAGTTAACCAGGAGCCTTTTCTTACGTCATGAAATACACTTCTAGCGGAGATTGTGAAAGTATGTGAAGGTTATCGATCTTTGATCTTAGATGGTTGTTCAGGAGAGGAGGAGCTCCGGCGAGCCGAGCACTCGGTCAGCCATCTACGCGCGCGTCAGCAGGCCTGGTGCAGCAACCAAACAGGCGAAGGGGGGAAGGGGGCGGGGAACATGCCCACAGCGCTTGGTCGAGAAGCTAGCCTCGACCAACACTCAGAATTCTGCAGCCGCTCGTGCCTCGTTCAGCAAAGCCCTTACTGCTGCTTGCATTCCTCCTTCCCCTCTCCAGGTGGCCCATCCTTCTTGGCCTGCGAAGATTGGATTTCTTGCAGTCAGACTCAATCGCGCACAACCGCAGTGGCTCTGATGCTGTCGCCCTAAAGGCTGAAAAGCGAAAATCGCACAGCTAGCTCCTGCCTTCCCTCTTGGAGGCGGCTTGTAGCCCTTCTTGCGGTGGTCATCCTCTTCTTCCTCTTCCTCATCCTTCGCGCGCTCTTTTTTACTTGCTCGAAATAAGGACTTAAAGATGACAACTCCAAGCCTGCCATCCTCCAGCTCGGGACAAAGTAAAGAAGCCAAAGATGACCTGAGGTTGTTGCCTCATCGTCATCATCCTCATCCTCATCCTCCTGGCCGGCGGTTGACAAGATGGAGGGCTGCGATGCATGACGACGATGCATGACGACTTTCGGCTCTGGCGCGGCAGAGTGGAGCTCCTCCCTACAGTGCATAGTGTACGGGCATTAGGGGTTTAGGGCTTCACCCACAGCGCAGCTAAGCTCAGCCTCGTCGTCCTCATCGAAGCCGTCGTGATCCTAACGGTTTGCGGTCTGGCTGTTCAATTTCTGAATGACATGCTATAACATGCTGTGATGCGTGTTGCGGAGGTTGCTTTTAACAACGGCTTCTCCGGATACTATACCCTTAACCGCCCTCGACGTGGGACCTTCAGCTGCCCAAGCAGAGAAAGAACTGGTGATCAAGCAGCCTCTGGAGCTGCTTCTCCAGTGTACCAGCGCACCGCAAACGGAATGAGCTGGTCGCGGACCTTGGCTTAATGAATGCCATCCAGCAGGGTCGCGATTTTGAGACTAAGTATCTTAGACTTGTTCCAGCCCTGGCCGCGACGCATAAAGACACATACCCGGTGGTACTAGTGTCACCGTCCCTCTCGTCATCGTTGGAGGCAGCATGGCATCAAAAAGAACACAGATCGGGGCTTTCGAAAATAAGGGACCCCTAATATCGTTCCCCAAATACTAGGATTCCCTTATAACGGGACCCCAATAAGGTACCCCTCATACCGATAACCCCCATATGGAAATAGCATCCAGGAACAACCTACTTGTACGGCAGCCTTTTGCAAGCCCCAGCGTTAGAATCTACCTGGGGCACATCTTTTGAAAACTCCGGGCGTCGATGGTTCCCTCACCTCTCCAGACTATCAAGAACGGGGACCTCGGTCTACGGAAGGAGGCATTCCTCGAAGGGCTCCAAGGAATCAACTGTTCTCACTCTCGAGGCAGTTTTTTCAGTTTGTTGCAACGCACCTGCTCGCAAGTCCTATGACCTACTAGGAACATCCTTCCAGCATGCGAAGTTGCAACAAAGTGGAAGCATGTGCAATAAGAGGGCCCCAAGAAAGCCCAGGAAAAACATATAAGCACCGAGCGGCCTCTAATAATTGTTGCTCTTTTGGGCTCTTGGCAAAACGGGCGCCCTGTATATACCCCTATAAAATACAAATAACCATGATAGAGAAACCCCCCCAAAAAGGCCTTGTTTGGGGAACGAACATACAATAACCATGATTAGCAGAACCCCGAACATACAATAACCATGATTAGCGGAACCCCGCAAAAAAGCTAACTCCTTGTTTCGGGAACCCCAGGTGGCTAAACACGGCAACGCACCGACAGCCAAGTCCTGAGGCCCCCAACACAGCAGCCAATTTCGTAATCGTTTTCCTGAGCAGTGGGTTGATAAGTCCTTTAGGGGCCTTTAGGGGCCTTTCGCCTTTGGGGGCCCCTTTAGGGACCTTTGGGGGCCCTTAGGGAGGCCCGTAGAGGCCTTTAGGGTTTAGGGCTTAGGGCAGGATGCACGGGAATGCACGCTCATCTTTTCTTTGACTGGTCCCCAGTTTTGGACTCGGCCTTGGCGAACCTTCAACAACAACGAAAGAGAGAGAGAGATAGAAATATGTATATCCAGAAAGTCCAAATGAACTGTAAGTGCCCAGCAGCGTTCTACCCAAGATTCCTGCTACTAGACCAAGCGTCCATGAGAAGCTCCATCATCTGATCGTCGTCATCCTCGTCGTCCTGACGAGGCGTCTTCGGCTTTAAGGGTTTTGCCGGCATCTGCTTTGCACTCTTTGTGAGTGGAGCTGTTGAAGCCGGATGGAATGTCCTCGTCCACAAGACCCCGTGCCTCGTCAAGGTTGACATCCTTGTTGGTCAGATGGATCGCGCTCCAAACTTCAATCAGACTTGTAACTACATTATATAATTTAAGGCGAAGGAACCCTCACCTACTTCATTCTTCTGTTTCGAGACCTGCTGGATGGTCAGCTAGAGCAGCTAGAATCTGAGTCGTCAACGTCGGGGACCGGCATGCCCTCTTTGAGATGTCCTGAAGCTTTGTTGACTTGCAAAGTCTTGCAGGGGCTTTGCCATATCGGGCCAAGGTCGAGGCGGAAGAACCCACGGAAGAAGGAGTCGCGAGGCTCCTCCTTCTCCTGCGGAAGTCTGATAAAAGCTCACAGCGCTATCATCTAACAAAGTCGGAAGAGTCACGCCCGCCGTTGAGCCCACGAGAGGCTCCAGGCACGGTGTCATGAATGTATATCAATAAAGAATATATGCCAATACGCAAGTATGCTATACAAATACATATATATATATGTGTCTGTATGTATGGTAAGATACAAGAGTATACACGAATATATAATTGTATGCAACAAAATTTACCTTGACATAATATCAACAATAAGCACAACAGCGGCATGCAATACTGTTGAGTCCTTGCCCTTCTGCTTGGCCTTCTTGGCGCCTGCAGCGTGAGCGCACTCAGACAAAGAGAAGACAGCGTAGTGCTGCATACGGTTCCAAGCAGACCATCGACTGCAACGACGAAAAAATAAGCCAGGATATGGCCTCCTCCCTTCACCTTCTTTGTTACCTCATCACAGAGAATGCCAGATTTGTGCAGCTCAAATATACCGGCCACGCATGCCGCACGTCACATGGCTTATCCTGCTTGAGCGCACAACCCAATGCATGTCAAACAAACAGATGGGGCCTTCTCGACTGTCACATTCTTGTCCGGCTTCCAATCGATCTCCACAGCCTGGCACAAGACTTGCTGCGAACCTTGGCGCATCACACCCTTGAATGCTCTGAAGCCTTGATCTCCTTGGCAGAAATCTCCCCGGTGTACGGCGAGGCTTCTTCAAGATGGTACTCCTCCCATTGATGTTGAGATCGTTGAAGCTTACAGGGCTGACAGGGTGAGGAGAACATGAAACGTCAGCGGCATCAGGCGGCATCCTTCCAGAGCTCTGTGTTGGTGAAGTAGGGGTTCTCGACGAAATGAAACGTCAGCTTGAAGCCCTTTGAGATGTCCTGCTGAGCTGGGATGTGCGTGTCTAGCTATGGGGTTGCAATCTTCGACTGCGAAAAATCTACAAAAAGAAGCTGCAAGCATGGGAGGGGGTCCGCTTCGTCCAACCAAGCCTTGGTGATGTCCCGACCTTGATTATGACAAATAATTACACTACAGTACTACAGGTATGATTTCCCTGGCTCAGGGTCGGAGCCCGGAATGTCACAGGCTCGACAGCCATCCGGCTTGGACAGCCACGCTAGACTCATGCGGTATTACTCAGCAAGCATGAACTGACGACTTGAGTCAGTTGCAGTAGTCGAGCACTGGCTCGTCCCACTCCTGCACAAACTTGGATCGGAGTCACGGCCCATGGTACCGGAGACACTCTGAGGCTGGCTGCCTATTGCAGCCCGATTGTTTTTTTTTCGTCGCCCTGCTAAACTGCTAAACGATGCCCGCGCGAGCCTCAATGTGCTCCTCGAAGGCGGGAAGGTGCTTCATCGCCTGGATCTGAAAAAGACGCGGGGATGTCAACACTCCGCTGTCCATTGGAAACCGCCGGCAACCTGGACCTAGCCACCAAAAAAACCACGCTCGAGCGGAGAGATTGCCGAAAATGTGCACTGCATCAGTTGGGGGGTGGGGATCCCTCGTAGAAGTACCGGGATGGAGTTTCTCTTTTGTTCCCCTTCCTTTTCTTGCTTTGCTCCTTTGTTTGGCATGCGGCGGCGGGGGGGGAGGGGGGATAGGGGTGGACCTCTGCAGTTCTTATGGGTAAGCCATTGTTTCCTCTACAGTTTTAATGGGAAGAAATGCCTACGGGAATAGAGAAGTCCCCCTTGCATGCCTCTTGAAGCATTTCCTCATCTTGATGGCCCACACCCCACACCCCACACCCTAAACTCTATTTTTGAACAGCTGAGTGCCATTGCATCTTAACCTTCATGTCTGTCATTGTGTTTGTGCGTTTTGTATTGGGCTTAGCCAGTGGAAAAGGTGCTGTGCACATCTTGTGTGTTCTGATACCTCACAAAGTGTTCTATCACAGCGGTTGTTTGGGCAAACGCAAAGTTCGCACCGCATTTGTCAATACAATACAGGGTTTGGAAAGGGTTCACATGGCTGCTAAAGGAATGTCCATTGATGGCACGGCATTCTTTGAAACAAGCTTCGCCCAGCTTCATTTGAAGAGCGGGGGAATTTGGGGGCAGCACACCCCACCCCCGCTCCCCACGAGCAAACACAAGGTTTGCATGATGGTTTTGGATAAGATTCATGCAGCTTTGAAGGAAGATACTCTTGGAAGCAAGAGCGCGCGGCTTCAGGGGACTGAAGGAGCAGAGGATATCACGGAACTGCAGGACCGCGCGACCAGGGGGCCAGCAGACACAAGAACTGGCTCGGAGCACAAAGCAAAAAGCGGGGGAGCAGAAACATACAGAAAATCACGCACTTTTCACTCTTTTTTCCCGGGGCCTCCTTCCAAAAGCCTCGCAAGGCAGGAGTGCCGCAGGCCTTAGCCTCACAGAACGGGTAGATGACATATATATATATATATATGTACGTGTATATATATATATACATATATATATATATATTCATTGTGCGAACTTGATGCACACATCAGGCGCGCCTCCGCACTTTCAGCTGCTGCTATGTTTGTCAGGATCTGCGTCCTGCAGAGCCAAGACTGCTCCTATGCGTCGCTATGCCGAGATTGGAACAGCAAGTGTGACTGGCTCTTGAAGTCAGCATGAGTCAGTGACTATCCCGCCTCTGATCAATAAATGGCTGCTGCTTTGCAGAGAACTGCTTTTGCAACTCCTGGCGGCGCCATTCCAAACATGACATTTCGCTTCAGGACCTCCTGTGGGTCATGACATCTGATCTTGCTCCCACACGGTCCGTGACGCAAATGCAAGGCATGCCAGCCCTGAAAATCGCATCATGCAGCATGTCGCGATCACAGGAACCCATCCTGGACGGCTTTCTCATATTCTCGTTCCACGGCCAAGTACTTGTCGTCGATCTCCTTCAGCTCCTGTACGACCCCGAACTTTGTCCCAACTCATCCCAGAAGGTCATGTGAGATTTGACAGATCCATGATGCGAGGCGTCGATTTCAACAGGCTCCAACGTATGTATAACTAGGGCTCCTAATATTGAACCAGAAGGGAAATTAACAATTATTCCAAATCGATACCTAGTATGTCATTGCCGTACACAGGGCGAAGCAATAACGAGTAGCTAAGCCATGCCGTTCGTCCTTGATGATCGGCGGGTCTTCTGGGGTATCTGCTTCAGCCTCCTCTTCCTGCAAGCACAGCTCACCATGTTCGCCGTCCACGTGCACGTGCTAAAAACACTGAGTCGGAATCCGGAAAAAAGCAGCCGTACCAAGTGTGTGCAAAAAGTGTGCAAAGCCATGTGAAGATGCCGAGGTCCTTCTTCGGTTCAGCCTCGGGCTCGGTCTTCTTCTTTCCCATGGCTGGCCTCTCGGGTCACAACATGTCACATGCGCACGTATAGCTTGGGCATTGGGGCCAAGAGACTTGGGCTTTGGCAAAGCAAGAAAGAAGAGTTCGTGGGGAGGAGGGGGGGGGGGGGGCGCGGGAGGGGGGAAGCCGTGCGAACTCACCGCAACCTGTTGCTGGTTTCGTGCTGTTGCGTGCATCCGGCCTGAATGCACAACCCGGCTACGCCCGCAGAAGCCAAAGCTGCGGATGGACATGACGCCGCCAAGCGATGCGAAAATGAAGCAGAGCTTTGGGGAGGAATCAATGAGAGTCTACGAGATAAGACGACGGACCTGAGACGTCTTTTATGGAACCCGTGCTGCCAAATCTGCAAAAGACAGCTGCATGACTGGGTTTGTTGGAGAAAGCTGCCAGCATGACCCAACGTTGCAGAACACGGACAAGACCTGCGCACATTCTCGCAATCCGATGTTCTGGCAGTCTGGCAGCCGGTGATGTTGTTAGATTTGTCAGCGCCACATCCTGGGTACTAAGGCCGTGGCATCTCTCGTCATGATGCCGCCCAAAAGCAGCAGCTGCCTGGAGCAGCTCCAGTCGGGGTGCATGATCTCACGAGCCTTCAGCCTTTCAGCGAAGGCTAAGGCCCCGGCCCTGGCCGTAGCTGATCGCCGCGGCTTCCTCGTGCGTGCAACTATAACATACTCTGGTTGTGTTCGGCCACCACGTGAACCGTAGCTCTACAGCATGACAAGACTTTACATATTTTACATCATATGTTTATCCGCCGACCCCAGCAACAGCGGGGCGGCGTCAGTGAAGACCCTCTGTTTGTTTCCCCCCGCCACACCCCACCCATTAGAAACCCACCCCTCCCCCAACCCCTCCCCCCAAACCCCCCACCCCCCCCCCTGCCCTACCCCCCGACCCCCCCCCTCCGCCTATACCCTCCCTCGCCGATGAGGCAATGATTTAAAGGCTCCAGCACACGCCCGCCCTCCCCCCCCCACCCCCCCCGACACCCCGCCTCCCCTTCTCACCCCCCCACCCCCTCACCCCCTAACCCCTCCTCGCCCCCCCCATTCCACCGCTTGCGACGCCCCCCCCCTCACCCCCCCCCCCACACTGCCCTCCTCCAGCCCCCCCCCCCTCCCCGAACCTCTCCCCCTCCCTCACACCGCCCTCTCACCCCCCCCCCCCCTGCCCTACCCCACCTGCTGCCGACCCCCCCCTCCGCCTAAACCCTCCCTTGCCGATGAGGCAATGATTTAAGGCTCCAGTCCACGCCCACCCTCCCTTCCCGCCCCCTCCCCTACCCCTCCCCACACCCCGCCTCCCCTTCTCACCCCCCCACCCCCCCACCCCCTAACCCCTCCTCGCCCTTCCCCCACATTCCCACCCTCTTACACTGCCCCCCTTCCGGCCCCCTACCCCCCCCCCCAACCCCCCCGACCCCCCCCTCCACACCCCACCACCCCCCACCCCCCCACCCCTCCCGCCTCAACCCCTCACACCCGACCCCACCCATGACAAACCCACCCCTCCCCCAACCCCTCCCCCCCAAACCCCCCACCCCCCCCCCCCCCCCGCCCTACCCCCCCCCTCCTCACCGATGGAGGCAATGAAAAAGAAGGCCTCCGCCCCCCCCCACCCCGCCCCCCCCCCCCCCCACCCTCCAACCCCCCCCCATTCCCCGCCCCCCCCCTTCCCCCCCCCCCTCACCCACCCTCCCACACTGCCCCCCTCCAGCCCCTGCCCCCCCCCCCCCCCCCACCCCCCCCCAAAACCCACCCCCCCCACCCCTCACACACCGCCTCCCCCACCCCCCACCCCACCCCCTGCCCACACTCTGTTTTGTTTCCCCCCCCCCGACCTCCCCCATCCCTGCCCTGACCGACAACCTCCTCCACTCCACCTCTCGAAACATTTTGTGTTTGTTCCCCCCCCCCCCGACCTGCCCCCATCCCGGCCCTGACCGCAAACTCTTCCACTCTCCCCTCCGTCCCCACGCCCCACCCCCCCCCCAACCCCCCCATTTGAGAGAAACCCCCCCCCCCCAACGCGCCTCCCCCCCCCCTCCACGCTCCACCCGCTACCCCCACCCTCGCAACGCCCCCACCCGCCCCACCCGCTGCCCGACCCCCCCCTCCGCCTAGATCCCCCCTCGCCGATGAGCAATGTTAAAAGGCCCTCTCCCGCCCTTTCCGCCCCCCCCCCCCCCCCCCGCTCCCCCCACTCCCCCCCCCTCCCACCCCGCCGACCCCCTCCGCTGGACTGGCTTGTGCTCCAGTGCCCCACCTGCCCACCCCCCCGCGCCCCCTGGAGTGGTCCCACCCCCCCCACCCCTTCCACCGCCCCACCCCCCAACCGCCCCCCCTCCTCCCGCCCTCCCCTCCCCGCCCGACCCCACCAACCCTAGCCCCCTGCCCCCCCCGCCCCCCGACCCCCCCCACCCGACCACCCCCTCGCCCTCCCCCACCCCCCCCCCCACCCCTCCACTCTCTCTGTTTGTTCCCCCCCCCCCCGACCCCCCCCAATCCCTGCCCTGCCGCACCTACTCCACCTCCACCCCCCGCCCCCCAACACCGCCGATTAGAAACCCAACCCCCACCAGCCACGCCCCCGCAGGCCTTCCCCACCCCTCACCCACTGCCCTTACCCCCCCCCCCCCCCCCCCACACCCCCCCCCCACCCCCCCACCCCTCCCCTCCTCAACCCCTCACACCCGCCCCCCGACCTCCCCCCATCCCTGCCCTGACCACAACCTCTTCCACGCCAACCTCTCCACTTACCCCCCTCCCCCCCGCCCCACCCCTACCCCCCCCCCCCTACACACCCCGCCGAAACCCCCCCCCCCAACCCGACCACCCCCCCCTACCCTACCCCCCCCTACTCACACCGCCCCCACCCCCCCCCACCCCCCCCCCTGCCCTACCCCACCTGCTGCCGACCCCCCCGCCGCCCCCCGCCAACCCTCCGCAGCCGCCCCCTACCCGCTCCAACCCCCCCCCCCCCCTCCGCCTATACCCTCCCTCGCCAATTAAAAATTGATTTTTGGCTCCAGCACACGCCCGCCCTCCCCGCCCTTCCCGCCCTTCCCGCCCCCTCCCCCCCCACACCCCGCCTACCCTTCTCACCCCCCCCCCCCCCACCCCCCCAACCCCTCTCCACCCCCCCCCCCCATCATTCCACACCCCACCGATTAAAAAAAAACCCACCTCCCCCCCACCCCTCACCCCCCCGCTGCCTCCACCCCCCCCCCCCACCAGCACGCCCCTCACTCCCCCGCTTCCTCCCCTCTGCCACTCCCTTCCCCTTCCCTACCATTCCCCTCCCACCGCTACCCCGACCCCCCTCCTCAATCCCTCACATACCGCCCTTCCTTACCCCCACCCCAAACCCCAGCCCCCCCCTCCCACACTCTGTTTGTTTCCCCCCCCCCCGACCTCCCCCCATCCCTGCCCTGACCGACAACCTCCTCCACTCCACCTCTCCGAACACTCTCTGTTTGTCCCCCCCCCCTGACCTCCCCCCATCCCTGCCCTGACCGCAACCTCTTCCACTCTCCACTTACCCCCCTCCGTCCCCAACCCCCCACCGATTAGAAACCCACCCACCCCCAACCCCTACCACCAAACCCCCCAGCCCCCCCCTGCCCTACCCCACCCGCTGCCACCCGCCGATGAGACAACGATAAAGGGTCCAGTACACGCCCGCCCTCTCGCCCTTCCCGCCTCTCCCCACCCCCCCCTCTCACCCCCCCACCCCCCTTCGCTTCCCCCCCCCCCTCACCCACCCTCCCGCACTGCTCCCCTCCCTGTTTGTTCCCCGTGTTTTTTCCCGGGGCCTTCCCCCATCCCTGCCCTGACCGCAACCTCTTCCACTCCATTCCTCTGTCCGTCCCCCCCACCCCCCCGCCCCGCCCCCCGCCCCACCCACACCCCGCCCTGCCTCCACCCCCCCACGAGCCACGCCCCTCACATCCCGCACAGGCCTACCCTCTAAACCCCCCACCCCCCCCTGCCCTACCCCACCCGCTGCCGACCCCCCCCTCCGCCAAGACCTCCCCTCGCGGATGAGGCAATCATTTACAGGGTCCAGTACACGCCCGCCTTTTTCGTTTTTTCCGCCCTTCCCGCCCTTCCCCCCACCCCCCTCCCCCACCCCACCCCCCGCCCCCCTACCCACCCCACCCGCCCAACCCCCGCCGCCCCCTCCTCCCCATCCCCATCCTGCAGGCCTTCCCTCTACCAGCTACTCCGCCCCTCATCCCTGCCCACTCCACCTCTCCTACCCTTTTTCCCCTGCCCCCCCCACTACCCTTCCCCTTCCCAACCATTCCACTCCTCCTGCCCTGCCCCTCTCCTCTCCCTCCCCACCCGTCCTCCTCCCCCCCGTCCCTGACCTCCCACCCCACACACACCCACCTCCTCAACCCCTCACATGCCACCTCCCCCCACCCCACCCCCACCCCCACCCCTACCCCAAACCCTCCCCCCCCCTCGCCTCGACCCTACCCTTCCCGCACTGGCCCCGCCACCCCCCCTCCCCAGCCCCCCTGCCCCTCCTCAATCCCTCACCTACTGCGTTCTCCAAACCCCCCCCCCCTCCGCCTATACCCCCCTCGCCGATACCCTCTACCCAACCATTCCACTCCCTTCCCCTGCCCCTCTTCCTCAGTACCCTTCCCCTTTCCAACCCCATCCCTTTACATATACCGTTTCAGAACTTAGAACCAAGGTTTACGGTTTCGGCGCTTAGAGCAGAGGCATTATCTCCCAGAGTTGAGCAGGAGAAGAAGGGGGGGGGGGAAACGAAGGGATAGGGTTTGGGCAGCTTGGGCGTTTGCCTCCAAGGGGTCGGCGGCACTGGCGGTAGCCATTAAATATATATATATATATATATACATAGATAATATGTATGCCGAGCCTCATACACAAAGACAGACACACATGCAATGAACATTCGCACACTCTTGCACACACTCTGTTGCACATGCTCTGAGCGGCCGACTGATTGTACCAAGCATGGAAACACACCCGAACAAGCGAGGCCTGCGCTACGCACACGTATCTCAAGAAAAGGCCGGCAGGCACACGATGGCAAACAGGCAACAGCGTGCACACAGATACTGACTTCAGCACTCCCTGGATTCTGCCAGCCTCCAAGCCGATGGCCCAAGCCTGCACCAGGCCGCAAAGAGAATGAGAGGGAACAGTGCACAGCTTGGACTTTGAAACTCGAAAACTGGGCTACACAACGCATGGATGTGTCTTGAAGTGTACAGGGGCATCCGCAAGTTGGAGCCGCCGTGAAAAAGCCCCCATAGCCCCATAACTCATAGCTCTGACTGGAGGGTACCGTGCAGAATGCTTAGTCGGCTTCGCCCACCTCAAGAACTCGCAAGCAGCGCTCGTTGTGTTCAAGATGCGCCGTGAGCAAAGAGCCATACTCCTGGCAAACGCGCAGGGCACAGTCAAAGCTGCACTTTTTCTTGTCATTCGGGTGCCTGGCAGAAAGGTGATGTTTCAAAGCTGCCTCAGCACGTCCACCCGAGAATTTGAGGGCCACCACCCCCTCCCAATGTGAAGGCATGTCAATAGGCAATTGCGAAGTTCGATTGTGTTTTGGAGCCCTACGGGCCTACAGGCATGTGTTGTTCCATGAGGGGCTAGCAGGCTTTAGCAAACATATTCGCCAGCGTCCTCTGCGGTGACCTCACGGGACTTGCTCTGGACCAAAGCCCTCCAAGCGTGCCTGGGGAATACAAGTTGAAGGGAACCGAAATACTCCTTACGGAGTGGGGTTATGATGGTGGAGGTGGTTTTACTCCAAGTGAAGGGCGCGTAACACCGAGGGCCGAGAAACAGAGGGCGGACAGGACTAGTGACTTGTACCAAGAGCACTAGTGACAGGCCCCAGCAGCAGCCAAAAATGGATGTCCAAACAAAGAAGGAGCTCGGAGGTACGGTGTGAGCTGGGTCGCAGACAGGCAGTGGAGCTGCAGTGAAATACGAGAAGTGGCAGCCAAAGCGCCAGCCTCCAAGCATGAATGTAACATGGCATACTGGTTGAGTCGAAGCGTTTACCTCATTACTTTTTTTGTGGGATTAAAGCGGTTTTACAAGCGGGCTCGTGCTGAGGCTCTACTCGCACATGCGAGCAAGCAAGTCCTCGCCTCAAAGGCACAACGCCGTGCAGCTGTCTCCTGGGAGCAGCGAAGTGGGCTGAAGGCGTCCAGAGCAAGCACAGAGCGATGCAGCGATGCAGCAGCACGGTCTCCTGCTGTCGGGTGCTAACACATTGTAGTTCAAGACCTCATTGAGTTGGGCGGACTTGGCAGGTCACGGAGCAAAAGGATGACTGAACATGCCAGGGTCACGGCGCTCTTTGTAGAATGCCGCATCTCTTTGTGCCGCCAGAAGGCCTCACTGACAAAGCAGATGTGCAGATGAGCAGCCACCATTTACGAATCAAGAGGACGAACATGATGAGTCCTATATTGAGGACTCGATGTTGGCAAGGAGCTTCCTCGCTGGAATAAAGTCTGACATGTTTTTGTGCATCATGACGTGTCATACTCGGAGCCCTTAAGCCCGCGACGCCTGCTGGCGACATTTTGCTTCCAAAGCTGCAAGGTGGCCTTAGCATCCGAGCTCTTTTAGGGGGAGTCTGCCATTCTTACCCAAAGGCTGCTCTTTTCTTACCCTTGCCGTGTGGACTATAAGATAGCATTCACAGCTCAGAGCCCGAGCCAAGGCCAGGTTCAAGGCACGGCGCCGACCTGCGCTGCAATCGGGTCGCAAACACCACCATCATCGGGCCGGACAGGCCTTGAACTCTGACCTATTCTAACTATTCAGACCTTCCTCCATCAACCACCCTCCAAGCGTGTTCCAATATAGACTCGGCTGGAGTGGAATAGTTTGAATGGAATCGTCCAGCAAACTCCAGCAAGCCCACAACGTGCCCTCATCTGGTCGGTCTCTAGATTGTCTGCCTGGGCCCCCGCTATAACCGGACCCTTGCACAAAGTAGCTTGGCCAAAAGGTACGATGATTTGTAGAACTAGAACCACCAAATCAAAAGATGGCGCGAGGAGTGCCTACAAGGCAACAAAGGCCAGCAGACGGCTTGCGAGCTTCTTCCAGCCTTGTGCGTCCGCAAAGCATGACAGGCGCCGTTTCAACGCCGCTTCGCGCGCAGCCAGCCGGCTTTGAGGAGGAGGCGCCACGTGAGCCTGCATCAGGGCTCTGCCTCTGCATGCTGCAGCCCGTTGCGGGAACCGCCAGTCCACAACCCAACCCCTAAGCCGTCCCGAGCACGCAGCACTCGATTCCACTAAAGCTATCTTGGCTTGGATTCGAAGGGAGTGAAGGACAAAGCAAGCTGGGCCTGGCAGCCCCTTGTACATAAGCAGGTGTGCAGCTGGGAGTTGCCAATGTATCAACATGCATGCTGGAAATCCCTTGTCACGCGCCCCTTCTCGCCTTCTCGGACTCAGGGTGGGACAGCTGTGATGCTGCTAGCAGCCTCCCAAGTCTTCATTTGCAAAAGAGCTTGAAAGGGCTACGAGTGGAGAGCTGCAGGGCGCAGCCTTTCTTTCGAGCAGCGGTGGTCTACACTGCTAAGTGTATTTTAAGCGTATGTTAAGAGCATGCTAAGTGCGCAAGGTCACATGCAGCTTCGGCCACCAATCGGGCCTGGATGGACGACATCGCCCCTCTTGGCCTCGAAAGCTCGTGAAGCTGTGGTGGAGCAGATGGTACAATGGTACAAGTTATACACTCTTCAAGGCATGCTAAATAGCCAGCTGCTACTGCTGCTACTGGCCAGTCCGCATGGCCCCTCTCCATGTGGACCACTTGCCATGCCAGAGGCAGCTTGCTTCATAGTCTCCATGTTTCGCTTGCTTTCCTCGCCCGTGGCAGGCCATCCGTCAGTCTCAAGAGCTTCACTCACTGCCTGTCTCGGGGCTGACAAACCAAATCGTGCTCTCAAACTTCGCAAAATGAAACGTATTAGTCACGTGAGCTGCACAGGCATGCGGTATGCATGGGACAGCTTGCATGGCGCTGTTACATGTTGGTACAATCGACATACAACACTTTGTCCTTATGATAAACTATAGCTTGCCGCAGCTCACGTGCTGACAATGCCGCAAGGCACAGCAAGTGTCCTTTGGGTTTCCCTCAACGCATACGATATTTCCACTCCCGGTGAGCAACAAGGCAACGTGACCAAAAACGACTTGTTCGATTCAACGTGCAGCACATTCCAGCATCAAATTGCTTACTCCAAGAGACTCGTCCGGGATGTGGCGAAGTAACCCTACTGGCGCAATGCGAGCCTTTCAAATGGCAGGATGGCGGAAAACTGCCACGGGTCATGTTAACTAGTTCCAACCTCAGGCATAGGAGCAAGGTTTTGCAAACTGTGTGCAAACTGGATGCTCGGGCAGCGTGAGCAGTCCACCGGCATCCAGAAAATGGAACCCACTGGGGGATGTCTGACATTTGCAAACTGCCAAGAGGCCTTTCTTAGGCCTGAGAGGCACAATGGTGGGCGTGGACGGGTCAAAAGCACAGCATCCTAGAACTGAGGCCCTCCAGTTTCAAGTGCGATGGGCAGAAGGGTAGACCTGTCCAGGCCCATCATCCAAAAACCAAAAAGGCGGCCGCAAGGTACAGGCAAAGGCTACCAAAGTCATAACAATAGCAGCTCCCGAAGCTGCACCCGAAGAAGCCCGTTGGAGGATAAGCTCTTGGCAGAAGGGTCTCAACAATGACTGTGATTTCGTCCAATGGTAGAGGCGCTTGACAAGGAATTAGCAATCAACTGCTTAGCAGAAACTGGTTATGACTTCGACAGTCCCCTGAAGCAGCGGAGGGGAAGCTTGCGAAATGGAGACCTGCTCCTATGATTTTCCAGTACATCTCGGCCTCAGTCTCGCGCAAAGTCTCGATAAGACTCGACTCAACCAGGCAACCCTATACAGTCAGAGGACTAGACGCCGGAGTCAAGTCTCCATAAGCACCCATCAGCACTGCAGCTGAAGCAGGACCCATTATTCGGGTAAACATCACACCACTTGCCCAGGTAGACCCAGACTTGACAACCTAAAACTCTACTCGGCAGCAAAACAGTGAAAACGATCGACAGGTGCTGCAGTGCCAGTGGGGGCCTCCCTGACGATGGCTCGTGGCTCTGATTCTGAGTCGCCAAGCAAATGGCCAAACAGCTGGGTTAGGAGATGGTTGCGGCTGTCATCAGCCAGCAATGCTGCACCGGCAGTCGGGCAGCAAGACCATCATCACCCTTCACAGCCACAATTTCCAAATATGATCTCCTTCTTGAGCATCATTCTGTGTCAGCAACGGTGGTGCTGTCTTGGGCACTCTTGTAGATCACCTGAGCAGGCGCGTTTCCTCCAAAGCTGGGACTCTTCCTCCGGCCGTTTAGGGACTCCCATGGAGTCTTTAATGAGCCCACAATATCAAGCATGGGACGATTTTGTCCGGCAATGTCTATGAGTCTATAAGTCACTTGTCAACCCGCCGAAAGAAGCCTGCGGACAAACGGCTAGTCGGCCGAACTCGTGGTTCAATCGCAGGTGCGGACGATCCTCAGTCGTGATTGTTCGCGTTGACTCACAAAAAAACGGCGCTGTTACATTTTGCAAGTCAAGGACTCAAAGCCGCCTCTGCATGTGGTGCAGAAAACGAGATCAGACACGTGAGACACATCGTGTGGCCAAGACACTGCCTGAGATTTCCGCGGCACCTGGGATGCGTGCCGCGAGTCCGCGCGGTACCTGCTTTTGAGGACGCTTTGTGGTGGGCATTGAAGGCACCACCTCTGGCTGCTTCTTGCTTAAGCTTTGAGGGTACCACCCTTGACCCCCCGGATTCGAGATTCGAAACCCATGGAGGTCAAGTCCTTGACTGCATGCCAAGCAAGCAGCCTGGATCCGGCTCGGCTGCTGGTTGATAAAGCCGTTCGAAAGGTGTCGAACAATTGAGGCTCCTGGCAAAGCATGGCAAAGCATGGCAAAGCATGGCAAAGCATGGCAAAGCATGGCAAAGCATGGCAAAGCATGGCAAAGCATGGCAAAGCATGGCAAAGCATGGCAAAGCATGGCAAAGCATGGCAAAGCTGGTGATGCACCTGCAAGTCTATATCGAGAGAGGTGGGACGGCACATGGATTGGATTCTCCAGAGTCCTATGCCCGTTACCTGCACTGAAGGCACAGCCTAGCTCGTACGAGTAATGAGCAGTCCGCTTTCGGCTTTGTAACATGAACATGGTGCCAACACGACATCGCGGGACATCGTTTTGCCTCCTGGCTCTGGACAGCGAGGAGTGGAGTACCCCAGGAGTGCCAGGTCCTGCTGAACAACCCGGCATGACCTGAATTGATGAAGCCTACGACTGTGCCGCATTGAAGCCGAGCGTCAGCTGCTGGAGTATGTACTCAAAACCGACGACCTGGAGTTGTGACCGCTTCTGCTCATAGTATCTCACAGTATGTCGATCAGGCAGTGCTCAAACAAAGCCGCACGCTGAACTGAATTTCATAGAGGCCGAAGAAAAGGCCAAGCAGCAGAGGTCGATAAAAGGGACCAGCCGGGTGGAACTGAGACGAGGGTGCCGCGGAGCCGCGGCCGCGTCTCACAGCGCAAAACTTCTCACATCTTCTCACGGTGCGAGGTGGTGTGCAAACTGACAAGTGCTTGGGGGTTCCTGTTTTAATAGCAGTTGACAACAGCTTGCGATAGCTTGTATTGCAGTTTCTGGCTTCAGGACACCCAGCGTGGGCAGGTTGGATGTGGCGATATGTGGCAAGTAGCGTGACTCCCATGACGAGCCTCATCCTCGGGGCTCGCGGACGGCCTTGGTGTTTGTAAATCGTGTAGCCTCCACATCCTTTAGGGCTTAAGGTTCAGGGTTTGGGGTTAAGTATTCAGCATTGAAGGCGCCGCTGGGGTCATGGCATATACTTACTGCAATGGTGCGGATCAGGAACGTGCCCTAAGGCCTGAACAACCTGAAGACCATCAATACCCCGCCATCGGCATAAACACGTCAACAATCATGCCTGTTGATGCCTGTTGCATCTTTCCGAGGCCTCGGGCTCAGCGCGCTCCCTCTCCAGCTAAAACAACACCAAGCGGCAAAACCGCGTATTCGTGTCCAGCAATGGCGACCTGAACTCTCCATGGCGCAGGACATCTCACGCAGATATTGGAGGCTCGGGCTGAACTTCACAACATGCCCACCTGAGTATCCTCTGTTAGACGCTTCTGCAAGATCGAGGCAAGATTCCAAGTGCTTCGCATTCGCACGCGCAATGTAGAGTTTACCAGGTTTACGGGGAAGCTGCAAAGTTCAGAGAAGCCACGGTCTGCCCGGGCTTCGGGTCTGATTGCGGAGCACTTGACAGATGACCTGCAGAGGTCCAGCTGGGCAAACCCGGGAGAACCCTGGGAGAGAGATTTCACAGTGAATCGATGAGAATGATCAACAGGAACCTCGGAGAGGGACAGGGGCTAGCGAGCAATCTCACACTTGGGCCGGTAACTCGCCCCTAGAGGTGTGCTTCAGGGCGTCTTCTTGCCTGACAACTTGCCTTGCCGAGCGGCTGTGCCGACGAAATCGTGCCTTGCCAGGAAAGGATGGTCTAAAGCCAGTGCACGTCTTACTACATGGTTCTACAAGCTACAGCTGCCAAGCAATTTGATGCCACATCCCAGCCTCTTGGCTTTCACCCGCCTCTGGGCTTGGCACAGGCGCAGGTCCAGTCGCCTGGCAAAGCACAGGCCAGCAGCCTCTTGTTCCAGTGTAAGGCCTGAAAATGCTGTCAGCAAGCCGCCACCTGAGCCGCCTGGTTATGTTTCGGCCAAGCTTCGTTGACAAGAAAGTCCGAAGCAATCTGCGGGTCCACAATCTGTTGCTCATCTTCGTCGGTGAACCGTACTTTCATCTGCTTCTGGGCCTTCCTGCGCAGGAGGATCTGCGAAAACTCACTTAAGCTTCTTGAACACCAGCCACTGCTCAAAATGTGACCCCTGGGCCCTGGGCTTGGGGCATACAGGGCGACATAGCGATGCTCCACGGAAATTCTCTAGGCCCTAGGCCAAGGGCCCTTCGAATTCAAACAACTCGCCCTGAAAAACCTTGCCTGGTCCCATGCTTGGACTTGCAGGTCTCCAGGGATTCTTGCTCCTTCCGATGCGCTTAGCAATCTGATTGGCATGGGACCTGTCCATCTGTTGCCAAGCGAACCTAAGCTATTCTTCACTGTTGCGATCCGAAAAGGACCGCAAGGACAATTGAAGCCAGTCTTGCGTGTCCGTTGTGTCCTGCCGTATGCACTTTCGCATCTCATCCAGCGCTTGCCTCTCCTTGTAGAGCTCTAACGACAAGGAAGGCAGCACTTTCTCACCCCTTGGAGAATCGGCCAAGGCACCACTCGCAGTTGAACCTCTTTCCGTTCCAGGGTTTCGAACTCATACCTGTGCTGCAGAAAAAAGGCTTGGCTGCTTTGACAGCATTGAGACACTGCATGCAATTACTTTTGTTCTGCTTCTGAGGGGCCGCAGCTTTGCATCAAGCTCCTCGATGAAACTGTTAACGCCCTGAGCACAATCAGGACACAGATACCAAGACCTTGATCCTGAGATGGCAGAAACCATGGCAGTTCTGCATCTGAAGAGTCAAAGCGTTTGCCAAAACTGCGTTACTATGTACCTTGAAACACCATGTTCCTTCTCTCTCTTAAACATTGCACGTGGCTTGATCGCCATCCCTAAGTGGGCTGTTGTCAAAATGCTTGTTCCCGAAACTGACGTTAAATCGGAACTCCCTCGGTGCCGCCTTATGTCCTGAAGGAAAAAGAAGCTGATTGAGATGGAGTAGCAAGCGTGACATTTGAAGGATCCAAGCATGATTTCCTAGAAAGGGTGCTAGCGCGGACCATTTTTCAGGCGCTGCTGTCGGACGAGTCGTCACAAGAACTGCTAGTGTTACTGCTACATACTGCTACTGCGGGAGTTCTGGCGCGAGCGAAAGTTTGGGGCTCGAGCTCCAGCAAGCATAGCGCTCTCGGTTCTATGGTGTTCCTTTGTGGTCTGCTAGAGGAGGAATGGGCCATGGTCTGCCGGGGGAGGTTGCGTTGACATTTCGCTAGCGCCGTGCTAGCGCGGCGCTAGCGCAAAACACTGTGCCGGATTTTCCAAGATCTGATGCTACGACGTGATGAACGACGAAAACAAGCCAGGAGCAGCAAATGTACCAAGTATAACAAGAATATCGTTTCTTTCTTGTCATCGTTTTTCCTAGAAGAACCTCTATCCTGGCAACAGGGGCCCCGTCAATTCATAATGAAGAGGCGCGGGGTTATTACACCACCCCGGATGTTTGCACGCATGTTTCGGGTGGTGCGCCTGGCTGGGCCTTCTCAATCAATCTGGTTCGCTTAGTGGTGACATGCGAAATTTGAAATAATGTTTGTTGATTTTGCCTAGCGCGAACCTAGCGTTTTCCTAGCGCCACACTGGGGTTTTAGGGGATCCCCCTCGGTGCCGCCTTATAGCAAAGACATGATTATAGACCGGCCAAACCAATTAATGTAAATTAAAGTAACTGAGCAGACACGCGAATTTTGAACGCAACCCAAGTGAACATCAGAACCCCGACCATTCCTGCAGCCTGAGGGTATCGGACACACGAGCTTCTGGAAATCACCAGAGGTTTCATGGTGCCTTGCGGAAGGTCTCCACCAGATGGGTCACGAGGTCACCCACCTGATACCAACAGGCACATGTTTGACCTTTTGCGTACTCAACATACATAAGCTGTTCAGAACATGCCAGAACTCGATTTCAATGAGACTGCCTCCTCATCCTCGAGGTGCAGCAAAGGCATCGGAAACCCGTGGCGTGCGGCTTCTGTGATACTCCTTTCGGGTATGTCCGAACTATCCTTTCGATCGGTCCTACGCTAGCATATTCCATGAACCTGGGCTGTGAGAATGCTTCTTGGGAAGGCTTCGCATGTCTCAGATGGTCTCTGCCCTCCGGAAGCCTTTTAAGAAGCTCCCCATTGAGACGCTGCGGGGACGGGCACAAGCATGGCTCAACAATGGCTCTGCCCCTCTGTTGGCTTTGCAGCAACGAAGCTCTTTGTGTAAGGGCAGGGCTCGGTGCGCAGCTGCTCGGCTTTCGCAGCCTGCGCGCGTAAGACCAAGGCCGGCAGACGTGGAGAAAGCTATGCGCAGAGAGCAGCAGAGAGTTTTGTCGTGCGTGTGGAGTTTGTGTGTGTGTGTGTTGTGTTTCTTGTCTGCTATGTCTACTCTTCTCCTGCTCCGCGCCCACTCCGCTACGGCCGCTAGGGCACGTGCACGAAAGGTTGCCAAGTGGAACTCAGGCGTTGGGGTGCTTCAGCTGCAGCTGTTGGTTTCAGGGCGTAGAGGTTCAGGATTCGAGGTCTCAGGATTACGGACTGGGCTGATCCACGCTCGTGCAGTCACTTACCCTTAAGTTGACCTAAAGATCTAAACCCAGAGCCATCTTACTTACACTGAAGCACTGAAGCCTTAGCACTCTCGAGCATGAGACACGACTGAACAAAAATTTGAATGTGCACGTTCAAGCAGGAAAGCCCACAGGTAGCAGACACCAAACCCCGCCAGGCCCTCCAAACGGATGCAATGCAAAGACTCCTGCCTCTCCGAAGCAGCTCTGCGCGATGATCGTGGGCGGGGTGCCTTGATCTTGCTACAGTACGAAGCTGTGAAGGGAGAGGTACCCTGCCGTACGTTGTAGGCACATGCTTGGCAGTCTGACGAGAGCTTTTCATGCAGCCAAGGCACCATGCGGACAACGCATTGTCTGCCAGCTAGGCAAACGCTACATCAGCATATTGGTCTGTATTAAACTTAGATGATCTTCACACGCGTGGCCGTGGCATGAGCAATGTTGCAACATGAGCGTTGCATGTGTTTAAGCAAACTGCGCCAACTAAGCCACTTGTCGTTTCCTAGTGTCCGGGCAGTAATTGCCTGTGACAACAAGGCGACGCAATGCAAGATTGTGTTCCAGCGTCTGGACGTGTGATTGCTTACTGGCTGCTGCTTCCGGACTGGACATCACAAGTCAACCTGTCTTTTTTGAGAATGTCACCGCACGAGCATGTCACCAAAAGTTCACGAAGACGGACTCAAAGTACACGACGCCGGCCACCTGGTACAGCGACACTCTCCCCATCATGCGAATAAGTGCAACATGTTGGCATTCGGCTGGGATTCCCTTGGCATTGGCTCCTTTCATCTCCTTTCCAGCCGCCAAGTTCACATCTGAGCGAAGGGCAGTGGCGGCAAACATGAAGGCAGCGAAGGTGAGGCAGGCCAGCAGCCAGTACTCTATGGCTTTGTCCTGCATGAACCGAGAGGTCATGTTGAAGCTACATGCTCAGGGGGCCTCTGAAGGTAAAAAAAACTGAGGGTATTGACTCTGCACGCATTGACTCCACAGATCTCCACTTCGTGAGGCTCTTTGCTGTCCTTCCAGGAACTTTGGAGGGCTTTCGCGTCCTGGCAGCCAACGATAGCCAACGCGTCAGCACCGCCTAACAGTCCTAGCACTGGTTCACACATCCCAATAGACTTGTAAAAAGAGAGCGCTGCAGGTTGAGGCACCAAGGAGCTCAGACGGCAAAAAAACAACACCTCCACCCAGAAGAAGAAGAGCGGCGTGGTGGCTTTGAGGCCGAAGGTGGCCTGGCGAAGAGAGCTCCACACTGCTCACACTTTTTTATTCAAACTTTACGTCGCAAAAATTTAGCAGAAAGTTTCTGACAAGGGCACACTCCGGGCCTCAGCCTCCTTCACAGCTAAGACGTAGAACTGCCGCTGCTCCTATGATGAACTCTTCACTGACCAAGGGTTGATGGACGTTGATGGCACGGCGGCAGCGAGGTTCTCGCTTCGGGCACTTGGAACCACCGTTCGGCGCGCCTCGTTCAGAAGCCGCACCCCACTTCGCCTGACACACATATTATAGCGCTCCGCAGATGCACCGTCAGCTATAGGACGAGCTACAAGAAGTGAACGCATGCGAACACTTCTGTATCCATAGAATCTCCTCTGCACTCTGTGACTTCCTCAGACTGGGATCTCCCACGCGGACGGCTTGTCGTACTCGCCGCAGCGGAAGCCGCTTTGGTCACTGGGAACAGAGAGACACATGCAGAGAAGTTTTGTGCAAATACGCCCAGGAAGAGTTTACGAAGTACAGTACTCTTCGGCAGACCTTCTGCATCCCGCATATATGCCTTGCTGTCACCCTAGCAGCTGCTCGGGGTTGGACCAGCAGTTCAGGCCAACTGCCCAGTAATCGTAGCTGACTGGGGCCTAGAGGGCAGGCGCATTCCGAACGGCTTCCGCGAAGCAAGTGCTCCCAAACGATCTCTGCTGCAAGTGTTTGCTGTGGACCGCCTTCTGTGGACAAGCTGGGCTTGCTGCTTTGCTGGCATTCTTGTTGATGATGGGCGCCACACAGTACAGATCACTGTTCTTGAACCCTGCAGGTGGCATGGTTCGAAAATGCCAAGCAGAACTTAAATGCGGCACCTAGCATAATGCTCGGTGGCTGGTGGGCAGTGGCCCACACGATGATGGGATGCGCAGCGGCTGATGCTCATGATGCTCGGAGGGTGGGGGCTCAAGGTGGGGATGGGATAGCGGCTGATGCTCATGACGCGGGGCGGCTGGTGGCTCAAGGTGCGATGGGCTGATGTTCGTGATGCGAAGCGGCTGGCGCCCACACATGCCCACACGATGGGATGGGCAGCGCCTGATGCTCATGATGCGCGGCTGCTGGCAGCCACACGGGGGATGGGCAGCGGCTGATGCCCATGATGCTCGGAGGGTGGCGGCCACACGGTGGGATGGGCAGTGCTTGCCTGCTGGTGTCACACGATCACACGGGCATAGACAGCAGAACATGCTCACACGCAAGGCTGTTGGATCCTATTATGGAAGGCCAGCGATCAAGACGACGAAGCGACCAGATATCGGCGGTCAGCAAAGTGGTGCAGCCGTATGCTCTGGCCTATGTACTTGCTGACGTCAAGCTGCGCTCCCGGCGCAAACTCTAAACCTTCAAGCCGATGTGACGTCGACTCTCCCCAACTTTTGCCCTAAAAACCTTGGAACGTCTCTTGCAATCTGAGAAGGCAGCGGCCAACATCCAAATACCGACTGCTGGAGTCGACTGCAGGGTCCTCGTGAGGAAGCTTGGGAGAGCTGAGCTGGAGAGCACATCGTGGAATCGTGGATATGGTGGATATCGCGGATATCACGAGGTTCTCACGACATTGGATGCCATAGCTAGCCGGTGCAGCGTCTCGGACCTCCAGACGGAAACGTCACAAAACTTCTCCAAGCCGAGTGAGAATGGCTCTTGGACGAAACTGCTCACAGGAGGGACTAGAAGGGACCCTCTATCTTCTTCCCCTTGATGAGCACGAAAAAACTGCTTTATTTACATATTTGTTTATGTGTTCATATTTATGTATTTGTTTGTGTAATCATAATTCTATATCTTATATATTCCCTATATACCTAAGTTGCGAAGGTCCCTTATAAGTGTCCCTCCTTTAGTCCCTTGATCACATCTGGGCCGCCCTGCGCCAGCATATTCTTGGAGTAGTTCCTCACAACGGCGTTTGGTGGGCAACCCTACTGCACAGCGCCTGCACTTCTGCTTGAGGAAACCATGGTGGAGACACGCAGTGCTTCAGTGGACCGACCGCTTGAGCTCACTTGCCGTCGAGCGGCAGGCGTGCGAAAGACACGGACAGCACCAATGCGACTGTCAGCGCAACTCCCTCGGTCCAGAGACTGGTGTGAAGCGTCTTTGAAGGTATACCGACTGCAGACCGCAGACTTGCGGGTGACTTGCGCACATAGCCTGTCGGTGCAAACCTTGAGAATTGACTGTTGAAAGACAGATTGCATGAGACGCCTGAACTGAATCATCCGTTCCTCACAGAGTCGAGCAGACAGTGTCGCCTAACAGACCTGACTAGCCCGCGGTCATTTCTTCTGCATCAAAAGGCTGCACAGAGCCAGCGACTAGGAAGATGTACCAGAAGGGAAAGACAGTCCTTGGCAGGACAGGAAGGCCTTGGCAACTGCCGTTGCTGCCTTTAGCCACCAGCTGCGGCAGGAGCTGGAACTGTGAAGTAACCTACTATACAGTGTAGATCAGTGTAGTGTAAGTCTCCAGCGTGCGTCCAGTCAGGTACCTCTCAATGACCAGTGCTTGTACTCCGGTGTCGGATAGTTACCGTTGCGGTGGCCAATCATCTACTGTACGAACCATGGCAGAGCTTGCAGCGAATGTCATCTTCATTTGGCAGCTCTTTGCTGTACGATGGGTCTTTACTCGACACCTCACATCAAGATCGGGCCTCCGCAACATGAGGTAGATGATGTGGAGGCACAACAAGTAGCCCAGGCCGAGAAGCGCCTTGGTGCTACCGGCACTTTGGATCACTATCAAACACTGACATAAAATTGAAGTCTCGAGCGCGACAACATACGGCCACCCAAACAAGACCGGTGACAGGAATCGAAGCTTGCTTTCCACACAACTGGTGCCAAGTGGTACGAAACCCGTGACGCTGGGAGCTAGGCAAAAGCTGCATAGACGATCGCGGGATAGTAGGTTTCCAAACTGGAGGACCTGTGAAGCGATGCCATGCTCAAAGCATCCCACAGTTAGCCCAAGGTTCTTGGCGCAACTTCTTGAAACTGAGGCAAAAAGACTTGCTGCACTGAAGGTGTGGATTAGCTAGCGGCATAACGGAGCTCAATCACTCTTGCTCATTCTTCGTGAAGCTCCTTTCGTGAAGTGCAAAGAGGAGGTACAGCTCACATCATCTTCCATCATGAGGCATCAGATTGAGGCACAAAGCTCCGGAACCGCAATCCTTTGTAACTTACCAGAACAACAAATACACACGTGAAAGTCAATCCAGAAACCTAGCACGTCTCCGAGGGTCCCACGCTAGCCCCGATGCCTTGCAAAGTAGAGAATTGCTCCAGGCGGGAGGGAGTGGCGAGGTGAGGCTCGAACGCACTGCAAGTCGCAAGTTCTGAAGTTATCAATTTGCTTTGCTGTCGCCGAGCTTGCTGGGCAAAAGCCGTCTTGCGGCCAAAAGCGGCACTTACAACTTCACCGTCACCATGTTGTGCAGCTGAGAGGCAACTGCAAAGACCACAGTGGGGATCAACCAGCAAAGGAACACCTCGGACACAAGGAACCAGCATCGACAAAAAATCGAATCGCAGCCGCGATGGGAGGTGCTCACTTGACCCGTATGCCACCGCAGAACCCTCTCCCTCCCAACCCAAGAGCGAGCATCAGGGGTTGGGACCTTTTGGCCTGGTTCTTTAAATTTAAAGGTCCTGGTTTCTTTGGTTTGTCCTTTGGTTTGTCCGATGGCGCCTCGTGGCTCTGCGAGCTTTGAGCGCAGCATCACGGCATCTGTGGATCCCACAGTATACTACAATACACATGTGGTTTGGTGAGGACGAAGACGGCGGCGAACTGTTGATTCAACTATTGCCACTGCGCGAACAGCTCTCGTAGCCTTACGGCCAATGGCCCTTGACAGAGCAGGCGTGCAGGCCGTGCATCTATCCATTTGCATGCACAAAACTGCAAGTCTCCCTGATGCTGCCTGGCAGAGGCAAACACTTGAAGCAGCGTTAACCATTTAACACCTACGGCTTTTCAGCTCCGAAGTGATCAAGCTGTACTGAAAACGGTGTCTCCGTCTCGACGGCTAGGCCCGCGGCCCCTTGAAAGGGCAAGGTTACCTTTGGTTCACGCCTGCCAGATTTTTCGAATTGTCGATAGTTGCGAACACGAACTTCGCATTGCGGTCACGTGCCACGATCAGGGGTGCAGAGTCCGGGACGTTGGCTTGGCGGGACCGGGCAAGCTGCCATATGCCTTCCACACAAGCAGATGTGTGTGCAGCACAGATATCATGCACAGAAGCGCTTGATGCTTGCAAAAACACAATCGAGTCCTGCTGTAGCGGTCTTTTGTCACCCTCCGAACCATCCAGGCCTTCTGGTACTGCCCTGAGCCATAACCTGGCACGACTACTGGTGCTCAACACTCGACATTGGGATCACGGCCACAGAGCAGTCTGCTTTGGAACTATGGCAGGCCAACCGTACATGTCCAATCCTCGGGGAGTGCAACGCTAGCTTAGCAAGTTACAGTAAGACATAGTAAGACCGTAAAGCCTTAAAGTTCGACTCAGGGTACTCACGCTGTCCCATAAAGGCACTGGCTAATGCCAGAGAAGCACTCTTGGTCTCGGAAGATGCAACCACTCGGTAGAAGTGGTGGAAAAACTGAGCAAGGGACCGAATCAGTTCGTTCTCCTTAGCATCGACAAACTTTGGAAGTTGCTCGGCTTCTGAGATTTCTTGGAAGCTAGCGCGTTTTGCCGGGCTTGGGCTTCGGACGGAAGCCCAGGTTAGGGCCTGTCTGGATTGGCCCGTTCAGGCCTGTCAAGTGGGCGGGGGTATTGCCCCAAAGAGCCAACAGGCTGCTGAAGAGACCGCTTGAAGAACTGCGTGAAGAACTCATCGTGGGATGATTGTGGCGGCAGAATTGCACCAAGCACAAAGATTGCTCTAGCATGAATCTGCTACTCTGGCTATGGCAAGAAGATTCGCATGACCAAGCTTCAAGCATCATGCTTGTGTGACAAGAATGCCTAGGGTCGCGCACATTTTCCCCTTGCAACACTTCAGAACAGACCTCTCACCTGGCATCGAGTGCCACACGGCTCTTGCAAACTTGATCATGTTCGGTACCGGAATTGCCGATCAAGTCTCGCAGCACAAGGAGGCGCTAGTCTAGCTCTGTCCAGAATAGGCACTGTCAGGCACATGCCAATGACACTCACCGCTGCCCAGCCTCGATCCACAAAACCGAAGAGCCAAGGAGGCGGGCATGAATTCTGATGCTCACGCGCTCGTGCAAGACATACAAGACTGGAGCAGCTGATTGAAAACAGCGCAACTGGAATAGCGCGTCAACATCGGCAGCCAAGCTATACACTGTTCAATGGTGGGCTGCATGGGCGCATGCTTCCGGCGAAAGTGGCGGTAAATGCAAACAAGCAACGCTGCCACGAAAACAGAACTAGACCAACTAGACCATTGAAGTGTGTGAGGAACACAAGCCACAAACTATCGCCGGACGCGCCCCCTTCCCCTGAAGGCTTCAAAAACGGAGGGTCAACCCATCAGAAACTCCTGCACTGTCAGCATCTAGTGTGTGCCTGCGGTTTGGAGATTGGAGGTGGAGTTTGTGATGGGTCCTTGCCTCTGCTACGAGATCCAGATCCCCAATTCTACACCATCTCCTTGCAGAGGGCTTCAGGCGTACGAGAGCTGCCAACAGTCCAATATGCTTTGCTACCGAGCAGAGGTGACAATAAGTGGTGTTTCATGTCCATGGTCGCTCTGCGACGTGCCTTGCGTGATCTTGTGTGGCTTGG